TCAAGGAGCTTATCATACTCCCTAATGAAGTGCTGGCATCGGGACAGAGTGCTGATGGCCACTGCCCCCAACTACAAAGACAAACCTATTGTCTGAGACACACCAGCCACTGTGTTCTTTCCAGTGTCTGACAGGACTTAAGGCAGAAGGTGTAGTTGACACTTATCCCCAGTGGCAACTATATACTACGGGAGATGACAAGGTTGGCTGGGTTAATGCAAAGGAATGATCTATTACCCTGATACTTGGAGAGGACTGCAGGTCAGTATCCTGTCCACTAATTATGGCCCTGGCCTGGAATTAGGTTTTGTTTTGGACAGACAGGTGTACCGGGACCATTCGCACTGTTTTCCCTCCTGGTTTGGGTTTGCAAGGTTGGGATATCCTTGTTTTAAAAGGTAATTATTTCAGGCTTTCCATCGCCCTCTGTTGGTGTAAACTGAAAAATGCCTAGTTGGCATTGTCACAATATGCAAATTTACTTCCCCTATCACATTCAAATTATAGTAAAACAAAATGAATAAGAAAGATCAAGATCAAATTAAAATTTATGAGAATAAAAAAATATAAATAAATGCAAAATAGATCAGAAGCCTCCTGAGCCGTATGGTTATAATTGTTATATATTTAAAGGAATTATGATGCTGCTTGTCCTCACATTATGTATGTTTATATTTTTATGGTTTTCACATGTTCAATGCGACACTATAGTCACCAGAACAACGTCCGCTTATTGTATTTGTTCTGGTGAGTGGAATCATTACTTTCAGGCTTTTTTTTGCTGTAAACACTGTCTTTTCAGAGAAAATGCAGTGTTTACATTACAGCCTAATCAGTGGTGTACCCTGGTTTTGTGTTGCCCTAGGCAGGACAAAACTCAGGGGCCCCTCTCCCCCCGCGCCAGCCCCACCCAACCCTTCCCCCTCGCCCCACCTTCTAAATACACACACAGCCAGACACAAACACACACACACACAATCAGACTCACACACACACACACACAGAGTCAGACACACACACACAGTCAGACAGACACACACACAGTCAGACACACACATACAGTCAGACACACACACACACACACACACAATCAGACACAAACACACACTGTCAGACACACACACACACAGTCAGACACAAACACACACAAAATCAGACACAAACACACACAATCACTCACATTAACACTTTTTTAAAATTATTATTTAACCGCCCCCCCAGCCTCCTTACCATTGGGAATGATGGGGGGGGATGAGGAGTTCTCTTTCACCCTGGGGGTCCAGTGGCTGCCGGTCGGGCTGATGGGCTGGCTGCTGGGCTGGGCGGGTGGCTGGCGAGGGAGCACTTCCTCTGAGCGGTCTGCTCAGCTCCCTCGCGTGCCGCAGAGTGAGGCTGGGAGCCGGAATATGACGTCATCAACCCGGCTCCCTGCCTCACTCTGCGGCGTGCGAGGGAGCTGAGCATACCACTCAGAGGAAGAGCTCCTTCGCCAGCCGCCCGCCCAGCCCAGCATGTCAGTTAGCCGCAAGGCTAACAAGGTATTTGCCCTGGGCATTTGGGGGCGGCGTTTTTTGCCGCCCAAGGCAAATGCCTTGTTTGCCTCGCGGCTAATACGTCCCTGAGCCTAATGATAACTTCACTGGCCACTCCTTAACTGGCTACTAGAGGTGCTTCATGGGGCAGTGCTGCACATTGAGCAACACTGCCATTCAGTGTCTCCACCCTCTGCATGCAGTCACTGAATCTTCCTCATTGAGACGCATTGATTCGATTAATCTCTATGAAGAGATGCTGATTGGTCAGGGCTGTATTGGACTTTTGCTGGCTCTGCCCCTGATCTGCCTCCTTGACAGTCTCAGACAATCCTATGGGGAAGCATTGTGATTAGCTCTTACCACCATTTCTGATGATGTCAGCAAACACTAGGCAGGTCAGAGGTAGAACCAGCAGCAGTTACAGACTTGAATACAAGTAAGATTTGACTATTTTTAGGGAGGCAAAAGGGAGCTATATGGTGGTTTACGTTTGTGTTCCTGGCCCTATAATGTTCCTTTAAGGACAAATCGGCAAAGGCTAGTCCTAGTTCAAAATAAAGTGTTGTATGTTAATTCCTTTTGGAACTGTGTCCTGGTTGACATATTCATGGATCCCAGTAACAGAGACTTCGGACCTGTAGGCTAATTGCTTGGTCCCTGTAGCCCAGGTTAAAGAGAGCTTAAAGGACCACTCTAAGCACCCAGACCACTTCAGCTTAATGAAGTGGTCTGGGCGCCAGGTCCCTCTAGAATAAACCCCCCTTTTTTTTTTTTTTTAAATAAACATAGCAGTTTTAGAGAAACTGTTATGTTTATAATAGGGTTAATCCAGCCTCCAAAGCCTCTAGTGGCTGTCTCGTTGACAGCCGCTAGAGGCGCTTGCGTGATTCTCACTGTGAAAAATCACAGTGAGAACATGCAAGTATCCATAGGAAAGCATTATGAATGCGCGCGCAGCTCTTGCCGCGTGTGCGCATTCAGCCGAAAGGGAGGAGAGGAGGAGGATGAGAGCTCCCCACCCGGCGTTGGAAAAAAGGTAAGTTTTAACCCTTTCCTCTCCCCAGAGCCAGACGGGAGTGGGACCCTGAGGGTGGGGGCACTATAGTGGTCCTTTAATAGAAAGATATTCCTTGGAAAGCTCTCCAAACTTTTTTTCTTTCTTGGGGGTGGGGGTCGGATCAACAAAAAAGCAGATGTGAGAGAGGCTGAACTTGATGGACATGTTTCTTTTCAGCCTATGCAACCTCTAAAGTTTTACATATTTAATTATTCAATACGCAGAGTTTATGTAAAAATTGTCCCCTAAAATTTGCAATCCTTTTGTCATGTATCCAAACTTACTAGTTTAGTGGGTTTCCTCATTGTGTAGATAAGCCACTTTTTTATTGGGGGAGTGCGGAATGCACTCACATAGGTGGTTTACAAACCTTGAAGAGTTCATTGTTATTGGACTTCTGCTCAAAAAAAGATCTCAAAACAGCCACGTATTGTGAGGAATTTGTTAACCTGCGAGGAAACATTGTGGAGAGACATCCCTTTATACAAGTGACCGGTAGTATTGAAAGCTTCATGGTCCCATTATGCAGCCATATCCCTGTAGTTTAACTGCTATCAGTGGGAAATGTACAAGCAGATTTTTTGTTTTGTTTAGATGACTCAGATGAATGTTAATAGCCTCTTTACGACAAAGATCAATAAAAGAATATGACACATCCATGGATTGTCATAGACAGCTGACTGTTAGCGTGGCGGTATTAATAAAAGATTTCAGTTGTTTGCTGACAGTGAACTCATTTGACAAGCTGTGCAGAAAGCAGCATAGCTCATAAAATGACTCAAAAATTAAGTAAAAAAATAAATGACTTTTGAGTATATTTCACCTGATGTAAGAGATGGGTTAGTGCAACAATGAGGAAAATCTGGAATCGCTAAGTTATAGCCTCAAACAATAAAGCATTGTTGCGGTTTTGGCAATAAACTGATGCAACAAATCCCACGATTGAACAGAATGGTTTAGCAATTCGAACACATCTTCCTCCACTCATGTAGTTGGGGAGAGAGTGAAATAAAGGGGACTGGGAATACCCAGTATAGAACCCAAACCCTCCCTACACATGGTGGAGAAAATTAAATACTGACTTGACACATTAAACGGTGTATTCATTCTCCACCTTTATATACTTTTTAGAACACCCCTTAACATGTAATGCCATCAACTACAAATTCCTACAAAATGATCTCATAAGGGGGCATTAAGATGTTGAATACTCGCTTTATACAAAATACAGCTTTTGTAAAAGGATCTAATTTTTTAGAAAAATGTCACATGAAGAGCACTGTACCATTAGGAGGGCAAGATCTTTCAACTTGATTATTCTGTAACTAAGTTTAGGATTTTTGCGGTCCTTGAACAATTGAGATACGTATTTTTGTCCTTGCAACTCCTCAATTACGAAAGCAGACATGCAGTTCACATGCTACATTCCAGAGTGAAAGTTATTTACTGTATAAATCCATTCACTGTCAGCTAACCTAGTATCTGGTAAAAAAAACCTCAATGCCAAAAAGCTATGATCAGCAGACTAGAATCCAGTAGACCACGCCTGTTACGGAATAAGAAATTGAATTTAACTTTCTTGATTAAAATTATATGTGCAGATTCCTAAATCCACTGACATAAGAAATGAGCTTCTCAGAACTCTGGTTAGATAAATATCTAGGTTTTACCTAGCTTGGATTAGCAAATAAAGTTGATCAATTAAGGCAAACTAAACTCAGCACCAAGGCACTGCATCTGACTTGAGTGGCTATTCACCATTTTTAAATCCTACCACAACCTGTAAATGAACAGACATTTACAGGCAAATGAAATAAGTTTGAAAAATATTAGATCAGTGCTTTCAAACAGTCTTCAAGCCGCACCAAATCCAGGATTTTGCCAATTCTGTTAAATGTGGGGATGTTGGGAAAATAAAATAAAACTAGACTGCATGCCTTGAGGACTGGCTGAGAACCACTGAATTGCATTATTCATTATACGGTCTATTGTGTGCAGGTAAGGTCTACTTTATGCACTTACACTGGAATTTAATAAAATGAAATTTGAAATTCAAGAGTATGGGAATGTCATGCTTTTTACATCTGTTCTGCAGCAAAACAAGATTTAAATTTAAAAAAAAAAAATTTAATTCAATACATCAAAAATGCTCAAATGTGGAGGCTGCTCTCACAGATTATCAATGTTGCTGTTTTATGAGAGCCAATCACAGTAAGGTTTGCACTTTTACTCAAAAATCCTCATTTTTTGTGAGAGACTTAATTCGGACTATTTGCCAATCTGGCTTCAATAAGAAATCCATGGAAAAAAAAAAACTAGAAAATTACCAAATGAGGAGGTTAAGAACATTTTTGGTCTAAACTCACTGATGCGTTCCAACAACATTGAAAAGAAACACAATCAAGACATACAGTTGTAATCTTTATTAACAATATTCATAAATGTTTAGTATATCCAGCATTATTGTAGTTCATTTGCTAACACAGACTACTTTAAAATGTTGATACCAATTAATGACTGCTGTTGGACACCAATAAGCACAGTAATATACACCTTGAAGGTTTAGCAGTTATCGAACCTTAGAATTTGCTTATGTTGCAAATGTACGGTTTGTTTTGGAATATGTGTCCTGAATGCATGTTAACACAGAACATTTTTGTCTTCTGGTCACAACCCAATTCCAAACTTTATATTAGGATATACAGATATATGGAGTCAGTTTTAATGCCTTAAAAATTTGCTGCAGACTAGCAGATCCCCTTAGTGCCACAGATTGATGTATGCATGTACCATGCAGGTCCATGTAACCTGGAGCCATGGACAAAGAAAATACATGCAATTTTCTCGACACAGGCATGCGACGCAATCTGCGACTGCTCTACAATTGTGTAAACCACAGGTAGGCCGGGAATATTTGCGCTGTGATGAGGACTCGTTACTCTTTGTAAGATGAAACTACAGCAGCATGGACAGGCATAAGTTGCTTTTTCCTGGCTCAAATTAATTCCTCGAAATGCAGTTTGTTTCATCCCATAAAAAAAGTCCACAAATAAATCCATTAAAAAAAAAAAAAAAGAAAAAAAAACTGAACAAAACCAAATTTAGAATGAGCTTCATGAAATTAACCAGGAGGATTGTTTTTTTCTGTTTAAATTTGAAAACTAAAATGTGCTACAGCTTTACATACAGATCTTGTAAACTGTAAAAATTAGTACACGTTTGCAAAAAGGTTGTGCAAAACTATTGTATTTACAAAATGGCACAAAAGTGAATTCAACAGTCTATGCACATGCACACTTCATCCACATCTTCAACATAAGGTTCTACACTACTAACCAGGAAAATACCAGCTTCAACAGGTCTCTTTCATTACATACTAGGTTCATGAAAGGTTACAGCCATGTGAGCAAATATTGCCCAAGTCGAATCCTATCGTTAAAGCTGAGAAAGGTTTAAGGCCATTCAAGTTAAAAGGGCAGAAAGCTGAGAACAACCTTTGAGAACCCAGTTTGATTTGACATGCTTTCTTTCAAAACATAATTTGTGGTCTTAAACTCCAAAGAAAAGTTAAAAAGGAAGGGAAATTGTTTAGAAAAAAACAAAAAACACTACAGTATGAAGGAAATCAAGTTGTGAAAGAAAAGCAAAAACAGTAAAACAGTTAAACCCACAGAAGTGTCCATTGCTTATACCTGATAGAGGCATTATGTACAATTAAATGTTGTGTTTGTTTTCAAGTAGCTTAACTTTACATTGCTATACCAAAACAGGTCTATTTATCAGTGCATTGTTTTCAGACTATTCTACATATCCTACACTCCAGACAGCTGCTTGCCATACTACTGCCTGCTAAGCCGTCAGCCCGACTACAGTGTTTAGGGAGAAAGAGCAGAAAGGGAAAATAAAATAAAGTGAAAAATCATTAAAAAAAAGGAAAAATAAAGTGAAGAAAAAAAAAAAAAAGGCAGAAAATAAATGGGAATGAGGTGGTTTCATGCAGATAGGCGAGTTGATCAACCAGCCAATTTGCTGGCAACCAGAGAAGGTTTCCTCTGCGGAAGGTCCTGTGGAGTAGGAATATGATCACCAGTGACTTCTGTTTTGTCCGGAGCAGCTGCTGGAAGTTGCTTGTTCTTTATTTTCGCCTTGGCCATGTTGTAGTCCCCAGAATCAAAATATTTTTGCTAGGAAAATAAGTATGAAATAGTGTTAGTGAATCACTGATTGTAAAACATCAAATTATTCCTCAAGACAACCTAGTAGAATACTGGAAAAGCAGACATGATAAACCTTTCACATGTTCGAGAGGAGACACCATTCATACATAGAGGGTTGATACAAAGCATACACAAGATGTGCATCCCAAAACAAGGTCTATTCTTTAGCAACAGATCTCCCTTTAGATTCCCATCATGTCATTATTTTTTTTGACCAGTGCTGCCAAGCAGAACATCTATTTCATACACTTCTCACAGCAAAGGACAGAGTGCCCACTTCTTCAAGCTGTAACAAATGCATTTATAAGTGCCCCCCCAACACCTTACATCTGGTAATATGTTGAATATAAAGCATAGCCTCCACATGATTAACCCTCACTATTGCTCCTGATACTACAGGTATCAGAAACCAAGTTCTAGGTCCCATGGCGTTTTTGGTTTGCAAATCAAATCATTGCAAAACATTTTATAAGTAATCCAAAAGCAGAGAACCACCCCCTCCCGCTCTGAAAAAAACAAACATTCTATAAATAAGAACAGAACTGTTTAATAAGCACAAGCTATGCTCTATCAAACACTGATTACATTAATGTATGTACTTACTCCTTTTGTAAGTCGTTTTCTCAAGAAGTCTGACCCTCCAGGTTTTGGCCCCAGGTGTGGATATCTAGCTTTTAATTTTGCCTCTTCAGCTTTCTCAGGGCTGATCACCTTATCATCCATTTCCTATGGAGAGGGATACATAAAAGTCAATATACATATACAACAAATAGGAACACACACTTTATAGTTGATAACACAGGAGAACAAAAGCCAAAATCAGTATGTGGTAACCCCTACATTTACAGAGGATTACCATTCTAACCAGCAATGATCTGTAGTAGTTCTGGTGTGTATAATCATGCACTGCAGGCATTTTCATGTAAACACTGCCTTTTCAGAGAGGTGCACTGGAGGTGCTTCTTGGGGCAGTGCTGCACTTACCATTCAGCATCTCCATGCAGTTTTCCTCATAGGAATGCATTGATTCGTGTTTGTGTTCCTGACCCTGTAATGTTACTTTAAGTTAACATTTTATGATGCAACATACAAATTGACCAAAAATGCTTTGTTGCTTCTTTTCCCCCCTGAACCAACGGCTAGGAGGACAAAGTTTCTTGGATTTGAGTCTTGGGTTAAATCTCATGTTAAGCTAAGCTTCTCATTGGTTTAAGTGACGTCAATGACAACTCCATCGTTATAAAAGCAGCTTAAAAATTAATTGGCTCCAACATTAGCATGTCTCAAACACTGCTCCTCTTAACAGATGGATGCCAGAACGCCCGTTGCACACAGATGAAGGCTTGCATGTTTCCTACGCCTCAGGATTTACATTTAGAGAAAGTATAAGGAAGCGTCAGAAGACAGTGATCTTTTCTTCTCCTACGTTGAAACATTGATAAAGTGAGCTTCAGTCAGGTTCTCTAAATTTCAAAACACTTGCAGGGTTATTCACCAATCTGTAACTGTTGGAAATTCAAAGTGCGTTCCAAACTTTAGACTAAGACAGCTGCACTGAAAATATTTTGGTTAATATTTTTAAAATCAGATACTATTGGCCAACAATTAAAATTCACTTTGAGGGGGGCATGTCCTGCAACTCTGAACGGTGTTACATCTCGAGAGCTCCTGACATTCCGAGTAAAAGAGCCATTTTTACCCCTAAAAATGCCCAGATGGATAACAAAAAGAAATCCTTGGCATCCCAGAACTGGCTGGAACCTGGATTGAAAAAAAAAAATAAAATAAATAAAAAAAAATGCAGGGCAGGAGGGCTCACCACCCAATTACATTAGCACTACAAGAACACAATATCAGGCATCGCTGAGGTTACCTCTTTTCGTTGTCCGTGCTCCAAGAGGGGCCAACACACTTCATCAGAACTGCGGCGGATGTTCCAGAATTTCAGTGGTGCCTTAACCTGCCTAAGGTGGATGTTGCGGACTGGTATGTTGAAGCTTCCATGCCCTTGGGTAAAGCATTGCCTCAACAGCCTAAGTGGAAACATACTGCAGGCAGGAAAAGGCATCGCAACAGCCTAGCACAAGAGCTAGACAAGACACTTACATCTCGAGATGTAACACCGTTCAGAGTTGTATGCACCCTACCACATAGGCGGCTTTTGATGCCCATTTGGCCATCACTAATAGAAGGGCAGATGGCTCAGATAGAAGTCCAAATCCTGGGACTATGACCCCCTCCATTATGGTCCTATAAAGTATTATGCTCATAGCCTTGCATTTTGTGGGTCCTACTTATTTGTATTTACTTTGGTTGTGGTTAACCGTTTCTCCCTCCCCTATTTCATTCATAAATTTTTCATCAACACAACAGTCTCTAGGGGCAGCGGGGTGTTTATCCCCCCCGGTGGCACCACGTTGGGTAATCCCCTTCACTAAAGGCCTCTTAAAGGGGCCATCTATTCCACGGCTCCACTGTATGCACCGGCAGAAAGGACGGGGCAACTAACCTCCCTGTATATTTACAAACGTTATACTAATGTCCGGTCTGCAGAGTGATCTTAAGGATTGTTGGGCCATTATCTGGGAAGCTCTGGCTGCCTATGTCCTATGCTAAGCCCCACCCAACCACCCTGTATCTGTGACATTAATGGTATAAACTCAGAGGGGGTTTTCTTCAGAGGTTTATTACTTTTATAATTGTGTATAGTTCACGAACGGCTGGGGGCCACTACGAGAGCAACACCGTCTCCTATTTGGGACACTATTTGCGCCCCCTTGTATTACTGCTTGCAGTGCTCTTTTAAATTGTTATTTGTTTTACTTTCTTTTGAGCACACTTTTCCCATAGTTTTTATTTTCCAGAAAGTGACTGTTGTACGAGACCCAGACTCCAGAGTGATAGGGCGTTTAATTTTGTGTACCTTTGATGCAAACATTTAAGGTCGTATATTATAACGTCAAGGGCCTTAACTCCTCTGAAAAGAGGCAGATGGCAATATGCGACTTCCTTCAAATGGAAGCCAACGTGGTTTTTTGTACAGGAAACACTTTCAGGGGGGAGGGGGCTCCTAAATTGAGCCATAAACAATTCCATATTGCCACTATAACAACTTCCATTTAAGTAAAACACGTGGGGTGGCCATATTAGTCGGCTCACAAATCCCATTTACATATCAACACCAGATCATGGACACCTCAGGGAGGTACATTATTCTTGAAGGGCTGGTGGGATCATCCCATCACCCAATCTCTCCAATAAAAAACAATGTTCCTCATTTAGGCGCATAATATCAGTAGTCCGACGCTATGCAGAAGGAATCATCCTTATAGGAGGTGACTTCAATATCTCCCTGGATGCCCAAAGAGACAGCACTGCTACAAACCCTGCACATCTTGCTTTGGCTAGGGCCCAGATGCACAGACTACTCCACGGCAGTCAATTAAATGACTGCTGGAGAATCCAGAACCCATCTACCAAAGATTTTACCTTCTATTCGCCTCCAAACAGGACATGCACTAGAACAGACTATTTCCTAGTGGCACACAAGGACCTTTCACTGATGCGCAACACAAATATAGGTAATATTGTCTGGTCCGACCATGCTCCCATTTCACAGACTATAGCGATCCCACGGTACCTGTAATAAAGTACCAGTGGAAACATAACCCTTACCTACTACAAAACCCCAGAGTACGTCAAGCACTTTCAACTATCACATTACTTCCAGGAAAACAAGACATCCGATACCACTAAACAATACAATGGGAAGCCCATAAGTGTGTCCTGAGGGGAGAGCTAGTGAAGTGGGGAACGCAGTTAAAGAGGGAGAAGTCTAGTACTAGGAAAAGACAACTCCAGGATATTGCAGAACTGGAGGACATACATAAAGACCTAAAGATACGTTGTCAGACTATTGCAAACTAGCCTCTCTTAGGTCTGAGCTCAAGATCTTGATGGGCGATAACACAAAAAAAAAAAAAATAAAAAAAAAATAAACAGATTTTATTCACAGGGAGATAGATGTGGGAAGCTGTTGGCGTCTGCGCTAAAAACTCAACAACAGCATATATACATTCCTAAAATTAAAAAGGACAGACAGGACGATGGCCCATACTGACGATGATATTGCCGAGGCGTTTAGAGACTTATCACTCCCTCTATAATTTGAAACACACACCCTTAAGTAGGGAAGACATAAAAAGCCCACTTGGAGTGCAACTTAGGCAATAAGATATCCCGCATAGAAGCTCCCTTCACAGTAGAGGAGCCGTCTAAGGCCATCCATACCGCTCCATCTAACAAAGTCCCAGGACCAGACGGCTTTTCTAATATCTATTACAAAACTTTTGTTCAGGAACTATCACTCTATTTTTTGGAATCAATTAATTTGTTAACCAATTCGACTGCCCTTCCCCCCTCCAGTCTAGAAGCCACAATTACCCTGATCCCCAAACCCAGAAAAGACCCAGAGGCCTGTGGTAGCTTCCGTCCCATTTTGCTGATTAATGTGGACATAAAGCTATTTACTAAAAGAGATCACTTTTACAGGGATTGAAACATCCAGACCAAGCGGGGTTTGTTCCAGCGCGAGAGGCCAAGATAATACCACCAAGAGATAGTGGATTTAGTTCAATGGGCACAAAGAGGGGGGGACCCAGCCATCGTGTTGGCGATAGATGCTGAAAAGGCGTTGGAAAGGGTGGACTGGCCGTTCCTCTCTCACATTGGAAACTCTGGGTTTCGGACCCGCTTGGATACAGTGGATTAGGGCCATATATTCACGACCCACTGCGTGCATAAAAGTGAACGGTCAATTGTCTTTACCATTGCCCATTACCAACAGTACCAGACAGAGCTGCCCCTGTCACCTCTAATGTTTATTTTGGTGTTAGAACCACTGCAAGTATCAGGGGCATCCGGGTGGGACCACCGGAATTTAAGGTGTCCGCCTTTTTTCGGACGATTTGCTTTTTACGATCACCAATCCAGGCTTACCCTCCTGTATTTGGTAGACAAAGTGAACACATAACTCATTGACTAACTTCAAAATCAAAGTAGATAAATGTGAAATACTTACGCTACAATCTGGGGAAGCAGAGCGACTACAAAGGGAATTCCGGTTCCATTGGGCCCCTAAATCGATCAAGTACCTGGGGGTTTACATTCCAGCATATACTAGAGCTCTATATGTATTCAACTTTCCCGGTTTACTGACAGCCATACAAGCAGACCTGCAGGTGTGGGATAAACCCCTTCTCAGATGGATGGGTAGGGTCAATGCTACATCGATGAACATACTCCCTCGCACTCTGTATCTGCTAAACACAATACCAACATACCTCCCAAGACGGTTCTTTATAAATATTCAGACACTGTTCACAAGATTCATCTGGGCGGGGTTATGTTGCAAGAAATTAACTATAAAGTAATCTCAGGTTGGTATATCACGCCACAGGACATCAACCGTTTTCACCCAACCACATCCCTCCCATCTGCTGGATGTTCGGAGGGGCGGCAGGTGATGTTGCACATATAGTGGAAGTGCAAGGAAATATTGCCCTTCTGGGTACAGGTAGTGACCACAATACAGGAAACCTAGGGCACGAACATCTCTCTTGAGATGGACAACCTGTTACTCCTACACAATGACACAGCTCTGACAAATATAAAAACTCATTACTGTATTTTATGCTCACTGCCGCCAAGTCGGTAATTGCGAGCTTGTGGAAAGCAACCAGGACACCGGGTTTAAGGGAAGTGATTTCTAAAATCAAGCACTTCCGCATCCTAGAAGAGCTCCGTTGGTCATCTCTGGGGAAACCTGCAGTTTATATCAAGATCTGGCAGCCCTGGATCTCCTATATGGGCAGTAGAGTAGAAAGTATACAAACAGCGGACCTGGCTAAAGTCAGCGGAGAGTTGAAATCTTTGTTACTGCGTGAACCCCATCATAGATTTCGTGAGTGCAGTATAGAAAGCCAGTGCCCCCATCTCTAATCCAGTGAATAAATGAAAGGGAGACCCATATAGGTTACATGATACCTCAGCCTTTTCCCATTTTTTTGGTCATGTTCGTCCAAATTAAAAAGTCGCCCTCAAAATGGGAGTAGTATGTACAACATGTGTGCTAAGAATTATACTCTAATCAATGTATTCTTTTTTCTGTTAGTTTAGTGGTTCTTACACATCTTGTGTTTATGGTTATCTATGCATTTCTACGGTCATATAGTCTCAGCACTCTGGCAATCTCGTGATAAGATACATGTCGTGGGAGCCCCAGGGCCCTGATGTGTTTCAAGATAGTTTATCCCTACACCCAGTAGGCCCCCTCCATTGACAGACATACATACACTCACTGATTTCACACATTGCAACACTCACACTTACTCACAAATCATTACTTTTATTATTTTAAATTCACCCAGCCTCCCTACCTTTTGGGCTGCAGTCATCTCTGCTTCCTAGAGCACCGTTTAGTGATCTGGCAAAAAAGATGCCATATTCCAGCTCCAAGCACGAGGGAACAGAGCTACAGATCCTTGCTGCCGCCTGCCTCCCACGTTCCTCGACTAGTGGATGCTAATGTACATATGCAACGAGTGCCGTTCCAACATAAGGCCTCCCAATAGAAATAGCAATGAATCAATGTTTTCCAATGAATAAATAGCTGATGCTATTCAGTTACTGGACCAAAAGTCCATGACGTGTCTCGTGGCTGTCTGGTAGACAGCCACTGGAGGCAGACTTAGTGCTGCAATGTTTAACATTGCAGCACAAACTACAATAGGGACACTGTACCCAGATCACTTCAACCAACTGAAGCAGTATGGGTGCCTATAGGGTCTTTTTAATGAGCCTGGGAGAGAGAGGGAAACAAAAAAATTCAGTAGTCAGGGTATTTTGTCCCTTTTACAATGACTGATATGAGGTTAGGCATTTGACATCTGACACTGGCACTTCTCTATGGAAATAAAAGGCCAAGACCTCACAACCCAAAAGGTTGAAAAGTACCTACCCGAAAATGCTCTCTCCTCAGCACTGCTATACATATTCTATGAATAAAAGGGAACACACAGCAACTAGCGGGAACAAATACAATTATTGCTGCTATTTATAACCAATTACTGTGATCCTTACACGAAATGTAAATGCTAAATCGTATCAGCATATCAAAAAACAGACATCAGGCTGTGGGTTCCCTCACATCTTGTGTAAGGATCCTTGGACATATGGCACAAAAGAGAAAACAAAAATAGTGCAGACCATCCGATTTACAGTACCCAATAGAAATAGCAATGAACTTCAATGTTTTCCAATGAATAAATAGCTGATGCTATTCAGTTACTGGACCAAAAGTCTGTTAGGATACATGACGTGTCTCGTGGCTGTCTGGTAGACAGCCACTGGAGGCAGACTTAGTGCTGCAATGTTTAACATTGCAGCACAAACTACAATAGGGACACTGTACCCAGATCACTTCAACCAACTGAAGCAGTATGGGTGCCTATAGGGTCTTTTTAATGAGCCTGGGAGAGAGAGGGAAACAAAAAAATTCAGTAGTCAGGGTATTTTGTCCCTTTTACAATGACTGATATGAGGTTAGGCATTTGACATCAAATATAGATGACACTGGCACTTCTCTATGGAAATAAAAGGCCAAGACCTCACAACCCAAAAGGTTGAAAAGTACCTACCCGAAAATGCTCTCTCCTCAGCACTGCTATACATATTCTATGAATAAAAGGGAACACACAGCAACTAGCGGGAACAAATACAATTATTGCTGCTATTTATAACCAATTACTGTGATCCTTACACGAAATGTAAATGCTAAATCACATAAGTATCAGCATATCAAAAAACAGACATCAGGCTGTGGGTTCCCTCACATCTTGTGTAAGGATCCTTGGACATATGGCACAAAAGAGAAAACAAAAATAGTGCAGACCATCCGATTTACAGTACAGAAAGACATATCAAAATAAATAAAAACAAACAGTTATATCATGAGATAAAAAACAAAAAAAACCCTATACTACTGAAACTTGCACAACCTGAACATAGGGTTCGAAGTAGGAAAAAGCACAGAAGGAGATATACATTTATTAGAATGTACAATTTTGGTAATAAGGAATGTAAGCTTGCTTTGCAAGTAAATGAAATGGTTAGTCTAAGGACCACATCCACTTCGCATCCCTGTAACATACAGTGGTTTATAGAACCAGATATTTGTAAAATACTACTATAAGAAAGTCCATCAAGCCATCAGCCAGCCCAGAACACTTAGTTCTTTGTTCCCAGCATCAACTTTGTCCCTGTGACCTTACATCTTTGCGGCCTTCAATTTATTAAACAGTTCCAATCCCCCTATGAAAGAATTGAAACTATTCTTTGGTATTACACAACTATTTTGATGTTACATTTGAAATTCACTTTGAATTCTTAGCAATCCTCAATTTAGTGTTTATAGCACTGGGAAACATTTCCGCTGAACAGGGTCCCAGCCAGGCACCGCGACACTATAAGACCTTGACCTGTAGTGTTGGCAGGCTGGGAGGAATGCAGGTCCGCTGACACTGGGCCCGCCCTCTTGGCGGAGATCATCAGAATTGACAATCTCAGCCAATCCAATACGTTCCCATATGAAAGCATTGGGAGGCTAATGAGCACGTGTGACAAAATGTTGCGCTGGCCAATCAGCATCTCCTCATAGAGATGCATTAAATCTCTACGGGGAATGTTCCGCTGGATATACTGCACATTGTACAGCATTTACCCAGGAAGCACCTCTAGTGGCCATCAGATTAAATGCCACTGAGATGTCCCTAGGCACTAGCAGTAATGTAAACACTGCCTTTCTTCTGAAAAGGCAGAGTATATAGCCTGTCCCTGCAGACATTTTCATGTAGACACCAGAACAACTGTGTCCAGTGCTGCACAGGATGATGAAGTAAGCCATGCAGGCAGATCACAGGAGCCAGCAGCAGACTGCAATATTTGACTGTAAGATTTTGCTATATTTAGGGGGCCAGATGGCGTCTTTTACACTATAGGGTCAGGAATACATGTTTGTGTTCCTTTAAATATAGTTGCCTATGCAAAACCATGTAACAATGATGTCACCTTTGCTAAATGAAAAACTTCCATATGGAAATAAAATAACAGCAATGCAGTTTTAAAACATTTGTAATCCAAATAAGAATACGGATTGGACGTGCCTCATATTTACAGAAATCAAGAAGATTAAAATAACCATCATGATAATGTACTGTGCAATAAGAAGCATGCTAAACGAATGCTCAAAACAAAACCATGGCATCAGGTCTCCATAGTGACAAAAATAGGACCTTGCACCAAGATTTGCTTCCCTGTAGGGACTAGAAGGAAAAAAATATTACGTACAGGAACTCTTATAGACTGCAAGTGAGTTGGTTGAATGTGTGCTGGAGTTTAATAGAGTTCAAACTATTAATCCTCAATCCTGATTCAGATAGATGGGAGGATTTGGGCAATTGTTGGGTTAAGAAAAAAACAAAACAAATTTCTGCACTAAATTTCTGATTAATATACATGTATATTTACATTATAAAATAGAGCTTTGCAGCATGTGCCTTTTAGTGACTGCAAGTGAGGTGGGGCTATGATGCTGTAACTGGAATGGTGCCTGCTGTGGCAACTAGGAAGTCTCCTTCATCCTATCCTACATCTGATGAGCAGGATTTAAGCATGGCCAAGTGTTGAGAGCAGCACTCAATAGGTCACCAGCAAAGTTCTCTATACGGGGTTCATTCAACGCCCCAACAAATAAATTAGGGCAGGGTTCTTCCAAATAATAGATTCTCCAGATGTTACATAACTACAGCTCCCATGATGCTCTGCTAGCCTAAATAGTATTTGAATTAGACTAGAAGCTATAGATATCTCTTTTGGAGCCAACCCCTGCCTCATGAGCATAAAACAAATCCTCAGTAATGCAATATATATTATAATACACAGAGGAAGCCTGTTTGACCATGATGCCCAATCATTGAGAGGATGCAGCTCAGTATCACGAATTAGACTCTCCCACCCCCAGGGATGCTGGGGGATTAGACTCTCCCACCCCCAGGGATGCTGGGGGATTAGACTCTCCCACCCCCAGGGATGCTGGGGGATTAGACTCTCCCACCCCCAGGGATGCTGGGGGATTAGACTCTCCCACCCCCAGGGATGCTGGGGGATTAGACTCTCCCACCCCCAGGGATGCTGGGGGATTAGACTCTCCCACCCCCAGGGATGCTGGGGGATTAGACTCTCCCACCCCCAGGGATGCTGGGGGATTAGACTCTCCCACCCCCAGGGATGCTGGGGGATTAGACTCTCCCACCCCCAGGGATGCTGGGGGATTAGACTCTCCCACCCCCAGGGATGCTGGGGGATTAGACTCTCCCACCCCCAGGGATGCTGGGGGATTAGACTCTCCCACCCCCAGGGATGCTGGGGGATTAGACTCCCCCCCAGGATGCTGGGGTATTAGACCTCCCCCAGGGATGCTGGGGATTAGGACCTCTGTGATGCTGGGATTAGACCTCCCCAGGGATGCTGGGGATTAGACCCCCCAGGGGATGGGGATTAGATCCAAGGACGGGGGATTAGACCTTCCCCCCAAGGGATGCTGGGGGGATTAGGACCTTCCTCAAGGGATGCTGGGGATTAGACTCCCCTGGGCGATGCTGGGATTAGACTCTGTGATGCTGGGATTAGGACTTCAGGGATGCTGGGGATAGACTTCTAGGATGCTGGGGGGATAGATTTCCAGGATGCTGGGGATTAGACTTGGTGATGCTGGGGATTAGACTTCCAGGATGCTGGGATTGTGATCTCCCTTTCCCTCCCCCAGGATGCTGGGATTAGACTTTCCCCTGGCAGGGATGCTGGGGATTAGACTTTCCCTCCCCAGGGATGCTGGGGATTACTTGTGGGATGCTGGGGATTAGACTTCTCCCCCCCAGGGATTGACTTTCTCCCCAGGATGCTGTATCAGACTTTCTCCCCAGGGATGCTGGGATTAGACTTTCTCCCCAGGATGCCGGGGACAGACTTTCCTCCCCAGGATGCGCCGGGGATTAGACTCTCCCCCACACAGGGATGCTGGGGATTAGACTTTCTCCCGATGCTGGGGATTAGACTTTCTCCCCCAGGGATGCTGGGGGATTAGACTTTCTCCCCCAGGATGCTGGGATTAGACTTCTCTCCCAGGATGCTGCTGGGATTAGATTTCCCAGGATGCTGCTGGGGATAGGACTTTCCCCAGGGATGCTGGGACAGACTTCCCTCCCCTGTGGGATGCTGGGGATTAGACTTTCCCCCCCCAGGGATGCTGGGGATTAGACTCTCCCCTCCCAGGGGTGCTGGGGGATTAGACTCTCCCCTCCCAGTGGTGCTGGGGGATTAGACTCTTCCCTCCCAGGGGTGCTGGGGGATTAGACTCCCCCCTCCCAGGGATGCTGGGGATTAGACTCCCCCCTCCCAGGGGTGCTGGGGGATTAGACTCCCCCCTCCCAGGGGTGCTGGGGGATTAGACTCTCCCCTCCCAGGGGTGCTGGGGGATTAGACTCTTCCCTCCCAGGGGTGCTGGGGGATTAGACTCTTCCCTCCCAGGGGTGCTGGGGGATTAGACTCTTCCCTCCCAGGGGTGCTGGGGGATTAGACTCTCCCCTCCCAGGGGTGCTGGGGGATTAGACTCTTCCCTCCCAGGGGTGCTGGGGGATTAGACTCCCCCCTCCCAGGGATGCTGGGGGGATTAGACTCCCCCCTCCCAGGGATGCTGGGGGATTAGACTCCCCCCTCCCAGGGATGCTGGGGGATTAGACTCCCCCCTCCCAGGGATGCTGGGGACAGACTCTTCCCCTACCTCAGGATGCTGGGGATTAGACTTTTCCCCTGCACGCTGTAGGGATGCTGGGGATTAGACTTTCCCCTGGCCTCAGGGATGCTGGGGATTAGACTTTCCCCACGGATGCTGGGGGATAGACTTTTCCCCACTTGTGATGCTGGGGGATTAGATTTTCCCCACTCTACCCCAGGGATGCTGGGGGATTAGACTTTCCCCACTCCCCACCCCAGGGATGCTGGGGATTAGGACTCTTCCCCCAGGGATGCTGGGGATTAATTTCCCCACCCCCACCCCAGGATGCTGGGATTAGACTTTTCCCCAGGATGCTGGGATTAGATTTCTCCCCAGGATGCTGGGATTAGACTTCTCTAGGGATAGACTTTCCCCAGGATGCTGGGATTAGACTCTCCCCTCCCAGGGATGCTGGGGATTAGACTCTCCCCTCCCAGGGATGCTGGGGATTAGACTCTCCCCTCCCAGGGATGCTGGGGATTAGACTCTCCCCTCCCAGGGATGCTGGGGATTAGACCTGTTCCCTGCGAGCATTTAATAAGCCATGGAGACACTAGGCCATGCCCTGGTATAAGCTCAGCCTCCAGCAGCCCCAGCCGCCTTTTCCTTATCATTAAACCGTGACTCATCCTCATGGAAGCCGGCTCCCTCCATATTGCGGCCCGGTGGCCCCGCACTGCCTCTCCAGGCTCACCTTCTGCTCGTCCGTAACGTTGTCCTCCGGCACGCTGCTCTCCTGGTTCTCGGTGGACATGGCGGAGGGAGATACTGCGGCTGACGGCCTCCTCTCACAGCGCCCTACGATACCTCCCGGCTCCCTCCACACGAAGATGGCGGCGCTGGAGAGTACGTCACGGTCACGTGACGATAAGGACGCCGAGAGCGGCTGGGGAATCCTGGGCACAGGCTCTCAGACTGTGACCTTGACCACGCCCCCTGGCATGACGTCACCACGCGCACGCATTGACAGGCCGGTGTGAGAGCTGGCAGTGATGTCAGTGTGTGGGCAAAGTGATGGCTGACCTTGTCACCTCACATGGTGACCTGCATGGCCATCATACCCAGACAGCCTTAAAGGGCTTCTCGGGACAGTTATATAACTGAAATAAGCGTAACATAACCCCCTTTATATTTGATAATACTTGGTAGTCTGCTACATTTATATTAAGGATTTAGCAATGAATATCACAAACCTGTTCAAAGCCTGGCTCACACTGTATTGGGAGAGGAGACACAGTGTTTCCACATCAAACTGAAGCAGCATTGAAGGCGCAATGTAAAGGGACACTAAAGTCACCAGAACAACTACAGCTTATTGAATTTGTTCTGGTGAGTAGAATCATTACCTTCAGGCTTTTTGCTGTAAACACTGTCTTTTCAGAGAAAATGCAGTGTTTACTTTACAGCCTAGTGATAACTTCACTGGCCACTCCTTAGATGTCTGTTAGAGATCCATCCTGGGTCATGGCTGCCTAAACTGCATCCAAACATTCAGTATCTCCTCCCTCTGCATGCAGACACTGAACTTTCCTCATAGAGATTCATTGATTCAATTCATCTCTATGGGGAGATGCTGATTGGCGCAGAGTGGCGGTTTGCTGCAATTGCGCATTAAAGGACCACTATAGTGCCATGAAAACATACTCGTTTTCCTGCCTCTATAGGGTCCTTGGGTCCCCCTCACCCTCTGGGTCCCCCTCACGCCAGGCTCTTGGGTGAGGAAGGGGTTAAATTCCTACCTTTTTCCAGCGCTGGGCTCCCTCGGCGCTGGGGAATCTCCTCCTTCTTCTGCCGTCATCGGCTGAATGTGCATGCGTGGCAAGAGCCGCGTGCGCATTCAGCCAGTCTCATAGGAAAGCATTCTCAATGCTTTCCTATGATAATCACAGTGAGAAGCCCGGAAGCGCCTCTAGCAGCTGTCAATGAGACAGCCACTAGAGGCTGGATTAACCCATTTGTAAACATAGCAGTTTCTCTGAAACTGCTATGTTTACAGCAGGCAGGGTTAATCCTAGATGGATCTGGCACCCAGACCACTTCATTAAGCTGAAGTGGTCTGGGTGCCTATAGTGGTCCTTTAACCTCCCAATGCTTTCCAATTGGAAAGCATTGGATTGTCTGACATCATCAATTCTGGTAATCTAAGCCAGGATGCTGAGCCAACGCCGGCGGACCCGCTTGAATAAAAGTACAATCACCTAAAGACTATGATCTACTAAGCAACCCCCTGTGCATTTCCACTCCCCTGTGTACTTTTCTCACCTAGTGCCCCTTGTTCGCTACCCAGGAGACGTTATCAGGGAGCCAGAGTGTCCAGCAGGAGTAACTTATGTTCCGTTTTGGAGATAGTACTGCTGATCCATTCACGGCTTCTCTTATATTGAAGGGAGGGCTTGCAGCACTAAATACATATTCATTGTTCAGAGGTTTGCATTGTCGCTGCATTGTGAGCGCTCTGATTTTAGTTATGTCATAATTTGCAAACTAAATTAATATGCAGTAAACAAATTCAATTTGAAATTAAGCTAACAATTTATACACGATTGCAGGATATGGTTACATAGCCTGGCAGTCATGTATACATAAGCACCAGTGTGAAGGGGTTATTTGAATCAAAAGTGTAAATTTTGTTTGAACAAATAAAGCTATTAAAAAAATAATTGACCAAATAAAAAGTTGTAGACATTTCCCCCACATGTTCTATAATACTTTCACATATACATGATCCTATATAAAATATACATATATATATATAAATATATATATATATATATATATATATATATATATAAAACAATAAAAAGATTGATTTTCTCACCCCTCCTGGGTGGTATGTTTATTCCTCATTCTCAGGTCCTCTACCAGAGTCCTGGGAGTTTGAGAGTTCTGCGCAGTATCCTAGCTGTTCCTAGAACTGCACTGTTCTGGACAGAGATCTCAGATGTCCCACCTGGATTCTGTTGAAGCCACTCCCCCAACCTGGGAGTCACAGCCCCGAGTGCTCCTATCACAATTGGGACTACTACTGCCTTTACCTTCCACATCCTTTCTAGTTCTTCTTTCAGTCCATAGTATTTGTCCACCTTCCCATGTTCCTTCTTCCTGATGTTATAGTCACTGGGTATTGCCACATCCACCATGACTGCAGTCTTTTGTTCCTTGTCTACCACCACGATGTCAGGTTGGTTGGCCAGCACTTGCTTTTCTGTCGGAATCTTAGCCCTGCCATTCTCAACTACCCTTTGTGGTAACTCCCATCTGGACTTAGGCAGGTCCATTCCATATTCTGTACAGATGTTTTGGTACACAATCCCAATAACTGGGTTGTGTTTCTCCGTGTCTGCTGTTCCTGCTAACAACTTGCATCTGGCTACTAGGTGCTGGACTGTCTCAGAGGCCTTTTTGCACAGTCTGCACCTTGGGTCTTGCCTGGTGTGGTGGACTCTAGCTTCTATTGATCTGGTGCTGAGTGCCTTTTCCTGTGCTGCTAGGATTAGTGCCTCATTGTGGTCTTTCAGTCCTGCCTTTTCCAACACTGGTAGAATTTTGTGGTGTGAGCCACATCCACTATCTGCCGGTGGTACACCCCATGGAGAGGTTTGTCTTGCCAAGGAACCTTCTATTTTTCTGCATCCTCTATCTGTTAAAGTCTCAGGCATTCCCTTAGCAGTTCATCTTTGGGAGCCATCTTCCTGGTGTACTTGTGGATGCTCTGTATTTCATGGCTTTGACACTCATCAGGTCCCGATCTACTTCCTTCCGGCTGCTGTACAGTCTCTGGGTGCTGGATTTCGGGTGGACTCCTCCATTCATAGTGAGTAGTTTCCTGGTCTTGACATCCATGGTGACCAGTTCTTCTCTTGGCCAGGTTATTGTTCCAGTTGGGTACCTGATGACCTGTAGGGAATATGTGTTGATGGCTTGGATCTTGTTCTTGACATTGAGCCTCGACTTCAGGACCTGTCTGACTCTTTTGAGGTACTTGGATGTTGCCATCCTCCTTACCTCTTCCTCATGGTTGCCATGCGTTTGTGGTACCCCCAGGTATTTGTAGCTGCTCTCTACATCTTCTATTTGGCCAACTTCAACTATTCCTGTACTGATCAGCCACCTGCACTTCTCTAGTCTGAACGACATTCCAATCTCCTTGCTGTATATCCTAGTTAGGTGGATCAGTGAGTCAATGTCTCGCTCATTCTTAGGATACAGCTTGATGTATATATGTGTTGTCCCATGTATTGTATATTGCATGTTGCCACTTTACCTTTGCATTGCCCTGCCCATTCCACCCATACATTGCAGCTACAGACACAAACACTAATACATGCACATACTGTCACGGTTCTCACCTGATAGACAGACGGCAAGACGTGGTCGCTCTTGGAGTTCCCAACAGGGGACTTGAACCGGGGATCTTCTCAGTCCTGGTCCTGCTTTCTCTGAGCCACAGCAGCTATTTACAGTGAAGACTGATTCCAGTCCTGTTCATCCTGACATGGCTACTACTCTGGGGGCTGCACCTTGACTTGGCTGTGTTTCACCTGACTCTGATCAGTCATCAGCAGGGTATATAAACCCAGCCTCGCCCTGTGCTCAGGGTCAAGTCTTTGATCCTGTTTGTTCTAGTGTTCCTGTTTCATCGCTTCGCATTATTGACCCCGGCTTCCTGACTCGTTTATTCTGACTTCTGGCATCCCTTGACTTCGGCTACTCCTCGTTGTTCCTGTCCTCTGGCATCCTTTGACCTCGGCTATCCCTCGACCATCCTGCTGGTTCAGTCCTTGCCTGTCCTGCGTATTGGTACTGCATCCTGCACAGCCCCCGTGCACAGACCCACAGGCCAGGTGAATTCTTACCTGACCACCTCGGCCTGTGGCTATCTGCAAGGGTGAGCATCATATCTGCGCTACAGACTCCCAACTCAGGTAAGACCCTGACACATACACACTGATAAATCTAAAAATACTGTCACAATGTGTTTTTCTGGCATTGTCTACCCGTGTATGTGCCTGACAGAGAGAATCATTGTGTGTGTGAATGTATGTCTGTGAATATGTGTCTGGGACCGGATGGGGCGTGAGGTAGCTGCTTGCAGAGTGTTGTGTGTATGGGGGCTGCCTGGGACCTTTGTTCAATGTGTAATGGCAAAACTATGTTTTTGTGTATGATGAAAATCCTTCAGCTGGTGACTGTGGCAGGGTGAGTAAAGGGCTAACTGTAGCAGGGTGAGTGACAGAATGAGGGAGGGTGAGAATGATTGAGGGGTGATTCTGACATAGTTGTGAAGGTATCACAGACTGGTGTAAATGTGGCTTGTGTAAGGAAACCAAGTATATTTAAACCTCATTCGGTAGTTTCCTCCCTAACCGCCAGAGCCTTAGTGATTATAGCCCTCCGTTCGGTAGATAAAGTACACGAACTTTAACACACAAATCTCCAAACATCAGCCGAAGTCAAGAAGAAGGGTACAAAATGAACTAACTTTTAATGGTCACACATCCTTTTATGCAAGTCCCCATGCAAGGGGACATCCCTCAGGGAGGGACAAACATTAACCAATCACATACTGTAAAAACATAACCCACACCCACAGTTCCCTCCCCTAGCTCTGGAGATAATTAAGTCTGATAAAATAATAACTTAATTATCTCCAGGCAGAAAAAGCACCTTTTTCCCCAATAACTGGGACACCCCTTTATACTTGGAGTATCCCCACAAATAACATGTCCCCTGATAGCCCTGATCTGGGTGACCAACATATTCGAATTTCACCCAGATCGGTTCAGGGATTCGCAAAAACTACAGAGGTCTTCTGTGACCGGCTCACCCTGGGCTGTATGCCCAAAACAGTTCCATGAGTTTGGTGGGTTTTGCCGGTCACTTTAGAAAGAGGAGAAAAACGAACAAACTACCGAATGGATCCCCATGGCTCTTAGCAGCAATCGCCCCCCTCTGTCGAATGCACCAAAGTACCGAATAGCGCTCTTCTAGTTATTCGGTAAGCAGAGTTCCAGCGTTCGTCTGAGACCGGTGTTCGTGGAGTTTCCGATTTCAGTTCCATACACTCGACGACCAAGTCCCGCTGCCTTTGTGCGTATGAACAAAGTTTGAGACCGGTGTTCATGGAGTTTCCGATTTCAGTTCCATACACTCGACGACCAAGTCCCGCTGCCTTTGTGCGTATGAACAAAGATGGCCACGGTTTTCTCTGACACGTGGCATTCGGCCGTACGAACGTTGGCCGCACAGACAGAGGCATCAATTGAAGTAATCTTTGATGTTTAACGAGCCGGGGGGTGGTCTTTGTTCAGTAGTTACATCTACCGAATGCAATAGGCAGAAATAGGGTACTAAAAGGGGGATTTCTTCACAGCTTGGTTGGAAGAGTGAGCGTGACAGGCCGAGGAGAGGCAAGTGTGACAGGATTGGAGGAGGTAAATGTGAGTGTGGGTCACAAGGTTGGAGTGAATGTGCCATGGTTGGAGGAGGGAGTGTGACAGAAAGAGGGAAGGTGAGTGTGACAAGATTAAGGGAATTTAATGTAACAGGATGAGTGTGGCAGAGTGTGATCGGATTAGAGGCATTAATAAGACAAGGAGAGTGTAGTAGGGTTGGGAGGGAGAGAGTGACAGGGTTTGGGGTATGTGTGGCACAGTTGGAGGACAGGATTGGAGGGATTTATGTGATAAAATGAGTGTGGGAGGATGAAATGTGACGGAATGATAGAGGATTAGTGTAACAGGGCTGGGGAAGTTAATGTGATAGGGTATGTGTGGCAAAGCAAGGGTGGGTATGTTTAGAGGGGGTGAGTGACAGAAGTAGGCGTGTGTGTGTGGACCGACTGTAACAGGGTGTGGAGGGGACAGGGTGAAATTTGTGGTGGAAAATGTAATGGTATAACCTTCTATACTACAGAGAGTGACAGGAGAACCCACCAACAGGAGGCTTTGTTATTGCAATTTATGCACTCCGCTCAGATATCAATGTACTTGTGAATGAAGCAAACTGTGGCTAAGCAGGGCATCATTTAGTTCAGATACCAATATCATGAATGATGCTATGTGTTCCTATGCAGGGCCAGTTGGGCAGGAAAGGGTGACCATTTAGGTGACAGAGGTATTGGGTGTCATATTGTTGTTATGTACGTGTTTGGATACCACACACTTAGGAAAAAAAAAGGAAAAAATTGCAAAAAGAAACTTAAAATTCAAAGTATCTAATTAAGATTGTATTCAAGGAATATGGCTCAGCGTAGATAAATCAATCACCCAGCCAATTTATGCAGGTGTATTAGTATGTAGTGACCTCTCCAATAGTGAATGAAATGTGACAAAAAGTACACAAAATCAATAAAAAGCAACTGACCAGTGCCAATGTTTTTTGCTTTACATGTAAGGTTATGGGAAATCTAGTACTTAAGTTTTATAATAGAATATTAAAAACCATAGAGCAAAACCAAGTCAAAAATATCTGGACAACTTTTCCAGATCATCTATTTTTGCCTTAAACTTTCTCATTTGGCTAGGAGTCCAAAAAGTTAGAGTTTAGTTAATAATCCTGCAATAATTTAAATTTCTAGGACTTAAAGGGCCACTCTAAGCACGTTACATCATTGCCTGCTCTCGTTTGCCAAATGTAGCTTATAGCGAGATTTAGAATATCAGGACTGGCAGCCTGGAACACTTTGTTCCTGGTTATCAGTGTCAACTTTGTCTCTGTTGTGTTTGCACTTCTATCATATTCCATTGCTGGACAGGGGTTATAGGATAGGATTATTTCCCATAGACCAGAATGAAAAGTTTCTAATTGGACTAAACCCTCTAAGCAGTGCACGAGAACTCCTTAAAAATAACTTCATTTTAAAAAGGTCGTAATTTTTTGGCAAGATTTTAAAGGACTACTCCGGGTACCATAACAACTTAATTAGAAATAAGTCATCATAGGCACAGTTATGACACTTTCAGCCTATCACTAGGTCCCCATTCAGAAAATCTAGTGAAAAATACTTTGATCTAATTTTCTGAATGGGGAGCTAGTGATAAGCTGAGGCCTCCTTATTGAATCCTCAAACCTCTGAAGGAAGTCGATGGACACACCAAATAAGCGCAGTCTTCAAAAATTTGGGAGCAGAGCATTCGTAGAGTTTTTAAACCCTTATGGTAACACAGTGCCCTGAACCTTCTTGCACAAAAACAAATTCATTGATATGGTACCCAGCATCGTCCTTTAATGCATTATTTATACAATACATTAAAAATACAGGGTCAAATTCGAAGTACACAATACCTTTAATCACACATTTTATTGATTCTGTATATAACGGACATGGATTTAACACTTATGAACTTGCAAAAATCTTGTTCAGGTCCGTTTCAAGTCACCTGTGACACACTTCTCTATATCAGGATGAATGAAAGTGCGACACATGAATGAGCAGGCCTATAGAGGGTTTGCCCGTGATGTAGCTTGCATCACCAACTCCCAAAGAAAAGTGGTTCAACCTCACCTGAAAAAGAGGAGTGTATAGGCATGAATACACTCCAGACAACTGGTCATCACGTTGGCAAGCCCACTCATGGCTGCAAATGTGTAGAGCGCTGTTAAAATTGCACTTGGGCTCTGGTGTTTCTTTATGTGAGATAGACAGGATGGGTGCAGTGGGACATAATTACCTTTTTTTTTTAATTGTAAACATCAAATGTTTAGGGGAACCAGTGTAAATGGACACAAACACATACACCAATATGTATGTTGCACACCTTCAATAGTAGTAAACAGAAATTAATGCAGTGTGTTTTTAAGATTTATATATATTTTAGATTTCAATATTACTGTCAAAAATACATTGTATGATTTTACATAGGCTTTGTGCTACATTAGAACACTTAGACAAACAAACAATCACTTGTGTAGTAAATGAAACATTAAATATTAAATAAAAATAAAATGTGTAAACACTAAACTAACAGGAAGAATTGCTAAGGCGGCACACATCCAATCAAGTGGCATTACATAGTAGAAAAAAAAAATGCGTTAGGACTCTATTCATTTCCAGTCTACATGAAATACACAGAGTACATTTAAGAAAATCTCTGGAGCTGGTCCATTTTTTTTTGCAGGTGTTCCTTTCCATAAGAATACAGTCTTTCTTTGCCATTTGAAGTCAAGCTAATTTTAATTTTGCAAGCCAAAGATTCTCTCTTCTGCAGTCTGTTCAACACCTGGCTGAAAACGTGGGATTTGTTGGGGTATCTATGTAGGACTTGAGTTCGTATGCGGCACCGCTATCAACTTCCATTGACTTTCGAGAAAAGAGAAGTCTGACATCTCTGTGGAGGTAGATCTTCCCAGACTTGGAACTCTGGAACCTAAAAAAAAAAAAAAAAAATTAATAATGTAGGTGTTACAAGACAGTTCCTTTATTTCCCCATCCTCCATAACATTTTCATTTAATAAATAGATCGCTTAATCCCCATTAGCTCACACCTAGTCACATTGTAATCCTTGCTCTTGCTGAGCCTCCTTGCTCCACATCTCACAATTAATCATGTATTCCAATTAGTGTTCTTTTCACCCAGTGTGCATTTACCCCACCACTGAGTATCTTCATGTATCAGTCTCCTAATTCAACCTTTTTAATCAATGCATTACATTATACATTCAAAGCATTGCACTTTTGAGCATTAATATCAGATATACACAAATGTTCTGGTTCTATTTTACAAATGTTAAAAACTGATGTCAGTGGCCATTCCATTGGTCAAATAAAAAAAAAAAGAGAAAAAAAAACCCCATCCCCTGCAAAAAATAAAAAATAATGTTTACTCATCGTAAATTATTTTTCTCTTAATATGGTGGCAGTACGTATGGCCTGTGCTTCCTAATTGGGACAAGCACCTGCAAGATAGGTGATTAAGAAAAATAGCAAGAAAACACACCTAAGCCACAACAGCAGGGAGATGGCATAATTATAGAAGGATGAGCTTATTAACTGTTCTAAAAGATAACTCTGGAAGAATTGAAGTTTTAGGATGAAACAACTTTACCCTGATGGAATATAAGAAATTCCACTGAAGAAGATATATCCTGAAGCTTGCTTACTCTCTTGGCAGAGGTAATGTCTACTAAGAATGCTGGTTAAGCTTTAGCATACTTAAAGGAACCACCTCAAACGTAAAAGGGGGCCTGAAAGACTGAAGAAAGAACTTCCTGGGTGGCCTAAAAAACCTATTGCTTCAAAGAAACTTCTAACCAGTATATCCGAAGACCAATCCCTTCACAGAAAGAACTCAGGGAATACAATTTGGTCTTAATGTGGAAACGCCCAACTTGTGGAAATCTCCTGCAGGAAGTGTATATTTGAACCAACCGGACAAATGAACTAGAAGACAATAACGATCCTTACAACAATGTAGACGCTCTACCCAAATCCTCATGTAAAGGTTAGAGGCGGAACAACTAAAAGATTACACACAGCAAGTGGACTCTGACTCATGAAGACTCAGGAGATCAAGGATCCACCATGTAGTACCCTACAGTCAATAAGAACCTATTCAACACTTCCAGTAGGATATCCTGTCTTTCAAAAGTGTTTTCCAGATCGGAAGATTCCCAAACTTGAAAGTCATCTCCACCAAGGTCGAAAACTGGCTCGTGTTTGGCCAGTATGGAAAGATTGGCAGAACCACTGCTCTGTCCGTTACCTCTTTGAAGAAGTCTTAGGAACAGTCTAGGAAAAAAAATATGTAAGCCCGGAGAAATACCCTTAGATAGCGAGACCAACTGTTCAACGTGAACTATCTGTCCTGTACAGAGAGGCAAACCTGAGAATCTACATGTTCTCCCTCTTTGCCATAAGGTCTATCCGGGCCCTCCAAACCTCTCTGTAGACAGTGAACATGATCGGATCTATAGATCTATTGAACAAGGTCTAAACCCACTGAGCTCCAAGCTTCTTGGCGTCTGAAACACCTACCCATGTCGGACCTAGCTCTACTTGTCTTAAGGCAGAGCTTTTTTCCTTTTTCAACATAGGTTATAGAAGATACCCCTTTCCTTAATGGAAGTAAACAGGGGACCGAAAAGGACGCTGATCTGCCGTCCAAGCTTAAAGGACCACTATAGTGCCAGGAAAACATACTCGTTTCCCTGGCACTATAGTGCCCTGAGGGTGCCCCCACCCTCAGGGTCCCCCTCCCGCCCGGCTCTGGAAAGGGGAAAAGGGGTTAAACTTACCTTTTTCCAGCGCTGGGCGGAGAGCTCTCCTCCTCCTCTCCGCCTCCGGCCGCCGGCTGAATGCGCACGCGCCAAGAGCGCGCCAAGATTCAGTCACATAGGAAAGCATTCTCAATGCTTTCCTATGGACGCTGGAGGCTCTCACTGTGAAAATCACAGTGAGAAGCACGCAAGCGCCTCTAGTGGCTGTCAATGAGACAGCCACTAGAGGGAATGGGGGAAGGCTTAACCCATTCATAAACATAGCAGTTTCTCTGAAACTGCTATGTTTATGAAAAAATGGGCTAACCCTAGAAGGACCTGGCACCCAGACCACTTCATTAAGCTGAAGTGGTCTGGATGCCTAGAGTGGTCCTTTAAGCCACCAGGATTTAAGGGAAACATCAGATCAACCTATGATCTTGGCAGGTCATTGTCAAATTTTATTAGTCAAATCCATGTAAAATATGTGACAATTACAAATAAAACAGTAAAACCGACGAGCTGCTTATCAGGAGACTTAAATAACTTCCATTAACGATTGTAAACAAAGTTATACGTTTTGGACAAAGCTGCACCTGCCAGCAAAGACCCATACCGAAACCCAGCAGTATGGAAAGATTATCTGCAAGAGGTCTCAGCCTTCTTGATGATCGGGTTTTTAAAGCAGCTACTTTTGCAGAATTTTATGGATTCCCAGAGTACCTGGGGGTGTAACATTTACCCATATGATGGTAAACATATTAAACGTCGGGCAAGAAAGGATCGTTACACAGAGTGTTCCAATTTCTGCATATAAGAAAGACATGGGGTTTGAGGAACAGATAACCCTCCTTAAAGTTTAGCAGAATTATCCTGCCCCATGACTAATTCATTCCTAATGAACCTTCTCAGTACATCAGGTGGGAACCAACTCCACACAGTATGATGAACCAGACATGTCTTAAGAGGTAAACATTCACCAGACATTAGAAGTAATCAAAGGATGCTTCTCTTCGGTACCTGTGGAAAATCTCAGGCAGAGCAGCCGATACGCTATTTGATACTCTATAAGAATTCAAATCTAGGAATGATTGCATAGTCTCTGCATAATTTTACCCAAGAAATTGCAGCACGGATACAATAAGCAAAAGCAGAGTATAGCAGAGGCATTCCACGGTGTACAAACAGTCTATCTTGCACATACAGTCCACTTTCTGTAAAACAATTCCATCCATAACTTTTAATCAGAACAGATTTTCAAGGCAAAGATCAGCTTATCTTACCTTGAAAACCTTTGGGTCGCATGGGGGGTTGGTGACACTGGGAACCCTTCTGGCAAGCTTCCTGCTGCCAGAGGGAACTGCACAGCGATCCACACTCAGCGGTTTACCAGAAGTTCCTGATCGCGCATGCGCAATAGCGCACCCGAGACTTTGGTGGAACGCAACACCACCCGGGTGTCCATTGCACCGCTGTGCGCAGGCACACGGCTTTCAACAAAATGAAGGCGTCCCGCAGCCCGCCCATACTCGGCGCAAATTTAAACAAAAAAGGGCTACGGAACCTCCACGGACGGAGCCATGCTGATCAGCCTACCACCCAGACGGCTATCAGGCTTCCTCCCCCAGGCAGCAATATGTGTGCCTCACCTCCAACAGACGCTTGATCCATCCCGTGCTGGGACAAAGAAGAACTGAGGTGGGTTTGCCGGGGAAGCCCTTTATAGGGTAAAGGGGAGGGACCTTTCTTAATCACCTATCCTGCAGATGCTTGTCTCAATTAGGAAGCACAACCCACACGTACTGCCACCATATGTGAGAAAAAAATACAATTAAGCCAATGCCTATTTTATTTACCAACCCACTCAGATAGCAGAGTTTATATGAGCATGTAATATTCCACTGTACATAAGATCTAGTTTAATATTTCATAGAAAGGTGACATACCTCAGGTGAATGAGGTAGCGTAATGTCCTGTCCTCTGTCTTCATAATGTTGTTCTCCATCATTCCCTTTCTTTCTTTCTTGACAGGAACAGAAAATGTTCTCTGACGGAGGAATGTTTGGTGATTGGCTGGCATATCTTGCAAGTCATATTTCACCACAAACATTTTCACCACTGTCTTGTTTGGATTAAATAAGGTCTACAAAATAAAAAACAGATAAGTATATAACTGTCTTATTTACAGCCTGTGATATAAAGGATGAACATCAACGTACTACAGGGAAAATACTTTCATTTTGTAAATCTCAGTTTTTGCAATTAATTAATTCAGCCCCCTGGAACAAAACTGTAAAAGGGCTTTCCATCACTAGACCCAAAGTGTAATAGTTTTTATAGACAAAACACCTTATTAACTGTAATAGGTTTTAGATTTAGAACTTTTTTTCCCCATCTTTCTGTGCACATACAATACATAAAGAGAAAAATACAATTTTGACAATATTGCATGGCAAGAGTGAATATATAGGAAAAATGAGAGGGGAAAAAAATAAAATCTCAAAACAAGGACTTTTTTATTTATTTTTTTTAAAAGATTACACTTTGCCATTATCTGATCAGACATACCATAAAAAATAAATATCTTAATTTCTCAAAACGGATTGTATTCAGGATATATGGTCTTATGTGTCATTCTTTTGCAATGTTCGTATTATGTTTTTTTAGATGTGTTGTGTTAAAATAAATTCTTAAAAGACATCACATACTGTACAGGATATGAAGGATGCCAGGGATTTGCCAACAAAGAGTGAAGTGTTATCCGGGTAGATCTCTGTTGGCAGATTCCTGGTGTGGATCCTATATTCCAAATAAGAATAAAGTACTGCCGCAACACTAATCATGTAAAAAGTTAAGTGAAATTTATTCCATCGTCCATAGTGGACCTTGTAATAGTTCAACTTGTTAAGGTCTTAAAGTTTTGCAGCCATAATCTATTATATTTTGTAGGTTCTGACCCATACTTTGAAACACCAGCAAAGGTGTTAAATTTTTATTTCTTGGGAACTTTTAATAGCTGGTCTAGTCCCTCTCATTCTTAGGTTGGATAATAGGTAGGAGATGTCTGTTACTTTGCCTGATGCAGGCAACGTGTATATTAAACCTGGTAATAAAATTATATATTGTTTTCTTCTCTTAAATTCCATATTTGCAGGAGATGGTTCATAGACCTAGAAAGTGCACCTGAAAGGAAAGTGCATAAAATTATAGTTTTGTAGTAGATTTATAGAGGATTGCCTCTTTGCATAGTTTTAGTAAGACAGAGGTAGAAATCTCTCTTTTGGCTTTATTTCTTTTTGGTATTACTGTTATGATAAATGTATAGTGCAATGAAATAACCAATTAATTCAAATCCAAAAATGTAAACATATAATATTTGCATATTTTAAAGCACAAAATTCTCACCACTTGTATGGTTCCAGAAGGAGGTATACGATAACCCCTTTTGCCAAGAGACTCCAGTGTAATATTACCCTGAAAAAGCAATTAAATGAATTTAAGTAGAGCAAATAAAATATTTAACACCATATGTTCTCAAGCAAAACAACAGGATTTCCATGAAAAAAACTGCTTTATAAACCTTAGCTCTTCTTTTTGGCAAGGGCAAAGTTATCCATCTTTGAGATATACCGTACTATTTTGCCTTGTAAACACTTCATTAAATTACTCATTTAATGAAGTGAATTGCAGCACGAAGGCTCAGTGTTGTGTTAAGAACAGAAAGGGAGATCACCTGGATAAAAACCATCAGTTCTTAGTGGTGATTGTCTTAAAGTAGTCAAATTTGGCAGTTCTGCTGTAATACAATTGTGCCATTTTCAAACAAACCTTGATGCAACAATGAGATTGATTTCAAAATAATAGGGATCCATTCACGTCAAGACAATTCCAAATTGGTAGATAATTACTAAAGTGAGTTACAGAGTAATTTTCTGATTTCAAGAGAATTGATCCACATAGCTAAAATGGATATACAATTTCCCACTATTTGAATAGATTCTAGAATAAAATTTTTTTTTTGCAATTAAGGTGGTTTGTCTTGGTAAACACTAGGAAGCAGCAAAACACCAACTCTTACCATATATGGAGAGGGGGCATTGTCATCTGAAACACTGAAGAAAGACACCTTGACAGGCAGGGTCATGTGGGTTGGGCAGAAAACTCCGCTTGCCCCAACTTCTGCAGTAAAACCCTCAACAATGCCCATGGGTTCTATTCGATGGTTCAGAACAGATTCCTGCAATCAGAACAATTTTTTTACCAGTTGTTACACAAACGCAGTAGCATGGTTATTCACGAAAAGGGAGAACTGTAAGGAATTCAAATTTAGAAATTTTTCAAGGTTTGATATTTTGGCCTTAAATTTAATATTTACTTTGAAGTTATGGGGTTACATACAAAGTAATTTACTTAAGTCAGAATTGCAGTGAATGCATTCACATACTGTAAAAATATAAATTTCATGACAGTGTGTGATTAGCATGAATCATTGCGGAAATTTTTTTTACATTAATTTACTACTTAAGGCTTTTATTTTTAAATACATTTATTTTCAATGAGAACCAAAAGTAAAGCCACTTGCATGACAGATCCATCTTAAAGGACCACTATAGGCACCCAGGCTATGTCAGCTTAATGAAGTGGTCTGGGTGCCAGGTCCAGCTAGGGTTAACCCTATTTTCTATAAACATCGCAGTTTCAGAGAAACTGCTATGTTTATGTTAGGGTTAATCCAGTCTCTAGTGGCTGTCTCATTGACAGCCGCTAGAGGCGCTTCCGCGTTTCTCACTGTGAAAATTACAGTGAGAAGACGCCAGGGTCCATAGGAAAGCATTCACAATGCGCATTCAGCCGAAGAGGAGGAGAGCTCCCTGACCGGCGCTGGAGAAAGAGGTACATATTTTTAGACAAAAGGTCTACTGTAAGCTGTAATAAAAAAATAAATAAAAAAAAATATATATATATAAATTATATATATATTTATCAAGAACATAAAACAATACCTCAAAATTCCCAAGGAGGCTTAGACACGGAGCAGGTGGAGCACTGCAACTGAGATGTTTGGCTATAGATTCTGTTTTCACAAATGGTAGCAGTCTGTAAAGAAGAAAAAGACCAATAATGACCAATAATTTAAGCACTTAAAAGAACATTTAAATTTTATTAATCAAGCAGTTAACCAGCTGGATCACTCAGAGCTAAATCCATCACAAAATAAACAAATCAGACAGTTCAGACCTGTTGAGGGCTACAACAAACAGGGAGAAGACAGTCCTTCATCCGCTTCAGTCAGAATTTCAGAGATTGTGTGGGCAAAAATCAATTAGTGCAGGCTTAGCCTCTGTGAACCTTTATCTGTCACTGTAGAGATTACAGGTCTGTTCAGTCACACACCTGTACTAGCTTTGTGGGGTATACAACCCCCAGGATCCAGGGAACATTGGCTCCTCAAAAAGATCACTGGCACCTGAGTATTTTACGTGGACCTCTAAACAATCAGACTCTGAAAAACTGCAGGTCTTCTAAACTGGCCTTTATATAGCTCCTAAACTCAAGTGATGTTTTTGCAGTGGAGAAAAGGGGCTAGGATTTAGCAGTAATATTTTTCCACAGCTGCTGAATTTGCTTAAATTATTCTGTTCAATTTTAAACGTGCACTCTAGCATGCTGTCTGTTAAATATTGCTAGAATTTGATTTAGCAATACATAGTACAACAGTCGTTTTTTTTAAGTTGTGGGAGGGGTGATCTTCAGGAATTCTGCCCAGTTTATATTCTATTTGTTTAATAATATTTTAAGATTTATCACATATACTTTGTTTCTATGATAAGTATTATTTCAGACAGACTATTTTGCAATTGTTTATTTATAAAAAAGAAAACACAATAAAACAACAACAACAACATGGCAGCCTTTCTACTAAAGCATTTTTATTAAAATAATTATATTTGTTCCTGGGAATGAAACATCTACTTAACCCCTTAAGGACACTTGACATGTGTGACATGTCATGATTCCATTTTATTCCAGAAATTTGGTCCTTAAGGGGTTAAAGACTCAATTATCACTTTTTTTCCCTTCAGTAAAAATGAAATACACCAGGAGTCAAAACTGTATAAACTATTCATAGTCTGTAAAATGGCGGACAAAACAGTAGTCATTGACTCACATTAACTTGACTTACAGCATGTCTCTATTTAACACTCAGCCAAGTGAAATTGTGGCAGACTTCTATAATAAGTCAATGCATATTCCAAGCTGAAAAGGCCAGCATTACTTTAAGTGTGCTTTGATATTTAAGAATCATGTAAAGAAAATTTACCCTTTTACCAGTTCTATAATCAAGACTGTACAGTATAACCTGTACTTAATACAGACAGTCAAATATTGAGTTTGAGAATTTTGGGTGTATGTTTGGTATCAGAGCTTAAGTCTGGAATCTACTGTATTTAAGGGATTTATTCCCCCACTCCTCCCATAGAAATACAGCTCCATTTCATGGTAACTAACATGACTTTCGTGTGAACTAAATAAATGCTTCCAGTATATTCAGTCATGACTTTAACAACACATTAGAAACGGTCCAGGCACCTGTATTAGAACATGTGGAACACTTCTGTTCTAATAAAGGTGCCTGAAGACATTGGAGTGCCTGGGCCCTTTGTTAAATATTGGTATTTATCTTCTTGTGCTGGCCCTTGGTTCAGCTAAGCATCCAGTCTTAAAGTGTGTGTGGTTCCTTTAATTACATTTAATACTACATTGTGAAAATTAAGGACATATGGTCTGTGAATGTGTGCTCTAATGGTACATTACAGGGATAGTATTGCATAGATTCAAACAGTGAAATAATAAGATCTTAAATGCCAAAATAATAAATACCTCTGTGTGGATAAACCTTTAATTTTCAGTAATGATGTGTCCAGATCAAAATACCCTGACTGTGTTTTTCTTTGTGGAACCTGGGTAAAATAAAGGAGATGCTTTCATCTGGTACACCTCTCTGTCCATGAACATTGAAGATAACAAAAAATTGTGCAGGTAAAGTAATAATGAAAAAATAAATTAAGAGACCTATAATAGGGCATGGGTATAAAAGTAAAGATTTCTTTAACTGATAAAACAGGGATGGAAAAGGGCAGATTTTTGTCTTTCATCAATATTAATTAAAAGGAGTAATTTAACATAGAAAATTTCTCAGAACACCTTCGGTATTAGAATAACCATATTTTGGGCTAAGTGAGTTTCAGATGTTGCTCTCTTTTCAAGTCTAACATTTTTAGATTTGAAAGAAATATTCTTACAGACTGCTACAAAGTTTATAATTCTGCAGGTAGAACACTAAAATATAAAACAAATACAGAAAGAAAGAAAAAAAATCAACATCAGAAAACAGAAGGTGTTTATTATTCCATGCAAACAAAAGATGCCAGCTGCTCAGGAGAACAGTGCAATTGTTTGGATGCAAGGAAAACCAAACTCAAGGGCAATGTATATCCAGGGGATGAAAATAACGTGGGAAGTAAATGAACCCTTGAAGCTTTTGTACTTTGTTTTAGAATTGTAATAATTTTTGCTGCATAATTAAAAAAAAAAAAAAAAAAGTATTTCAGCTGGAATATTGAGAAATAAATTGACCAATAATTTTCAGAACATTAAAATTAGCTGGTTAATTAAGATTACACAATGGGAATATTGCCACTGAAATGTATTTGCATGCATCAATTTGCTACTGTAATCATAAGTATGGTAGCCCACTATGCTTTATCTGTGCCCCCACACTAGGCTTTGATGGACACTTTACCAAGTATGGTCACAGTCACTGTTCGGACATCTTGCAGAAGACGAAAAAACCCAAACATGTAACCTATACACAACGTTATACATAAGAGGCTAACCTATTCCATTTGAAAAAAAGTCTACTTACAGGGCTCGAGAGTAAAGGTAAACCAGTGCGGGGGTGGAAAGCCTTGGTCAAGATCCCATCCAATGTCCGGAGAGTTTGCTTCTCCCAACTGTTACAGTGTCTCAAAGGTGCTGCTTTCTACAATGTAAACAAGGAATCATTTCATTATGTATATTCATAGAATGCACTAAAACAAAAATTGCTAATTGCTATATTTTCATATGCTGTGGGTTCGTTATTTATCAAGGAATATTAATAGGAAAGGGAAAAAAAAAAAACATTAAACATCAACAGCTTATAGGTTAATACAGCTGAAGAGCTGGCACAATTAATTTCAATCAGAAAAAATACAGGAAGTGTTTATGGAAGGCTGTGCAAGTCACATGCAGAGAGGTGTGACTAGGGTTCATAAACAAAGGGATTTAACTCCTAAATGGCAGAGGATTGAGCAGTGAGGCTGCAGGGGCATGTTATATACACCAAAACTGCTTCATTAAGCTAAAGTTGTTCAGGTGACTATAGTGTCCCCTTAAGATACCTGTTAAAAGTAATGGGATGCTATTAGCATTCATGTAGCTTAAAGGGACACAATAGACACTGTAAAGGCTTCAATTCATTGAAGTTGTTATAGTGTCTGGAGTTCCCTAGCACTGCTCCTCCAATTCGTGTTAAATGGTTTTTAATGCTAACAAAAAGTTCCCAGCAGTCCATCTCCATTGTACTACTTGGGGTAATGGGCACACATTAGCCTGAGCAGAAATGGGCAGCTGTAATTGTGTGAGCATGTCATCTGACTACTTTCAGCCTATCACAACACCCACTGCTGGTATGAAATGGTATGGCTAGAAGTGTGTAATCAGTGCCCTAGCCACACATCAAGAGGGGAGAATGGGAAGCCAGGAACCCTCATTCAGTGTTAACCCCTTAAGGACCAAACTTGTGGAATAAAAGGGAATCATGACATGTCACACGTCATGTGTCCTTAAGGGGTTAAACTGCTCCAAAATGGTTCAACACTGAATGGAGGGATAATGCTGGGGACTGCACTGTAACTAATTCAGTTATTATTGGTATTTATATAGCACTAATTCCTCAGCACTTTACAATATTATGAAGGGTGGGAGAATTACAATAAATGAGAATTACAAGGGGATGAAATGGCTATAGCACATTGTACAGTGCTACAGAATTTGTTGGTACTTTATAAACTATAATAGCGCCTAGGGTGTGCTTATAATGTGTGTTTTCATGATTACATTTCTTCTTAATGTATATGTATTTCAGCTATTCGAGTTCTCCCATTGATAGCAATGTAAAAGCCCCACAGGAGCTCCATATAATATAGCTATACGTTATCTACTCACCGACTGGTCTGTACTCCTCGGACGCTCACATCTCTGCAAACAACTTCCATTGCATTTCCTCTGGCAGACAGAGCAATTGTGTTTTGCTGGATATTCATTCTCATCGTGAACACCTTTCAGTTTGTCTTGTGTGTCTTTGCATTTGAGACTGTCTCTGTCCTTGCTGATGTAGTTCTCAATGCTGTGCAGCTGACTGCTGTGGTCTGTCACCTGTGCTTTCCTTGTATGACTTTCAGAACATTCGCGTTCCTGTGACTGGCAAATCACGGGCCCTTTCAAGGTCACTGCATTTTTCATACAGTTCTTACAGTTATCTGTATTTACAGACTGACAGTCACTGTTGCTATTTTCATCTGGGACATTGGCTTTGTTTGTGTGAATTCTGACATTTGTACTGACAGAGTTCCCAGTGTGATGTATGGGCCCTTTATCAGAAATTTTTTCTGACAGTTCATTCCTTGCGACAGAATCGCTCTCTGGTCGACTGCATATGTTTTCTTTACTGGACCACAGAGTACATTGAGAACTATTGTTTAAACAATGCTGAAATGTGTTGGAGCCTGGCTCATTTTGAGGAACTAAAATGAGTTTCCTTCTGGCTTGTGGTTTTGGTGAGGTTTTAGAGTCTGGGTTGGGTCGTGAGCAGTTTACTGGGGTATCCGGTGCAGATCTTGGTTTGTCTGTGTTGAAAGTCAAATCAGAACTAGAGGTACATGTGAGGGGTGTTTCTTTAGTTTTCTTTAGGGTGTTTTCATCTTCAAATGTTTTCCTGAACAACTTTGTATTTACAGGACTGGGTTCATGCACTTTAAAGGTATGGCTAGCTATGTGTGAGGTTGTCGGATCGCACTGTAAGAGATGCTGTGCAATCCTAGCTATGACTTCCTGACGCTCTTGAATTAAAGAACCTATTAAAGGGTTGGTTTCTGTGGGAGGAACTGTGTGTGGGCTGCTGGGCATATCAACCAAAGAAAAAGATTTAAAATTCCTAATTATAGATTCTTGTGGAACTGCCTTAGATTCGCTGATCCCGTTTAAACACTGAAGTTTAGATGGCGATGTTCCAACCTCCAGTTCGTTCCCTTCACTAGAAATTAACTTGACATTACGAACAGGAACAGTGAGATCCGTGCTTAGACTTGTCCTTGTGTGCAGTAACCCTTCAGGTCCAACAGTCCAGATCTGTTTGCTACATGTATGTGGAGAACTTGGGACACTGCACTGGCTGGTGTCCCGTGAATCCACAGGTGGTGTAACACAATGCTCGTTTGGAGAAAATTTTTTCTTGTAAAAACCAACATTGCTGTGAATGCTACAGTTCAACACTGGATAATTGGATTGTCTAGGCAAAGACTGGACGCTGACTTTCAAGGCCACATTGTGAGATACGTTGGGGACAGGGAACACGTGTACAGTTGGTGGATGGGAAAAATCCCACTGTAGTTCCCCATCAGCTGCACTCACTCTGAAATAAAATAGAAAAAAAAAAACCAGTCGATCATTATACAGTTGTATGAAACATACAGAGTGCACATATACAGATTTATCTTTAAAATCCAGTACACACTCATATTGACAGACAGTTTTACAGGGAATGCAGGTAAGTGGGCATGACTAGATATCAGTTCACTGGTGCCCCAATACCACACAACATAGGTCTACCAAAATACTCTGCAGACGGCCTGCCTACAAAGCCTCACTACACCAGTCATGTAGAAATGCAAGAACCTAATAAATTATCATGAGATCCAGATTGTGATTATATATAATATTACAGCACACTGTAAAAAATAAAACCAGATTCAGACACAGGAAACTATGTAGAAACAAATTAGATAATGTTTATTTTTGTTGACAGATACTTTAATGACTGTTGTCCTTTAAACTCCTCCTCCATCAAACCGAAATTATAATATTAAAATGGAGTTTGTTTTCCACACAGGTTATGATATACAATTTAATCATTCCACTGTGTAATAAAGTGGAGCAAATGTACAGATTAAATATTTTTAAAAAAGCTTTTTTTCTGTTATGTTAACAAAAAAATAAAATAAAAAAATAAATAAAACCATAGCAGTGGATTTGCACTTCATAATGACTAGTGCACAGCCATATGCTTGCCATTACGAGGGCATATATAAATAACCAACTCCGTTTCAAAGTTATCATTTCGGTTTGCATGTAGGAGTTTAAAGGACAGCAATCATTAAAGCGGCTCTGTCAACAAAAATAAACTATCTAATCTGCTTCTACATTGCTCCCTGTGTCTGAATCTGTTTTTTTTTTTTTTAAATTTAAATTAAAACCTTACTTTTCCCCCCAGCGCCGCATTTTTTATTCACGTTTGGCTCCACCTCCTTGGCTGAGATCATCAAAATTGATGATTTCAGCCTATCCAGTAGGAAAGCATTGGGATGCTATTGCACATGCGCGAAAAAATGTCACATCTGTTCAGAGAGATGTATTGAATCAATGCATTTCCATGAGTAATGTTCAGTGTCTCTGCTGAACGTCAATGCTGCACATTGTGCAGCACTGACCCAGGAAGCACCTTTAGTGGCCTTCTGAGTGACTGCCACTATATGTGTTACTAGGCAGTAATGTAAACATTGTCTTTTCTCTGAAAAGGCATTGTTTACATTTAAAAACCTGCAGGGACATGCTAATGCCACCAGAACTTGTTTTTTTCCCAAGAGATTTGTTACTTTTAATGAAAGGTAAAGATTTTTTTTGAAATAATGAATACTGAACTCTATCTAGCTGAGCAAAAAGCCATGTTGGATCAGAGTCTATTGTTATATGACTAGCCGCTGCTCAATCTAACTTGCCTGCTGTTATGATTGATCGGTGTGGAAACTTCCATTGAGCTGCAGTAATAAGCAGTATAATCTGACCCAACATGGCTGCCAAGCCAGATAAAATGAAATTTTCTAAAAATATTTTTATGTACATACATGTTAAAGCACATTAGAAAAACACAGACACACATAAATATTCTCAAAGTCATCTTTAATTTTAAGTTCACTTTGAATTCTCACTTTAGTAAATACCCATGTAAGTTTCATTAAAAATTATATTAACCATGTATTTCATAAATGAATGGAAAAGAAAGAAACAAGCATTCTTTGGGAAAAAAAAGAAGATAAATAAATAAGAAAATTCTCAGATGGAATTTTCAGGTGAAATATCATTGAAAGCATTTATTGTTAAGCAACTTTTTTATTTCATTAAATAGCCACCGAAGTTTGTGACAAAAACATAGGAATCGTGAGGTTTTATGCGGAGCAGCAAGTGAAAGCGTGTGCTAGGTCGATAGATAGGGTGGGATAACATCTCTTGAACATACCGTGCATATTACAGATACGGAAAACTGCTAGTTTAGCAGCCAAAGGGACATAAAAGGGGCAAAACCACCATTTCCTGCCAATGTATGGTGCTGCCTGTATGTTGATAAGAAAGTGTTTTAAGTAAAAAAAAAAAAAAGACATGGCATTCTGATCACGGACTTTAAAGAAATGAAGTCAGTGATGGCTGAATGCAGAGCAGTTGTTAAAAACAACATACCCAATATGGCTGACACTGGGTAAACTAATTCCCAACACCTTAAGGTGAAAGTTTAGGCATCACTGGACTAAATGTTTGTCCAGTAAATTAACAGTTTGATTACTGGATTACTCATTTGTCACTTAAACATGACCCCGCCTTTTATTAAAACAAAAACAACCATTCAAAGTTAAAATTAGTCTTTTTACAACTCAACAATTGCAGCAGAGTCAATAAAAAGTATAAATTATGTGACAGACAGATGCCTTTCATGTAGCTGAAGCCGCTAGTGGCAGTGCAGACTGGCTTCAGTTCCCCGAACGGATACTGAAAAGGTTAGTTTTATAGCTGGCCCCCCGACATTAATTAATTTTGTTTCACTGTAAAAAAAAACAAAACAAAAAAAAACACATACTTCTCAGTTTGTCTTTACAGTCACATCAAGATCTTTTAATCTGTATATAAATATGCTTTTTAGTTATGATTGAATATTTCAAAAACTCAGACACTATAAATGGGACCATTCAGTATGTGTTCTAAATGTACAATTATACACAGTCAACTTCCTACATTAAAAAGTTATTTAAATGAAGTCCGGTTTATGGGTTGCTGTCTCTTTATATTAAACAAAGAAAGAAGGAAAAATAAAATAAAAATTAAGCCAGTCTTCAACAGTTCAGCTGTTAAATAAACTACAACTCCCATGATCCTTGGTGGCATCCCCTGTAAAGCTACAGGTTACCTGTTAAGATGAAACAATCACCAGCTATATTATGTAAAAGGTGACCGATAAGAAACTTACCATGATAAGTCCCTGGGGTAGAAGTGAAGGCTAGTTTGGACGCAGTGTGTATTTTTTCCTTTATAAGTGGCATGTGCTAGCAGGAAGGATCACTTATACTAATTATGCTAGGACAGCATTTCCCAACTTCTGCCTTCAAGGAAAACTGACAGGTTAGGTTTTAAGTATGTCCCAGAACAGGAACAGGAACTTAAGCACACACTGAGTCACTGGAACCCAGCTGGGAAATACAATAAAATTCTGACTTGTCGGTAGTCCCAGAGGACAGCAGTTGAGATGCACTGTGCTAGTTGCATGAGAAGATACAAAAGCACAATGGCTCTTTTCTACTGCTGAAAAATGTGCCCTGTGCTGCATAGCCTCCTATACAGGACTGTGTCTTGGGCCGTGCAATAGATTGCTGCAAAGGAAGGCAGAAAATCAGAAAGTAGGGGAGAGAAAATAAAACTGGAAAAATGTGATATTACATAGCAAAGCATTTAAAGTGAAACCCATTGCCAATACACATAAAATGTTTCATACAAGATCAGATGTTACAATATTAATTCTTTAGAGGAGAAGTTAAATTTTATTGAATCAACTTATTCAAGACTGGCTATGGCCAGATTTAATTAATTCTTACTACTGCAGTCACTTTCAAGGCTGCCCCCTAAAATGTGTTGAGAATTCAAAGTGAATTGCAACGTTTAGGCCTCAATAGCTAAATTAAAAACATGCACACATATATATATATTTGTTTGTTTGTCTAGTTTAACATAAAATTTTAAATTCATTATGATGAATTCACTTCTGACAATTCACAGTTAAGTGAATAACTATCTGACTTTAGCATTAAAGGGGGCAACAAGCTGTCATTTTTAAGATGGTAAATTAAAAATCCACATGTGATGTCCAATGTCAAAGAAATGTCAAAACAAAACCAATCATCAAAATTGTATAAAATCACGTTTTTTTCTAATATTTTATTTTGTGTACAAAGCGTATCTTATCTCAGTTTGCAAAACAGGGCAGGCTTTTCTCAAACCAGTGTGCAATCTACAAAACAAGCCAGTATTTAGACATTAGACAATTGTTTCATTGAGTAAAATCAGTGTGAGAAGCCCTGTGTTACATAAATCTAGCAATCACATTTTCTAAACATTTTGTCTTCAATCCCCATTAGGACAATCTGACTAATTAAAAAAAAACAAAAAAAAAACGAGGAAATGTTTTAAGGGCCATGTAAGCGCCGTCACATAGAAAACAGCACAATAAAGTTGGAAAGCAGGGATGGAAGCAGAATAAGCATTAAAGGGACACTATAGTCACCTGAACAACTTTAGCTTAATGAAGCAGTTTTGGTGTATAGAACATGCCCCTGCAGCCTCACTGCTCAATCCTCTGCCATTTAGGAGTTAAATCCCTTTGTTTATGAACCCTAGTCACACCTCCCTGCATGTGACTTGCACAGCCTTCCATAAACACTTCCTGCAAAGAGAGCCCTATTTAGGCTTTCTTTAGTGCAAGTTCTGTTTAATTAAGATTTTCTTATCCCCTGCTATGTTAATAGCTTGCTAGACCCTGCAAGAGCCTCCTGTATGTGATTAAAGTTCAATTTAGAGATTGAGATACAATTATTTAAGGTAAATTACATCTGTTTGAAAGTGAAACCAGTTTTGTTTTTTTCATGCAGGCTCTGTCAATCAGCCAGAGGAGGTGTGGCTAGGGCTGCATAAACAGAAAAAGTGATTTAACTCCTAAATGACAGTGAATTGAACAGTGAAATTGCAGTGGAATGATCTATACACTAAAACTGCTTTATTTAGCTAAAGTAATTTAGGTGACTATAGTGTTCCTTTAATACCTACAATTACCAATGTACGATTCACTGACAAAGTGAATCACACTCCCTTAAACTTCACAGAAACAGTTTACAGAAGGATAAAGGGCTCATCTACGCTGCCCTCTGCGCAGAATGTTAGAACAAAATTAAACACTCTAAAATGCGGATTGTTTGAAATTCAAGTTAATTTCAACTTTTAGGCTAAAGTAGTTGAACTGGAAACATTCTCCAAGTCAGCTACTTTCCAGTTCAACTATTTTGGCCTAAAATGTAAACTTCACAGCAATTACCACATTGAAGAATATTTATATGAGGGAAGAAATTAAACAAATATATAATTATTAAATCCTTTGGAGTACTACAACAACAGAGGTCTCTGGGAATGAGGGGCTACATCCCTACAGGAGAAGACGTCATGCTTTATCCCGCTCCCGGAGGAGAACAAAAATGTAGAATGGAACTGTACTGCAATAACTAAAGCTGCCTAGAGAAAGGACTGCATTCTTTTTAAATTGCCCTACATCGTTACTGCATTCAAACATGCTCAAAACACGTTTATACTGTTTTAATGCTTACAGTAGTTGTTTCTATGCTTGATGCTTTTTTTTTTAACTTAAAGAAAAAAAAAAAAAAATTCTAATTATTTTAGGTGTATAATATCTATAGGCAGCAGTGTTTTATTGTACTATATTGTAGACAAAGTGGTGGCTCTATTTGTTCGTTTACTTATTTTTAGTTTTTTTATTTACATATTGCAAAGCATTAATTTTAGCATTTAGTGCACTTCTTACCGGTACAGAATATTGCGAGGTACAGCTCCGTGGGACACACTCAACCAGGCGCTAAGCTGAGAAAAGAAAACAAAGGAACGAATTGCCAGCAGAAGGGTCTTCTCTTCAATGAAGCGATCTCCACTCCTAAAGGAAAATAAGCATCTCGTTACTGCTAAGGGGAGACTACTACTAAATAGTTGAAAAAAAAAAAAAAACACTGTGAGAAAAATTTATATAAAACATTCAGATGTCATAAAAGCTGTAACTTTCACATGATTAAGAAAAAAGAAAAAAAAATTAAAAAGTGCTCATTCTTCAAATGTAGCCTTTTCATACACTGCAGGCTACATCCCTAATCATAGTGTTTTGCTCAGGCCTGTCTACCCCCTGGGCCAAAACACCACATAAAATAAAAAGCAGCTTCCCGTCTCATGTTCAAAAGTCCTCTTGCTTTACCGGACACCTTCCAAAACATGATCTCTCTTTGCATTCACAACATTTGTACCACTATTGCAATACGTCCCAGCCATCTATGCAAAGCATTCATACTAGATTTATACAGGGCAAGGGACCATATTCAAACATTACATCTTCACAATGGGAATAGCCTACATAGCAGAGTAATACAAGATCCAAGTACTGTGAAAAGGCTTGCTCTATTCAATAACTTACATTAAATAGGAAAATTCTAAGGAGAGTCAATATATCATGGTTAGGGGTAGGTAATAGCATAAGGAAAAAGAACTAAAGAAGGGCTGATGCAGCTTTCTGCAATGGACGACCTCACCTATAATACCATGCTTACTTCTGAAGGCTATTTTCAGAAAGGCAAACACAATGCAGCTCTCCGTTATCAGACGTCAGCAGATAATCACTATTGTGCCAAGGACAATAGAGCTGTGCCCGTGAGACAAGAGCGTGATGTCTTCGATGGTGTCAATGTACAGGACTATAGCCAACAGAGTTTGCAGAAATTTATTTTTCCTGGATCACGCAATCACGGTACTAGAACACTTTCTAGACGTATTATGTGATTTACAGCATGCAAATAAAAGCATGCCACACTATCTTTTGCAATACAACGTACATACATAGATCAGTTTCCTGCCATTGTTCTTTTTACCATGATTCCTAGCTGAATGAGATCACTGAGCTTAAAAGAATTATGACTCATAGCCATTTACCTTTACATCCAACTGCTGCTCTGTTTTATCTAGTTGTTAGGTGGTTTCTATATGTACGCGTTGACACCAAACCATCAGACATTATCTTAAAGACACAGAACACTTTAAGTGCAATGTGTAAGTTAGGCTACAGTAAGCTGGATTTAATTTTTTAAATCAAATGTAATTTTCTCCAGGAATAGTTATATTCTATAAGCCCACCATTTCTGTCCCAACTCACAACCTGCAGGGTCTCCTTTTTTTGCGCTAATTAAACAGCTGTATGTGATGTGTGTCAAAGTCAGTGTGTAGTTTCCCTTTAAAATGCTCCATTCAGGTATGTTCTTTTCACTCACAAATCTACAAGCAATCCACCCAACATCTATTAAACACTTTGTGTCACCAGGGACTGTTCATGAAAAACGTACTGTCTGGGAACAGGCTCCAGGGTCCACCTCTCCAGCAAGAGAGCATCTTGTTTCATAGCAGGATCATTTAAGTCGCTTGCTTCTGTGCTTAATCCTTCATCACTATAGCAACAGTCTGGGAGCAGCATAACCTCAACCATGATAGGAATATTGTTTCTCCATAGATGAGCAACATCAGACCGAGTTTTTCGAGCTTGTCGACACTAGAAAATAAGTGGGGGGAGGATGGATGATAATTTTGAATTTGTTTTACATTTTGTTTTCTGTTTTGCAAATTCTTAATTTTACATAAAAACAGTTTCTTCCATAATAACATAATACATGTACATTGGGATGAGGACTGAATAGGTCTTGTAAATATTTAATTTTGGACTCTGTACTTTTCTTGCATAGCGCTTAACACGTTATGTAAATCTCCTTTTGTGGCAAGAACAAGACTGTGCCAAGCACACAGTGTGTGGTCACATGGTGTGGTAATGAAAGCCTAATATGACCTTAGTACACCTTGGCTTCAGTGTTAGGTCACTTCTCAGAATATAAGCTCAACACACAGGTAGACTGAAACAGGGTCCATGTAAAGAGCTATGCATGAGTTAATAATACATTTATTTGTTGCTCTACCTATGAAGAGACATCCAACTGACATGCACATTTCAAAGTCCAAGGGAACCGTTGATTTTTACAAAGATAGGTAAATAAGACATGAGCTAAAACACAGGGTTGTCTAGTAAAAAGGAACAAGAATTAACGAACTCTGTCACGGCTACAAACCTCCATCTGTAAAGAGCTAAAACCAACTCGACAAACCCAGAGTTCTTTTATCTGTGGGGAAATCTCATAATCTTCACCAGTCAGGGGATAATGTTATTAGTCCACCATTAAATACAAGGTCAGTGGTAACAATCATGTTAAAAGGGTATGTATCAATCAAGGTTTTAATTATTAATAAACCAAGAGAGTGAAAAAGAGGGAGAAAGAGCCCCCCATCTTCCAAATGATCGATAGATATATAGATATATATATTGAGAAGGGTCAACCTGAACACTGTAAATCCACTGCAATTACTCCAAAAGACATGGTGCTTAGAACCCTCAGAGCCAACTCCTGTCTGAGAATAGCATTGAGCTGTAGAAATTAAAGATCCTGACTGGGGCGGTCAATCAGGCAATTGGAACACTTAGCTCCTGGTTGCTCTATAGATTTTGCCCCTATTGTCTGTGCAACAATAAGATTCTCTACAGAAGACCATGACTGCACTGCGCATGCATGCGTGAAATCACAGTGTGTTAGGGTATGAGATCTGGGAAGCAACAGTCCTGATCTCATACCCGAAGGGCTTAGAGATGCGTCTTAAATCCACAATTGTAAGCATTCAAACTATTGAAATAAAATGTTTTGCGGGGTAGGAAGGAAGGTACTATAACAACTTCAATAACAATAAATTATTATTTACTAAATAATCAAAATGTATCTTTTTATTTGTATTCACTCTGGGAGTACCGATTATTTCAAATGAGATAACATTATAGCTTTAGGAAAAAATTTTTGTATCCTTAACGGTATTGCGTTCCTTAAATATCTGTAACACATGAAAGATAGAAAATGGGCACCATCTAGGAGTAAAGACGCATGCACAGTTTGTTTTTTTTCATTGCTTCTTTCTCTTTAATAAAAACAGCTCTGCAGCACTTAATGAATCCCTGCTGCAGCACTAGAATCAAGTGTAATAAGGGGTAGAGAGGTCAACTAATATTAAGTAGCCCGCAGCACACTTCTAGATAGAGGATATAAGATTGGGGAGGAGTCAGTGCTCCAAAGAACAATATTGGCATGGCTTGCTTATAAGAAACATGCCATGTTTAACCTTTTCACTACAGGCTCTTTCACAGTATTCGATGTAGAGCTTAGAATATTTCCATTTACAAATACGACAGAGAGACAGCCCTAGATTTCAGATAAAAGGTCCATATATTCTTAATAAAGGGGAGAACTTAAAAGAAAAGGAGGCTAACAGGATGTGGTAGGAAGGGAACAGGGAAGCTGAAGGGAAACCAGATGTTTAGTTCTCTCGAATTCTGAAGATAGGATTTGAAAACTTACTGTCAGGATGTAGGACAAGTCTGAAAAACGATTTTTTTGGGCAGTGTAATAAATAGGGTATGATTTTTTTTTTTTTTACTAACTTCTGACATCATACCGGAACATCTATCCTCAAAGTTGTCTAGTCAAAGTAGTGACATCACCAATTAAACATAATTGTAGAAAATAATCCAGGCACTCCAAATTGTTCCAAACGATAGGCAATTTTTATTTGACCCAAGAACCACACAACGTTTCGACCCCTTAGGGGTCAAGCTTGACAAAGGCCCTAAGTGGTTGAAACGTTGTGTGGTTCTTGGGTCCAATAAAAATTGCCTATCGTTTGGAACAATTTGGAGTGCCTGGATTATTTTCTACAATTATACTTCATACATGGTACTAGGACTGATCCAGCAGCACTCTGAGATTCCAAAGCAAAGGGTTGAGTGCAGTTCCACCATCTCTATATCACCAATTAGACTGACATGGAGGAGAACATTGCTCAAATATGCATGTTTTCTACATGAAGGTTAAATGACAGGTCAAAGTGCAAGGTGAGCAAATGAAGGACACCTAGAAAACATGTTTTAGAATAGTGGTTCCCAACATTTGTTGACCACAGTACCCATCAATGAGAGAACATTCCCAAGGAACATTTTTTTTTTTTTTATCTTTATCAGCTGCTTGAAAATTTTACATTCATTTAAAGCCTTACTGGAGAGATTTGCATGCTTGTGGCCAAATCAGCTTATTAGGGTTAATTGTCACGTGGTATCCCAATTTTAAGGAGAACACATCTCAAATAGAATTGCCATCATCAACATTTAAAGGGTTAGTCCAAGCACCATGACCCCGTAAGTGATTTGAAGTGGTCATGTTACCTGAAGTCTGTATGTGCAGCTTTTTGCTATAAAAAACTCTGCACATACAGAGTTTATTCCTTCTGCTGCCAGAGGTGTAATTGCACCTACGCAAGAATCATTGGGACATCATTAGCCAGACCGGCACGAATATCAATACTGAGCATTTTTTGTCGGCGCACACATTATGCTGGTGGCCACCAATGATGGCACAGAGAAGGGCAGTGCTGACAACAGGTGACCATGTCCTCCCCTTGGACTTCCCACCCAGACATCCATCTCCCTCAGCGAACGGGAGTGACTTCGAGAGAGCATCAGGAAGAACTGGGGCTCTGCGCTGGAATAATCAACATTAAAAATGGCTTGAGGTGTAAACATCTGAAATAGGTCTACATGGCACAAAGATAAAAATCACAGCAGCAGTGAGCTGAAAAAAAGACCACAATCACATAATGTAAAGGAACTGTGCTGTCTAGGTTTTCCAACTTAAGTGAAAAAATGTTGTGTGACTACCTGCCAACTATAAAAGCATGAGCCATTTAATAAACCTGTGAATACTTCCCAAAAGGCTACATAAAGAGTCCTGCTTTTATGTAGCAATTGAGTCCCACTGTATCTAGGTAATCGACTAAAGTGCATATTATGCGACATGATGCCATAACAGCTAGAGGACTCTCTGTACTGGATTTCATTGAACAAAATGAGAAACCCAAAAGTCAATAACCGGAGTGGCTGGATGGATCAACTAGTCTATTATCAATCTATAAATCGATCTTGGTATTGAGTACTAATGCAGATAATTCACAGATTCCAGAACAGATTAGTGAGAGGTCAATTTTAGAGGTAAGAGGAACAGTGGTTGGCAATCCAGGCTTTCTACCAACATTAGCTACAGACAGTGCTTCTCTGATTTAAATGCTACCACTGGAGAATTAGTTTAGTTTAACATGAAAAGTCATTTTTGGAAATGTTTACATTGCCTTCCTCCTGCCCCCTAGCTCTGTAACTATTCTGAAATATAGCAATCTGACCACTTTGACTTTGAGTCCTTTACACAACCCTGAAATGTATAACCCTTCCACTTCATAATCAGCACAAGGGGTCAGAGGGTATCCTGGCTTGCTAGCCAGTATTCAACAGTGCAAGATACACATACCGGTGTTAGTTTATCACTGCATTCATGCTTATCAAGCACTGGCTGACTTGACTGTGCTGGAGGGCAGTGGAGACCTTCTGTCCTGCCTTTCACAGAGTGTTCTGGTGTGCGACCTTCTGTAATCAGTAAAGTAAGGTACACCAAGAAGTCCTCCGCCTCGTACTCAAAGAACTCATCCATGGAGTCTACAAAGAAAGAAAGACACACGGTAATATATCAGGCATGGTTCCAGAAGCAATGCAGTTACAGGATAGCATTTACAAAGGAGAACTTTACCTTCTTGAATACATTGTGGCAATATGTGAACATGCGACAATGCTTCATGGAAAGAGACAAACCAAGGTGAAATAAAACAACCTTCTTCTCTGTGAGCATGGAAAGTCATTTTTTGTATTCACAGTAAGACGAAGCTAATGAGCCTTTGTAATCAATCTTTTGTGACAATACTGGCTTGTAAACTGTAACTTCTTTATAGCTCTCACAATAAAATTTGTCAGAAAAGGAGGATTACAGATTGACAGACATAAAAGATTAAAATACAGTTAGTAAAAAGGGTGACCTTTCTTTCGTACAATAATTTTCCCTTCATTTAAACTTATGTTAAAAAGCAATGAACTTGCACCTATATAAGTATATATCTTATTAGTGCCAAAGAATACGTAGACACTTTATTAATAATTATTATACGGTATTTCAGCTCTAAGCCATAAGCCAAACTGAATTATGTAAGGATCCTCATCTCATGGATAAAACGGATCAGACTTTCAAAGTGCAGGGGAACCCGCCCTTTCTCCAGAAAGAACACCATTTAATAAAATACAAATAAGGTCAAGAAAAACACTCTGTTCCAATTCACCACTGAATTGCGTTCAAAGGAGACTTGTCACTCCCCAGGATTTTTCAAGGAACACGCAAAGAACCATAAGCATTACAGTTCACTGTAGTAGTTTTGGTGCCGGGGGTGCCTTTGCGTCGGCTATTGTAAGTAGTAATAGCAGTTTGACTTTTTACCTGTGGTTTGTTGGGCACCCCTCCCCAATTATAGTACAAAATTTAGGAGAACAGGAAGCACCTAAGCAGGAGCTTCAGATAGATCTCCTAAGCCAAGTGCTGCAGTGCAGGATTTAGCTTATTAGCTGAGAGCAATCAGCACTGCAGAGCTTAGCTCGGGATAACTAAGGGAGTCAATATCCTGACTCCTTACAATGGGGGAGGGGGAGGGGGAGGGGGGGAATCCAGGGCACAGCAGGCATAAACACTGCAGAAAATTGTAGTGGTTATAGAGCTTACAGTGTTCCTTTGATATTAGGTTTACTACCAGATATTCAACTACTATGTATTTATAAAGGTATGAAAAATAAAATGTATGAATTAAACATATTTATCATGCAATTTGGTACCCTCATCCTATCTCCCCGTCAATTTTATTTGCTCTCTTCCTTTTCACCTAGCATTCAACATAGAGAAAGTGTAAAGAAAAGGATAACTGAAACAATGATTTGCAATGTTTGCCTAGACAGGTTAAAGCAGATCTGTCAATTTTGGGGTCTCTGTAATGACAGATCCAGTGAGGGTCTTAGACCATGGAATCCTCCATAGAGAAAACATGAATCCCATAGCCATCGTTTGTGACAGCTGCTGGGATTGGACAAAAGTTTACATAGGAGCTCCTCCTTTTGTGTACATTAGGCTTGTCCAGAAGACAAAAGTATTCCCCACTTCCAACGCAGTCTTAATCAGTATTTTATAATAATTATATATTTTTAAATAATAAATGTGACAAAGCCGCTTATAAGTTATAGGTGATTTTCAATGTTTTATTCAATAATGTGCATTTCAGAAAAGTGATCGTTCCCCTTTAACTGACTGCCAGGAGCAAAACACCAAGCTTATAACACTGATGGAAAGGGGGCAAAGATGGAGGCATCCATTTGTAAGATAGAGTGTTGATTTCTACATTTAATTTTCTAACCTTACAACTAGATATTTGTTAAATATAACAACTACGGTATAAATATTAGAAATGCTGTGAACGGTCAGCTTCCCTTTATGGCTGAATGCAAGAATTTGAAAATACGGATACTGGTTTTAAAAACAAAAATTCAAGTGATGCGTGTCCTTTTAATTCAAGAACCAAATCAATAATTAAGGGGAGTATTAGCTAGCTTTATTTACAGAGTGTGAATAATATTAAACTAGGTTTGAGCTTGCCGAATAGATTTCTACTTTGTGACATGCAGACAACCAGAAGGACAGAGGTAGTGGATGTGAGGACAAATGCTAAAAATAGTTTTCAAAAAAAATGTACAGGACAAGAAGTAGTAGTTTTGTTAATGTTAATATATATATATATATATATATATATATATATATATATATATATATATGTGTTCAGAGAGTTAGGGCATTAATAAATGAATATATAAATATATATTTTAATACATTTTTTTATTATGTTTTAATTTTTTTCAACGTCTTGTGTGCAGGGAGAAACAAAAGAATTCATAACAAAAACAAAACAAAAATTACAAAGAAGCCTTTGTTACTGTACAGGCTCCGGTCTGAGCTAGTACAAAGATTTTATAGACAATCAACAGAAAATTAGGCAGCAGCTGGCATGGCTTCTTATGCATTACACAATGATGCGTATATTTGCAGCTCTAGAATCTAATATGTTTCTTAGTTTCATTTTACTTACAATGTTTTTGGCAGAACATTTCATCCACAACAGTCAAATAATTACAACACCATAGGTTATTAGTATGGTGTATTCTTATACTAGTAGAGGTTAGAGGGGCACTGTAGTCAACAGAACCACTACAAATTAATATAGTGGTTCTGGAGTCTATAGCCTGTTCCCGCAAACGTTTCGATATACGAGAAAAGGCAGTGTTTACAATGCTGCCTAGTAACACCTCTAGATGCTACCACTCAGACGGCCACTAGAGGTGCTTTGTCATCATGGGCAAGATAGTGTTCAGCATCTCCACAGAGGCACTGAACCTTCCCCATAGAGATCCGTTGATTCAATGCATTTTTTTGAGGAGATGCTGACTGGTGCGGTATCTCATTCACAATAGCCTATGGGAAAGCATTGGTTTGGCTGAGATCATGAAAACTTATGATCTAAGCAATGGAGGTGGGGCCAGCCGGGCACGGAGATAAAGTATGTATAATACCTCTTCGGAGTGATCTGTGAGGGGGGCGAGGGAGCTAAACAGTTTAACACATTTTTGTATTCCTGACACTATATTATGCCTTTAGGTACTGGGTTTTTTTTTTTACCAGAATATAGGGTTAGAAGAGTTTTTTGTTTTTTGTTTTTTTACTAAGAATATTCTGCCTATTTATAATGGTTCTATCAAAAAACTCTGCACAGTCTCTTGGTGCCAACCAAAATCAACAGCTGGTAATTAGTGGTTAGCGTTCCTATTACCTACCTCAATGGTACTCATTTTATGGATATTAAAGGACGAACATTTAAACTGCTGGGAATAGAACCTGCAACCTGAAGGTTGGTTTATTAGCAATTCACAATTTTAAAAGCATTTTCTTCCAGAGTTGAGATTAGTTTTTTTACACTTCTATAGTCTGTGACGTTACTGAATCAAAGTGCAGTTTCACAATTTAAAAGCATCGTTTCTACACCATTTAATTTACGGGATGATTTTCATCTTGTCGTGTTTTACACCCCACCTCCTATAGACTATAAGCTCGTTTGAGCAGGGTCCTCTTCAACCTATCGTTCCTGTAAGTTTTTTGTAATTGCCGAAATGGGGAAGGTGACTGACCACTTTTACAGTATCTGTCCCTTCTCCTCTGAAACAAACGATCACTACAGTAATTTGCCATGACAAATGTTTGCCCTCTGATCAATCTAAAGCACCTGAACAAATTATATCATTTAGTCTGAGTAACTACGATGGATAGTATGACAAAAGGGTTAACCAGCAAAAGAGGAGGATTGTTTCTGTTGCAGTTACACTATTGTAACTCCCCTTACTCAAATTCTGTATGTCACCTAGTCACAAACATACACACTGTCTACCTACGTCACCCCCATAGTTTGTTTAAGCAGTGAATAATCACCCAATATAAGCAGATTGCATAGCAGGCAGCAGCTGTTATATTTATATGGCACTGGAGAGAGAGGAGGAGAGAAAAAAAAAAAAAACAGGGTTGCCCTGTAGTCTTGAAACACAAATTTGCAATAAAAAGCGTGAGCGCAAAATAAGTCACCATCCTACAAAAGCATATTACTTGGGGTGTAAAACTGTTTAACCTACAGATTGTATTTGTAATGCACTGACATATGAATCAGCAATGTACAAATCGTTAAACAAAACATAATAGGCGACAAACAGGCAGTGAAAAGGGAATAATGAATCTGATCTGTGAGTGGCCAAAAAATAAAATAAAAAAAAAGAAGATCCCTTGCAGTGCTAGCACTACAAATCCCATGGTCCTTCAGCAGCCTTTGGGTTGGCAAAGAATCATGGGAGACTAACCTCTAGAACAGCTGTTTTTATTACCATTGTATCACTCCCAGTGTAAAGTAAATGGGGTTTAATGAAAACAAAAAGGTCACATCCACAGAAGTGACAGATATTTATTGCTCATTCCACAACTAAAAAATGTAGTGTTTACCTAAGTGAATAAAGCAGAGGGGGCAAAAAACAAATAAACACAAAGACAATTTTTTATTTCTTCTACACATACGCGTTATGGACAACATAATCAGCTCATGATGCATCTGGTGTGCTCATGAACACTTGGCATCTAATGAGAAAATCTGTATGAACACGTGCGCTTAGAATTTTCTCCAGCAATGCTGCACATATGCATGTGCCTATATATATATATACACACATATATATATATATATATATATATATATATATATATACACACACACACACACACACACACACATATATATATATATATATACATATATATATATACACATATACACATACATACATACATACATACACACACACACCCACCCTTGTTCTATATATATCAGTATTATTTTTATAGCAAATCTTCGTGAGCGCTGTACAATGGGTGGACTAAGTAATTGCAACCAGCAATGCTTTTAGGAACAGAAGGGGGTTGAGACCTGCTCAATGAGTTTTATATGCTATGAAATAGATCTAAACAACAATACCATATATAGAACATGTATATATATACATACATACATACATATACACACACACACACACACACACACACACTGGCTCTTAGAATGTTACTCCTGGAAGTAGAGAACCCACCCATCCAAAAAGTTTTTTAAAAACAAATGAATACAAAAACAGCCCCCTTCCCCTTTTTGACATTCTACATTAATTTACAGGATGTATTTAACCCTTGAGAACACATCCTGAATTTCACATTCCAGGTCTAAACTCACTGTTGGGGTGTCCAGGCACGTCTCATCAGTCCACACAGAAGATACGGTCTTACAAAATGGCAAAACAAAATTAGGATTACAGAGGGCTTTGGATTGCCACAGAAACTCAAAGCACTTGTATCTTGAATGGCTAAGTAAACAGGGTTTTCCAGTGACTTCCATCAAGTCTAGAGCAAGAATATAAATTGGGCAGGGTGGGACAAAAGCCAGCGCCTGTGTGCACTGGAAGTCTCATCTCCATGTAAAAAAAGATTCCATGTCTACTGATAAGCTTGTTAGCAGGCACAATACAAACTGAAAGAACATTGTTGTCCATGTAAGCATTGAATGACCATGAGGAGTAAAGCAAAACAAAACAAAAATGTGAGATCATAAAGGGAGATCAGGGTTTTAGAAAAAGTATTACCTTTTAAGCACTGTAACTTTAATTCAGAATATTTAAGGAGCAATTCATATTCTGTCCATTTAAGTTAATATTTATTGACAGACACACACACACGTTAATATATTGACACATACACACACACACCACAACAACGAGGAGGATTTAGGCTAATCCCTATAATTAACATGACATAGAAAGTATAGAACTGGTCATTAATGGGTCAAAGGTGCATCTGCCCTAAGGGACAATGTACTCAAGCTAGAATGATTTAAAATGCTACTCAGTAAAAAAAAAAAAAAAAAACTACTACAACTACTACACATTCCACCTGACCCAGATTCTGTGGGAGAGTCCTGATTTGGGCCTCCAATTCTGTGGTCCTAGATATTTCATTTCTGGGACAATTTTTGTCAATGTAGAGGATTTCAGGAGTGTTCTTTTCATGGGGCAGTCCTCCAAAGCAAGCAGTCATGCTGAGCTGACATGCCCCCACTTCAGTCACAGTGTCTTATTAGGGATGCACAAAGAGCCACAGGCATTCACCCTCACCCCACTCCTTGGCTATGAAGATAAAAAGACTGAACCAACATGACAAGCTTTATTCCTATTCCTGACTGTTTAAAGACCTTCTGAGCACTTAAACATATACCTCATATGTGTACTGAACCATTATGTAATACAAACTAGACTGTTAAAGTTACAGTTCATGTTTAGTGCTACTCAGGTTGCCTGTATTACTATTAAATAGACTTAATTCAAATAAATGGATAGATTTAATAATAAATACAAAGAATACAGGGCTTTGGACGAATGCACCACCCCCAGAGGGCTAAAGTATAGGCCAATCTCCTTATATAATTATTGTGCCAAAATATAGGTTTTGGATGCATACTTTGCTGTTGCCTTTAGGACCATTTCTAAGAAAGACAAAACCAATTTAAAAAAAAAAAAAGTAGAAAAAAAAAAAAAATCATGTTAATGCATTGTGGAAAATAATATTCTGCAAGGGTTTAACGGATTAATGATCCTGCCAAAATTGATAACCCTTATTTAAAAATAAGTGTAAAAAGCTTTTTTTTTTTTATCACTGAAGAAAAAAAACTAATTCACAGTTTGTTTCATTGTCCAGGGGTTTTGCGTTCTGAGGGGTTTATATAAGACATCAGGGTAAGGTGGGGGCAGAGACACTAATGCGGGCTAAGGGCAGGGACACTGGTGGAAGTGATATGACAGATACACTATTTGGGGTTTGGAGTGAGAGACAAAGGGGGCTCAATACATACACACCAGGTGCACACCCAACTTATTACACACAGTCTACACAGCCAAGCACTCACACACCCACTATGGGGGACAAAGGGTGAAATACCCCGGGTTATTGACTAAATCTTTTTTTTTTTATAAATTCTTTATTTTTCAGGTTTAGGTGAGGTAAAGGGTACAGAATAAAGGTAGGGGTAGGGTAGTAGTGTCATTCAATAGCTTTACAGTTTTGTTTCGACTCAATGGCATTGGTACGATTTATTGCGAAACCTCAGAACAGTCTTCTAGGTTAAGTGGTACAGTTTTCTATGTCTCAGGTGGAGGTTGTCACTTGGCTTCGGGTCCTGTCGTTTTTGTCTCTGAGAGCGTATGTGGCTCTTCCTGTGTTGTGTTTGTCAGGTTTTGTCTCTTTCGTTTCTGTTTGGGTCTGGGTTGGTGTGTCTGTTTTGAGTGCGGGTAGGGTCCGTGTGGGAGTTTGGTGGTCTCAGCCCATGGGTGGTCGCCTCATATAGGCTGTAGATGTGGAGGGTTTCCAGTGTGATGAGATCTGGGTCTACGCCTAGTGTCTGAGGTTGTCCTCTTATATTCGTATCTACTGCTGGTGGTCAGGTTGTGCGGAGTGTGGTATTTTGTTAAATGTTGGGCGAGTTCCCCAGTCTTGTGTTTGTGCATTGAATCGTGAAGTTGGTGTGGGGGGGGGGGTATGTGTATAGGGTTGGGGGGGTCTATGTGGGGTCCCAGTGTGTTATTAGTAGGGGGTCTGGTTTTGGGGGGGGGAGGGATCGCGGCTTGTTCCCGGGTCCTCCGCTTACGGTGCCTGTAGGTGGTGTTGGGTCCATGGGTCCCATATCTTGTGGAAGTTTCGAGTTGTGTCGTGTAGTAGGGCGGACAGTTTGTCCATTTCCATTGTTTCTTGTGTTTTGTGGATCATCGTGGTTAGTTGGGGTGTATTCTGATTGCCCCATTGTTCTGCTATTGTTCTTCTGGTAGCTAACGCTAATCTGGCCACTAGTTTATTTTGCGCTCTGGTGAGGGGAGGGTGGGGTTTTGAGAGCAGCCATATCCAGGGGTCTCTTGGGATATCTGTTTCTAATATGTCTGACGCGAGCGTGCTCACTCTTTCCCATATTTGTAGGACTTGGGGACATTCCCACCAGAGGTGAATGTAAGTGCCCTTCTGTGTGCAGCCTTTCCAGCAGGTGTCTGTGGTGGCGAGGCCCATTTGTTTCAGTCTGAGCGGTGAGAGGTACCATCTGAGTAGGGTTTTATAGGCTTGTTCTTTATGATTAACGCAAATGGTAAGTGAGGCCGTGGCTTCCCATATGTCTGCCCAGTCTGTAGGGTCTGCGGGGGGGCCTATATCTCTTTCCCAGGCCTTGGTGTAGGAGAGTGCATCCTCTGGGGAGTTTGAGTTTAGGAGTGAGTATATTTTTGTGATTTGTCCTTTCTGTATGGGTGCGTGGAGGCATGTATTTTCGAATTGTGTTGGTTTGGTAGTGGCGGCCGTCCTATTTTGTGGTTCGTTGAGAAAGCTGTGAATCTGTATGTAGCGGAAGTGATCGAATGTGGTCAGGGGTGTTTGTTTGGGGAGGATTGACTAAATCTTTTTAAAAATTAAAATCAGAAGGCAAACACTGAGGCAAAAAAGTTGTGAATTTTCCAGATCAGCTTTTTTTGTCTCAGTTTTTACATTTGGATTTAATTTGCAAAAATTCAGTTTAGTGAATGACCCTGTCGATGTCAAGGGCTCTAGACAGGTACCTCAATATGAAATTATTGGGCATTACAAGACAAGTAGATTGGGCTACTGCTTTAGTCCCTTGGACAAGGAGATTTTTTTTCCACACCTCTGAGACAGACCGACACACACACTAGTTATATACAGTGTATGTGCGTGGCTCTAAAGGAAGTAAAAACCTGTAATGTAAGCACATCAATGATTGTTGTTTATTTCCTAGTTCTTTTCCAAAGGTGACATTGATAACACCTGGCCTGTTGAGGGGCCTAGAGGCCTGTTTTGGGAACTGCTGTAACAGATGAAGGAGTGTACATTCAAAGTATTAACATTTTACAAACATGTTTCCGACGTGACTACCCATACTCTACATAAACATCTACGCTTGCAAGAGCTACCGGTACATATAGAACACACATTCATGCAAATTAATTTCTACAAAGAACATAATGAGTGGGCATCTAACACAGCCTATGTTTTATGGAAAAAAATATTTATGAGTCTACAGACTGACTAAGCATGTTACAAAAGTGCTAGTGTTACAGTAAAATGTTATGAATCACTCTTGACAAAGAACATCATTTTTTTCAACAACAGTTAACACTACGTTAAAAATTATATAATTGCATCCATAAATGCAGCATTATACATATATATTTCTCGTGGGTCTATGTTACAGGGGTTGCATTTTTCCAGTAAGCTATTGATATTTTCATTTAGCTTCTATGTTATCTTATGTGCCCATTCCCCAAAGGCATTTTAAGGCACACTAAGAATAAGTAGTTCTATTTTGTAATCGGTCCACCAATTGTTTAAAGACAGACAACTGTATCACTTGTGCTAATCGGTAGAAAACGGATGTACAATACAAATAGGAAAGCATTCAGTTGTAGAAGATGTAAGCGTAACGAAAAATGAGACAGACACATAAAACTGAAGCTACACTACTGTCAGTACCACCATCTTCCTTGAGGGGGATATTTGATGAGGTCATTTAAAACAGAGCACTTCTTCATGTTAACTTGAATTGTCTTCAACCAAAGTACTCTGGGATGGACTGCCTATAGTAGCCATTACTCATCAATTAGTAGTAGGCCAGCATCCTCCCTACTGACAATAGACCCGGTCATATAAAACTCTATAAAAGGCACTAAAAAGACTACTGTCATCATTCCTAAAGTCTTCTTTTATTCAGTAGATGCGGCATACTCAAGGGCCCAGAATGCCATCCACCCAGTTGCTGTAGCACCCTGGTAGCAGGATGAAACAGACGTTCATGCCAGCCGCCTAGAACTATACACCGGTTCAGAACGTGGTCGCTGCTGGTCAAAACTTTACCCAAGTGGCGATAGGACACCGTGTGTGGAATCAGGGCGCCTTTTGGACAGTGGGTAAATGGAGGTATATGCTGTTCAGGGACGTATTGGTTGTGGAGGTTTCTGTATTGGGAAGGGAGTTTTAGGGCTGTGTTCCCCTGTGCACTGACTGGCTGTGGGTCAGACTTAGTGGCACTGATAAGGGAATGGTCAATTGTTACTCTGATCACTTCCTGGAGGATAAAATATACATTGTAAGCTGTATAAAAATGCGCGTGTGTTCAATAAAACTGTTCTTGTTTCACCCTTCATCAAGTCTCAGTTGAAGTTTGTGGAAACCGTTGAACAGGCTATACTCGCTCTGGATGTTTGGACGAGGTAGGATGACAAGCAGAAGTACTTGGGCTGAGTGCTTATAAGAAAAGTTGCTCATGTCCACAGTAGCTTACAAACTACTCTATCAGATTTTCACTTTATATGCCACATGCCTGTAATCGCCCACTTTAACCTTGGCTTTAGATAGCATTAATATGACAAACTGGTACTTTTGCCTCTAGGAATATTAAACATTACAAAGCAAATGGTAACACTGCTATTTCTATACCATTGCAGACTTCATTCAATAACTTGCCTAACTTGTCGATCATATCATTGTATACAGGCAGAGCCATATTGATCAAAGTGGCTATCAGCTTATGGAGTCTTTGCATATTTTGCAAAGACCCCAAATGGATTGCTCTGCTTCGAGTGCTGTTGCCCAGTAGTTTTTTTTCTTAACCTAAATATTTTTGTTTCTTCTACACAGTGGTTTCTGCTTTCTTCCATCAGGTCCTCCAACTCCTGGCACTTCATCTGAGAGTGCAACCCTGGTGTCTATGATGATCTTGAGACAGAAAGAACCTCCATAGACATATTTTTCTCCTCTGGTCCTTGCTCTCCACTCTCCAGAGATTAAAGGGGATTTTACTCACTACCCTCTGTGGCCGAAATCAATTTTGTTAACCTCAGCCAATCCAATGCTTTCCCATTGGAAAGCATTAGGAGGCTATTACGCATGCGCCAATCAGCATCTCCTCATAGAACTGCATTGAATCAATGCATCTCTATGGGAAATGTTCAGCTCCATGCAGAACGTGTGATAGAAAGTACCTCTAGTGGCCGTCTGAGTGACCGCAACTAGAGGTGTAACTAGACAGCAATGTAAACAATGCCCATTCTGAGAAAAAGCCGTGTTTACAGTGCTAGGTCTGCAAGGAACATGCTATAGACACCAGAACTACTACATTAAACTGGCTATTAGTACCCATGTATAGTGTATCACAGAAGTACAAATCTAGAATATATTCACTGAATTGGTTATTGTGGAGAACTGAAAAGGCATATTTTAGATCAAAACAGCTAAAATATTAATAGAATTAAAAAATATTTCTATTTCCTCTCATTTATCCCCAAACACCAGTTTAGCATATATTCCCCACTTTTTTCTCAGAAGAGAAAAGCAACATGATTATTAAAGGGACACTATAGTCACCAGAACAACTACAGCTTAATGTATTTGTTCTGGTGAGTATAGTCATTATGCCACTGGAGGTGCTTCCACTGGAGGTGCTTCCTGGCTCAGTGCTGCATAGTAGGCCGCACTGCCATTCAGCGTCTCCACGCTATGCATGGGGACGCTGAATTTCCCTCAGAGATGCACTGATTCAAGTGTTCATTGATTGAGTTTTTATTACTTTTAAGAGGGCTAAATGGGGGACAAGCCACCTAAATGGTGGGTTTAGCACTATAGGGTCAGGAATACATGTTTAGGTTTCTGACCCTATAGCGTTCCTTTAAAATAAGGATATCCATTATATTTATCAAGTCATCTTATGATTTCACAGGGAAGGGAAAGTGGTGCAGGCCCCAATGAATGGAACAGTGTATTTTATACACAGACCCATGCATTTTGTGAAGTAGCGTACACAATGTAAAACTTTGACTGAATTGGTGGCAGTAGGACAGGACATATAACAGGGCACAGCAATATATAAAGCAAGTTCTCAAATATCAGTAATGTCAGTAAAAGCAAGGATGACTATTCAGAAGGGAAATTAGTTAAAAAGAGGGCAAAGAGGAATTAACCTCAAAGGCTGCGCTAATTCTCCACTGGAGATTAGAGAGCAGTCAAGGCTTGAAGTCTAATAATTGCAGATACTAAGGATGCATTGGTGGTGAAGTAATTAATCCATTCATCCAATCAACTTCTTCCCCAAGGTATTTACAGAGTGAAACACACTCCGTTAAACAGTAAAATGGATTTTGGGAAGGGGAAAAGTATGCTCTTGAAAAAAAAAAAAAAAGGTTTTTAAAAGGCTCAGCGTAAAACGATGCTGCCATGTCTGGGGAAAAATGATATGTGAAACAAAACAAAAAAAAATACTAAAATGTACAGTCTCCAAAGGAAAGGTCTATTAACTCTATGCACTGTGTGCAGGTGATATTAAAATGCAAAATAATATTTTTAAAAATTTAGGTTTTGTTTTTTGCTGGAAGATTTATGAATCTGAGTGTGAGGCGAGTCTTAAAGGGTTAATACAAGCACCATTTGAAGTGAGCAAGGTGCAGGGATTCTGTATGAAAAACTGTAGAGTATAACCTGTAAAAGCTGTAACTTAAACTTCTGCAGCATCGTCGGGACGTCGTTTGCCAGCCCAGAAACTAGAATTCCAGGGGCCAACGTCAATTCTGTGCATATTGGACAGGCATTCAGTAGTTGCATGCCCCCCACCACTCTGTGCTGCCCATGTCCTCTCTTCAGCCTGCGCTCCCTAAAATTAGTCTCCCTCCAGCAAGAAAGAATGATATCAACTAAAGTAAGATTGGGCTGTAGGGAGAGCTTGGCCTCTGTGCTGGTACAGAGGTAAGCTCTCATCAGAAGCAGTGTTTCGTGGAAATATTGTATTTTGGTTGGAGTAACCCTTTAAAGTTTTAAACAAGCTGGCCTTAATCTAGAAACTAACCTGAAGTTTTGCCAAGATAACACACACAAATTATTAAAGAAATAATTGTATTGGGGGGGTGTGTGAATTCCATGTTGTATTAGATCGGTCAGACTGGTAGATAGAAGAAAATCGTATTTAAAGTTCTGAACTAGGTGTGCAGGACCAAGATCCACAGAAGGGTGAAAGTAATGATGTCCCTTGAGAACCTAATAATGGTGCTATACCCGATTTGCAAACCTTGTGGCAATAGTGAAGCTGGTTTTAAGGTTAGTGCAGGCTACTTTTAAGACTAAAGCTTTTTTTTTCCCAGCAGATAAAAGTGATTGTTTCTTTCAAATTTCTAAAACTTTTTTTATGGGTCAAGACAAACTAAATGCTTCAAGACAAAATGACTTACAGCAACAGAAGGAAATCCCTGGCGCCAGGTCGCCATGGCGACTAGACATTATGCCCTGGAGCCTGGGATGTCAGACCTTTAAGGTGTCCGGTAGGCCGCTCACCCACTGGGGCATTGTAGGCAGCGCGCGAGGGAGCAGTAATATACCTGCAGCTCCTCTCAGCTCCCTCTTGCTGTTTAATGATGATGGGAGTCAGTACATGACGTCACTCCGGCCCCGGCATCATTACAGAGAGCGAAGGAGCAGAGAAGAGTTCTGAAAAGGCAGTGTTTACATTGAAAGGTCTGCAGGTACCAGCTATAGACACCAGAACAACTACATTAAGCTGTTGTGGTTCTTGTGTCTATAGTGTCCCTTAAGAATTAAATTTTTCTCATTGAACATTAAACTTAGAATTAGTTTTTTAAAAAAAACTGGATCCTAGATTTAAAAAAAAACAAAAAAAAAAAAAAATTGTCAAGCCATATTTTATATTACATTAGTCAAAATGGCAGCACACCCTATTTTAGATCAGTAAGCAAACAATTTATACAACAATTATACACAAACAAAAAATAAATTTGTGTTTGTGTTTTGTTTTTTTTTATTGATTTTCGCACCCCCTCCTGGGTGGTATGTTTATTCCTAATTTTCGGGTCCTCTACCAAAGGCTGAGGGTTCTGTGCATTCTGCATTCTTCAGGACAGCGGTCTCAGATGTCCCACCTGGAATCTGTTGAAGCCACTCCCCCAACCTGGGAGTCACAGCCCCGAGTGCTCCTATCACAACTGGGACTGCTACTGCCTTCACTTTCCACATCCTTTCAAGTTCTTCTTTTAGTCCTTGGTATTTGTCCACCTTCTCATGTTCCTTCTTCCTGATGTTATAGTCACTGGGTATTGCCCCATCCACAACGACTGCGGCCTTTCGTTCCTTGTCTACTACCACAAGATACATATATAGATATAGAGATAATATATATACACACACAGCAGTTTTGCGGAATTCCATTAGAAAGCATCAAAAACATTACATGTTTCATGTTTCTATATACATACATACATACATACACAGACACCACTCTCTAATATAGTTATTCATTAAATAAAAGTGGAAAATCATAAAATAAGGTTTGAAGAAATTCCTTGGTCAGTACATATTGGGCATTGCATAATATAGGCAGAGCGTGAAAGAATAAATGGAGCAAAAAGCACATTAAAACACATTGGGGTTGGGGGCGTGGCCTACGCGGAGCAAGATGGCCGCATAGAAATCTGCTCTGCCACATGGGCACCTAATCTGTGACAATCCCAATAACAAAAACTGCATCCAGCGACCTTCAACAAAGATGTCCCAACATAAGAACAAAAGGGGTTCGGCGAAACCCGAAAAACATAATTTTTTCAACCAGAAAACGTCGTCCGCAGCTCCGGCGGAACAGGCCTCACTTGACACCGAGGATCCTGATTCCGATGACGGCAAACAATGCTCAAGATCTAGCACACAAGCACACGACACACAAATCACAAAGGCAGATCTGTCAGCTGCTCTGGAGATACTATCAACCAAGCTAATAACTACATGGCAACATACCGCAGATTCTTTGAAAAAAGATATCCAGGAACTGGGAAGGAGGACAACAAACATGGAGGATAAATACGATGAATTTGCTACGGCACACAATGACCTAGCCACCAATGTGGAACAACTATCCACACAACTAAAGAATATGGAAGAGAAACTAACAGATATGGAGGACCGTTCCCGCCGGAACAACCTCCGACTAAGGGGAATCCCTGAAGAAATAACCAGCGATAACCTACCTTCCTACATTAGAGGATGTCTGAAAGCTCACGCACCCGAAATACCGACAGATATGCTGTTGATAGACAGGATGCACCGCATCCCTAAACCGCGCCATCTCCCCCCTACGGTCCCAAGGGATGTGTTACTAAGAGCTCATTATTTTCACGTAAAAGAGCATATACTCAGAAGCTGCAAAACACGAGCAAGGCCGCCGGAGGAGTATGCCGCGGTCCGGATATACGCGGACCTCTCTGCAGCTACACTTCGGAGGAGAAAGGAGTTCTCCCAGATAACAGGAACGCTGAGAGCACAGGGCATCCGATATAAGTGGGGTTTCCCCACCAAACTCATCATAACACAAGAAGGGAAAACGACGGTAATACAAACACCAGAAGACGGCAAACAGAAACTACAAGGTTGGAACATACCAGTAGCACCTGAACCCCAGACCACACCGAAGACAGACGGGAAACTTAGAACCGAATGGACACTGAACCACAAGAAACATTAATACAGGACAATCCCTGGTCTACCGGCAAAATCGGACGTACCACTCTAAGTAACTTCCACACGTGGGGAATGCAACCTATAAAGAACTACTCTCCCCAACATAACCACGAACCTGCTTTGGACGACCCCGTTGAGTGCTGCAGGCCGCCGGATCCGGGACTTCCGCCACCCCCCCCGTGACGGGGCGGGGCGGGGGGACCGGGTCTGGGGATGCACCTCTGGCTGGGAGCGGCTCCTGAGTGGGTCCGGGGGGCCCTTGGACCCGGAGCTCCCAACATCCCCTGTGACGAAGCAATGCAGAGCAGCGGCATAGATGTGGGGGACCCGGGTCCGAGGCCGCGCCTTTGATGAGGGATCGTTTCGGGTAAGCAAACACCACTACCCCAGGTGCCCCTACGTAGAGGTTCGGGCACCGAAACGGGCCACAGGGGGACACACAAAGACACACAGATTGAAAGACTTGGGTAAATTTCTGCTTCCCCCTTACCTTTTCTCCAAAAATGGGTCCCACTTTCATGTTTTGATTTTTCAAAGTCTTACTGTGAATTAATCAGGGGGGGGGGGAGGGACTTGGGAAGATGTAATGAACCATTGATATGGGAATGCGTGGGTTTCAAGATAGAGACACATTCTCTATAATTACGCAAGCAAACTAACATGGACACACGACTAGCGAGGATCGTCCCCTCTAACTGACCCCTCCCCAAACAGAGAGAATAGGGACGCTATGACACATTGACTAGATATGACCCAGCTACATACACAGTGGCCAGCAATAGGGAGACGACTTCCGTGATCCCCAAACTGACAATAAGCATGCCCAAAAAATAGAAGCGCCCTCATAGGACCGGGGGACGACAAACCTGAAACGACCGCCCTCTGCCCCAAACGGGCATACCCCACGGGGCTTACAGTGAAACGCACAGGTGGGAAGCGACCTGACTCCACAAGTGTACTACCCTGCTACAAACGACCAAACCGCATATAGCACATCATGCAGTGACCTCTAAACACAGCCCATAGGCCACGTAGATGGAGAAAACAACCAACTCCAACCCCTATGGTGTGGCAATCCCACACCTTGTCTCGCAAAGAGACATAATGTACATAGTTTTCCCCCCCCTACCAAGTTTAAAACCCCCTGTTAATACCCCTACTAGACCAATCAAAAACATAAGATACACCTATGCCAACGCAACACTAGATAGCGCATGTTCAAGATACAACGCGCACCGAAAAATGGGACCCCATATCATCTCATCGCAATGTCACAAAATCTTTACATCACCAACACAAACTCTCATGATACTACGTCCTGCCACAAACACCAAACCAATGAACCGCAGGCCTCAACACCTAGCAATCACCCCACATCCGTATTTGGTAGATGAAGATACAATCAATTAACACCCGCGGGCTAAACACACCGCATAAACGTAGATTACTGCTAGAAGGAGCACAAAAGTACAAAACAGATATACTTTGTGTGCAAGAGACACATTTTGTACACAATAGAGTCCCTACATTTGCCTACAGGGATTACCCAACTCAATATCATTCAACATACTCCTCCAAATCAAGGGGAGTCTCCATATTCATTCATAAATCTCTAACATTTGAACTCCTACAACTAAAGAAAGATGCACAAGGCAGATATATCATACTGCACTGTAACATAAACAACATACAATATCTCATAGCGAGCTTTTATGGGCCCAATGATAACCAGAAGAATTTTCTCCACAAGATACTAGCGAAACTGCCGACTATGTCCAACATTCCTCAAATAATTTGCGGAGATGCCAACCACGTACTACAGCCCAAATTAGACACCACCTTACCACATACATCACCTAGATATAAAAACATATGTAAACAGACAACAGCACTAACACGACTATTTTCGGAGTACGGACTCTATGACATCTGGAGGGCCCAACACCCAGCCGACCGGGAATTCACATTCTACTCGTCTGTCCACCATACGTATTCTAGGATTGACTACATACTAATCACTGGTGACTTACTACCACACGCAACCCATAGCGATATCGGCGACATAACCTGGTCAGATCACGCCGCTGTCGGGCTAACACTCAAAGATAACTTCGCTTTCAGGGGAACAACACCCTGGCGTTTGAATGACACTCTTTTACAAAATCCGGAATTTACTCACAAACTAAATACAGAAATAATAACATACTTTGCACAAAACAACACTCCCGATGTCTCACCTGCCACTGTGTGGCAAGCTCATAAAGCAGTCATACGCGGCCATCTCATAAGCAGAGCATCCTTTCTCAAGCGCCAGTCAAATCAAGAGTATGTAAATCTACTCAGATCCCTTAGAGATGAAACTAGAGCCCAAATCTTACAACCAACACCGGACAGACAACAACACATACAACACATACAGAAACAAATCAATGACACACATATAGTAAAGACGACGAACATCATGCATAGACTAAAACTCAATTCATATACACAAGGAAACAAAGCAGGGAAGGCACTGGCATCAACACTCCGTCAGAAACAACTGAACGCCAAAATACCCTTCCTCTTCAACGAGCAGGGAAACAAAATTTATAACCCACAGGACATAAATAACATGATGGCGGACTATTACGAAGGGTTATATAACCTAAAAAACGACGGCAACACATATCAGCCTCACACATCTAACATAACAGACTTCTTAAGAGAAGTACAACTAACTAACCTAACATCGGATAACAAACTAGAACTAGAAAAACCCATCACACTTAGTGAAATACAACAGACGATAAAAGCGCTCCCTAAAGGGAAATCCCCAGGCCCAGATGGGTTTACGAACCTATACTATAAAACCTTTTCCCACACGCTAGCACCTCACCTAGTGAATTTATACAATCATATTCTATCCACTGGAACCCCTCCCCAGGAGATGTTGACTGCACACATAACAACACTACCCAAACCTGGCAAACCACCACACAAATGCCCAAATTTACGCCCAATCTCATTATTGAACACAGACCTAAAAATAATGGCAAAAATATATGCAACCAGATTGGGGAACTTTTTACCATCTCTAATAAAAAATGATCAGGTGGGATTCATCAGAGGCAGACAGGGCTCCGATGGTACCAGAAAACTAATTGACCTCATCCACACCATCCAGCAAAATGGGGAACCTAGTGTAGCCTTGTCACTAGATGCTGAGAAAGCATTCGACAGGCTGCACTGGGGATACCTGGAAGCCGTACTTCAGAAATATCATTTCCCACAAAGATTTCTCACATTAGTCTCGGCCTTATATCATGAGCCAACCGCGAAGGTGATAAATGGAGGCTTCGCTTCCAGACAATTCCGAATATCGAACGGATCCCGACAAGGATGTCCACTGTCACCCCTGTTATATATTCTAGCTCTGGAACCATTAGCTCAACACATCAGAGGAAACCAAAACATACACGGGATAACAATTGGCAAGGTAACGCACAAAATCACGCTATTTGCCGATGATGTGATGTTGACTCTAACCAAACCTGAGATATCAATACCTATACTACAGACAGTAATACAACAATTTAGCAACTGCTCATACTACAAACTAAACGTCACTAAGACCCAGGCCATGAGCTTCAATATAAAAAACCCAAGGCTCCAACATCTACAGAGTACATATACATATGACTGGAGGCGTGACCACCTCACCTTTCTAGGCATATCACTCACGCCAACCACGCGTAAACTGTACCAGGCCAACTATGAGAAGCTCCTCCGGGAGATAAACAAGCAACTGCAGGGCTGGAAGGGGAAATATGTGTCGTGGATGGGCAGAATCGCAGCGGCAAAAATGATGGTACTGCCACGTCTACAATACCTTTTCAGAACCCTACAAATAGCTCTCCCAAAATTATTCCTCATAGACGCTCAGCGCTCCATAAATAAATTTATATGGGGTGGGAAAAAAGCCAGAACAGCAGCAGAGATTCTATACAAACCCTTCATACTGGGAGGAATGGGGGTCCCAAACATCACAAGATACTATGAGGCAGCTATGATAAGTACACTGGTAAACACATACCACCACAAAACGCCACTTGCATGGACCCAAATAGAAGCAGCATACACCGAGAGCATGCCACTACACACCCTAGCCTGGATACCTAGGGACAAAAGGCCACAATATCAAAACATATGCCCAACCACTATGGCTACACTCAAAATATGGGACAACCTGGTCAAAAACCAAAACAAAAAAGCGCAATTCTCCCCAAACCTTCAACTCCGGGCACTAAATGTTTTGATTCCAGGATTTGACTACAAAACCTGGAACTCCCTTGGAGTGTCCTACATATCACAGATACTAACAAACGGACATATAAGTGACTACGACTCGCTACGCAACAAATACAATCTACCCTCCACACTCTTTTTTTCGTACTTACAACTGAAATCATGGGCAACCAAACACTATGACAACTCCCAGACACGGGGTTATGTACTCAATGAGATAGAAATCTTATGCATGGCGGGCAAACCACCATCACGACTACTATCCACCCTATATCGATTGTTTGAACACAACACAAACACAGAAAAACCTAATTTTATTAGAACATGGGAAAAGGAACTAGACCACACACTGACGCCTGATGAATGGCTTCAGACCCGGAGAGCACATAAAACGCTCACATTAAACACAGCACACATAGAATTAAGCAGGAAGCTTCTATATCGGTGGTATATGGTGCCCTCAAAGCTACACAGGATAGATCCTACCAAACCAGATACATGCTGGCGATGTGGCGCGGAGCCTGGGCCTATGACCCACATCTGGTGGGGATGCGCGAAATTGAAAAAATTTTGGTTAGACGTCTCAAGCCTCATAGAGGATACCACAGGCGTCAAGCTACCACATACTCCATTAACTTATTTGTTACTCATATGGCCCAAAACACTACAGAAACCGAACGAATACCTGGCATATCATATAATTATTACAGCATTAACCGTCATAAGTAGGAACTGGCTGAAAGATATACCCCCCTGTATACAAACATGTATAGAGGTGTTAGAAACTACCAAAAAATATGAAACAACAGCAAGGAAAGCGCAAACAAAGAAAAACTTCTGGGCTATGGCATGGAATCAATGGGAGTTGAAGACTAAGCACCATACAAACAGTCCCACAACCTCATAATTGAATATAACCTTATAACTGAATATAAGCGCATCGCAATCTAGCCAATTGACCGCAAACTCTGCGACCAAACCGACCAAACTCCCCCCCTTCCCCTTGTTTTTTTTTTTCCCCCCTCCCCAAATAGTTTATTCTCCCCCTCTCTTTTTGTTCTCTTCTCTTGCATATAACCAGTACCCCAAACTCCCTATTTGTAAGAGCAGACTTACCGGGCAACTTTGTTGTCACCACCACCACTACACGTATAAATGTAATCAAAAGGGCACACAAGATATCTTCCGCATGCAGGAACTGAATTAACATATATGAATATAATGGTGAATTGTTTAATTGTACTAGATGTCTGCATGACTAGATCTGACGATGTACATAGTTAATTTGGGGTCTGACAAACAGGATGTTCAATGTCCCTACTCCCTTTTTCTTCTGTATCCCTACATTACCTATGTCTATACTTACTGACAATGAAAAATAAAATAAAAAATTTGTCAATCAAAAAAAAAAAAAAAAAACACATTGGGGTTTACAAAGAGTAAAAATTGGATCAACCAGTAGGAATACACTTTAGGTTTCCAGGAACATTATGCTGTATCCATAATGCGGTCATACAGTTGCTTTTTAGAACCCTGCTGTGCAATATAACAAGAGTTTTGGACAAAGGTGGTTACACCTGCACAAAACACAGGACCATGGGCAAGGGGTAGCACAAAAAGATGAACTGCTAGTTATTTTGGATTATATAAACAAAAAAAACCAATAAAGTTTTACTGTACTAGAACTAGGGGAATTAGATTACAATTGGGGCACAGTATATTTAACCAAGCTGAATAAAAGTTATTGGAGCGACACCAAGGAATGCTGTGTCTGTCTTGTAGTCTTTTGAGCAGGGTCTGCTTCATCTCCTGTATGTATATCAATTACTTGTTATCAAATATCCACAGTCTAGAGTTTTAAAGCAGTATAAAGGTTACTGCTAAATGCAGTTTACGGTCGGGAATGTAATGTCAATTTTACATATTAGGCCAAAACAGACAAACTGAAAACAAATTCAATTCGGCTACAGAGGCCTGATATTTTAAAAATGCACACTAAATTCCAAACAAATTACCCTTCAGCAAATAACCTCTTCAGGTGTTATAACTAAACAAGAAAATAAAATGCTGAAATTCATATTTCAAACTTAAAGGAACACTCCAAGCACCATAATCACTACATATCTATGTAGTGGTTAAGGTGCCAGGAGTGCCCTACTGCATCCCCATTGTAAATAGTCACGCAGTGTTTGAGTTTAGTAAATAGATTTGTTAGAGTCCAAACCAATCAAAAATTAGACTTTAGTCAGATAAATGGGTTCCGATAGACTAAAAGAAAATCGAGCAGAAGACTAACATATTTGCATTTACAATAGAATCCATATGTCTAGTGATCTTTTACCAATTAAGTATCAGCCCAAATTTAATCATCACAATCAAACAGAATGGTTTATGTCCTAAACAAACCCTCAAAACCTCTACTCAAACTGGTTTACAGATACCTTAGGTGGACCTGGGTAAGCAAGGAGCACAGAACAGTATTTACTTCCCAGTTCTAGCTAGCTTGCTGAATCATGCTGACCTATCTTCAGCTGCTCCCCTATGCTCCATTGACTAAATGTTATACAATATATCATTGGCCCACATACTGTATGTGAAGCACACAAACTGCTTAATTGGAGAATTTTGTTCTAGAAACAAAATGTACAATCCTCCAGCAAAGTGTAACATGTGCACTGTACATAAAAAGTTGCCCTAGAAAGGCTCTCTTTCTGAACAAAGCCCAGCTGTGCAGGAAAAATGTAAAAAATAAAACAAATTTAAAAGAGGAAAAAAACTATGCTTAATCTACGCTCATGTGTCCTTTGCTATAGTAGTCACAACAACGATGGATTTTCATCGTTCTTTTTAGGGAAATTTAGGAAACATTTCATGTAATTTTTATATTACTTTATTTGGTAAGGAGCTTGTTCTAAATTTCAGATTTGTCTAATGTGTAGGGGGGAAGGCTAAAGAAAAGCTAAGTTTATAAAATAGTAAACGAACCTACCAAAACAAGATTTTACCCTTACATATATTGTTTTTGGAGTGGTGCCATAGTTAATGCAGATTCCAGACTTGTCATGTATCTTTTAATGGAACAAATGGCTTCTGTATGTACCCTAAATAGCTCTCTTGTTGGATCTTTAAATCATGCCACGATGTAAAAACAAATATGCAGATATTTAAACCTAGAGTTTAAAAAATAAAGAATTCAGAGACAAACTTTGCTTTTTTTTTTTAAATTTTAGTTTTTATTTTAATCAGAGTTCATTTCCCCACTCACATCACCACCCCGAAGGTAGAAGCTAAATGACAATCTATCCACAGAACCAGGGCAGGGATGCAATCAACCAACCCCAATAGTTGGAAGGTCAAGTGAGAAACGCAACTAATTATCAAGAGGATAGAAGTAATGAGCAAGTGTTTAGACAGTGAAGGAAATGTAGAACAATCAATACCTACAAAATTAAAACAAAATAAAAAAAATAGGAGCAAATGAAATCTCTCTAGGATGTTGCTTTTTTATAGTTTGCAGATTTCTCCAGCTCGTTACAATGTAGGCCAATGGAATATTTCTACTTAGACAATAACAATATAACAAAAAAGGGCAGCCTAAACTGTGCAATAAAAAAAAAAAATACTTATAAAGTACATATTTATTAATTTGCCTTCCTACCCCACACAATAAGCGCCCACCCCCCTCCCCCCCCAACACACCATCACAACGTAATGTAGTTGTTATTGTGCCTGGATTGTTTCTTTAAATAATCTACCAGACGCAGCGTTGTATGTACAACCTAGAAAGATTTTTCACTTGGGGTGCCTTGGAAAAATATTGAAATATTAACCCCTTAAGGACACATGACGGAAATATTCTGTCATGATTCCCTTTTAGTCCAGAAGGTGTGTCCTTAAGGGGTTAAGGGCGCCTTGAACCTAAAAAGTTTGGAAACCACTGCGTGTTATACTAAAAAAAAAAAAAAAATATATATTACGTGTCATTGTGTTCTCTTTTGGAACTCTCCTGTACTGTGAACAGGTTATTAATAGAGATAAAGCGGTATTGTAGAGGTACCTCAGTATCTTAACTTGGTCTCCATATATAATGCAAGGGATATTCCAAGTAGGATTTCATATCACATATAATTCAACTCTGCTTTAGTGTCCACATTGCATACATAGACATTTTCAGTAATAGGATGTATATAGAGAGATCTCTAGAAAAGTATGGAAAGAATGGTAAGAGCACTGTTCTACTATAGAAATCAATGGAAGCAACTCATGCATGCTGCTCACTCACATGAAAGATAGTGAATCCCAGCTGAATTCAGCATGTTGACAAAAACTTACATGACAAAGACACAGAGGAAGTGTGAAAGTCAAGAAACACCGTCTTCATTTCGATTTTTATGGATTTACAGACAGATAAATTGGTCTTAGATTATGTCAAAACAGTCTACAATTTACAAGATAAAAGAGGTAACTGGAGTGTCCCTTTAAAAATACAACATTGCGCCACTTTAATATGTACAAACAGCTCAGCATTCAGATAGGTTAACCTACTGAGTGATTGTTCAATCATGAATGTACTCAATGTATCAGCCACATAAAAATATGCATGTCAGACAGGGGGAGGGGAGTGAGGCCCGTTATATAAAGTTCTGATGTAATTCCACAGATTTGCAGTTATAAAATCGGCTTGTGACACTAATTTGTAGAAGACAAATATGTATCCATAATAGAGGGGCCACTGGTGTTCCTCTCTGCTGTGATGCAGAGAGCTGGAATATGAGGTCACTCCTGCATAAACAACACGCGAGGAAGCAGTGAGGAACTGGGGGAATACAGGAGTCACTGGAACCCCAGGGAGAGGACCCACATAACTCTCCCAAAGGTAGTGAGGCTAGATAGGCCTAAAAATTAAATACCATAATATATCCACAAGAAATAAATTTACTATGTGAGTGAGTGTGTGGGCAAGAATGTGTAAAGGAGAGAGTATGTGGGCGAGAGTGTGTGTGTGTGTGTGTCTGTCACAGAGTCTGTTTCAAATTAGTGAGATTGTGTGTGTGTCAATGTGTGTTTCAAATCAGTGATAGCATATCTGTCATTGTGTGTCATATCAGTGAGAGTGGGTGAAAGAGTACAAAGAGGGGATTTATAGATGGAGTTGTCATAGAAACATGCATGTCTGGACAGGACATTTGCAAAGGAGGAGTTAGTAAGATGACCATGCCTACCTGAGGGTGTAAAAAATACATACATTTTTTTTTAATCTGTGACCCTAGGATCCACCTTGATAATATATGACAAGCTACCCAACAGCTTCTGGTAGAATATGGAACCCACATCTGCCAAACTTTCATAGAGAGCAATGTAGTCGCCAAGAGAGTGAGACCCGGGGGCCATTGATGTCTCTGCACCCATAGCAAATCTAGCAGGGAATGAGGATGCATAATTAGATTTATGTCATTAACTGGCACAGCCGTAGTGCATACCTATTTTTCTGTCAGCACAATCTGTAATTTTCAATATCAAATAAATTGCATCCATTAATCTTCTAGCAATTTAATTAGCACAATGTAGAGATGAAATACTATTAGCCATTATGTGCCTACATGCCATACTTGCAGTTAAAATATATTTTAAGGAGAGTTTAACTGCTGTAGAATAGAATTGAAATACAAGAATTATCAATCCAAATGAAAGTGATCAGTATCACTACATCCGAAAGAAATACAAATAAAAGACTGTGCAGCTAAGACTAGACATAAGAGATCCAATTAAAATAATATATATATACATACACACACACACACAACATTCCCCTTCTCCCAGCTTTGTCATTATTTACTCTTAACACAAGAAACATATCACAATCAAGCTGAGTAAACATTCTATCAAACTCTAAAATAAAATAAATAAATTAAAAAAAACATACTTACATAAACAAATGTTTATACAAAAAAAAGTAAAAGGCACAGATTGTCTGGCTTACAGTGTTTTCCTTTCCAACCACTAAGCTACATTAACCCCTATTAAACCCTTAATATTTAAATAAATAAAATAACTTTTGTTTTTAAATTCCCTTACAGCAGAGATGACCATGCCTTAAAGAATTAAATTACAAAAAAACAGCAAACAAAGCATCCTTGTAAAGATAGCAAATACAAGGCAGTGAGGCGGCAGGCCATCTCCCCCCCAGAAAGACTAGTGGCCCCTTATTGGAGCTGAAATGAATGTAAAATAAAAAACACACAATGTAACAATAAACATATCACCTGTTTCTTACAGCAGGCCTGGATAAAACCCGTTCATTACACACCTTTGTTATGCAGACCCATGTTTCCATAGTAAATAACATTAGTGTGGAAGAACAAGTCTCCTGTAATTAGCTACACAAACTATCTTAAAGAATCCATATGCTAGAGATGGTCAGCATATTCAGTGAATGCTGCTCTAAGACATTTGGATTTCACAAAAGGAGGCAGAGTAAAAATGCACCTAGCAACAGCATGGAGGATCTGATTGGATTGGATTTGTCCTTATACCCTCCCTGGCTAGGAACAGTCTTACACGATTTCCTGCTGGTTTGGCAGAAAGCTTTGTGTTTTCATTTCTCCTCTTGTGAACTTGTCTGTATTTGGAGCTAGTTTACAATATCACGGCAGAAGTGTCACATGTATTTTTGTTAGTACAGCGAATAAAACAAAGTCACACGGAACTTTATTAGTGGAGGAAAGTGCATCCCACAACGTGGAATAAAGCAAAGGGAAAATGATCCTGGACATTTTATCCATGTGCCGTAACAAAAGGATTACCAGAAGACAAAATTACTTTTGGCTAAGAAGCTGTGGATCGCTTTTATCTATAGATTTCCAGATAATTGTTATTATAGTTCTGTTTTAATAAAAATCTGAAAAGATAAGGTTTGACTAGATAATATAACTATTATTTTGCTTATATGGGTTTGCCATGCCAACTAATGACAATAGGTTGTCATACAAATTGCTGGGGTTTCTAGGATTTTTATCTTTTTTGGGGGATAAAATACCATTAGCCATTATGTGCCTACATGCCATACTTGCAGTTAAAATATATTCTAATGAGAGTTTAACTGCTGTAGAATAGAATTGAAATACAAGAATTATCAATCCAAATGAAAGTGATCAGTATCACTACATCCAAAAGAAATACAAATAAAAGACTGTGTGGCTAAAGGGACACTATGGGCACCCAGTCATGTTCATCTCAATGAATTGGTCCGGTTGCCATGCCACTGTCATTTTATCCATACAATTTAAAACATTGCTGTTCTGCAGTAATGGTAATGTTTACACTGCAGAGCTAAAATGCCCCTAGTGGCTATCACAAGTTAAAAAAACTCAGCTATATCAGATGGTCTCATAGAGACCATTTGATTGACACAGTACAGAGTTTTGTTGCACATGCACATTAGCCTCCTAATGCTTTTCCCTGGGAATGCATTGGATTGGCTAAGATCATCAAGATTTATGATCTCAACCAAGGAGGAGGAGCTTTGGCATGGAGACTGGAATGCATGGTATAAGGTAAATAAACTAACCTTTGAAATACAGCGAGGAATGCATGCTTTCTTTTTTGCCTTAGTTCGTATTTTAGTGAATAACAAGGCCAATTTCCAGGGTCTAGACAGAGTCCCCAATAAGGAGTTATTTTGTGCGTCAGGATGAGTAGATGGAATTATAGATTGGGCTGCCACTTTTGTCCCTTAGACAAATGATATAAAAATATTTAAATTCCACACTCGTGATGCTATACTCTGAGTACGTACTATGCTCAGCCAGAGAGATTAATGTGAATTGAATGGCACTCTTCCCCTTTAAGGCCAAAGTATCTGAACTGAAAGCACAGCTTCAGCTATTTTTTTCCTTCATGTAAATTAAGTTGTTATAGTGCCAGGAAGCCCCAAGGTGCATTCTTACCTTAAGGGGTTAAACGTCTCGAATGGTTTAACCCCCTCCGCCCATGGCCAGATTAACAGCCCAGTGGGCCTGGTGCTGACAATGATGATGGGCCTAATTACAGAATCATATCGACCAAAAACACAAACATTTCCAAGCGTCATGTATCTGATGGAGATGGTGCTGGGGGGAAAGAAAAAAGCAGCTATAAGAAAACACATACCCTATGCTAATCTTTCTCTAATTTATGTTTTCATCTTTCAAGTAAATCCATAACAGCTAACAGCAGTGTCCAGTCAAGCAGGAAGTCAATGGGCACGGTAAAAGGATGTGCCACTGACACAAATTACGTAACCTGCCAAAAGGGCCAAACATGCCCAAAAAGAGGGCATGTCTGCCCAAAGAACTGGAAGGCCAGCCTGGCATTAATGCATGTCAGGCTGCCTGCCAATCATGCAGGCTGGCCAACTAAGTGCATACTATGCAGACAGCACCCTGAGCTTGACATAAATGCATCTTACGATGCGTTCGCTCAACGCTTTCTAAGGACTGTCCCCTAGCACTCGCTGGTCCACTTGTCTCCTTACCTTCTTACTAGCAGGCAGAAGCTCCTGTATATAGTCTGGGACAGAGAAAAGCTGTATGTAGTGAGTGTAGAAGAAAGAGAATATGCCACAGTGTTAGAGACCAAAGTCAGCATTATCTTAACTATATTTATTGTCAGCCAGTCCACACACATTGTGTTCCCATACATCCCTCTTAAGTTTCCATACTTAAGCAAGAGTATGTAAAAAGAAGCTAGGGTTGACACCTTTCTTGGAAAAAAAACATGCCGGCCTTACTAATTTGCAAAATTAATTATGTATGGGTGACATCACATGATGTAAATCACAAGGAGTGACATAAGAGAAAATTCTGTAAAATAACCTACTTGGTTTGATTCTGCTGTATAGATGGATTGCTCCCAGTGTCTCAAGTCTCCCATTGTCCCCATGTCTCCCAGTCCCCTCATGACTCAGTGTCCCCATGTGTCGATTACCCCAGATCTCAGTGTCTCAGTGCCCCATTTAGCCCAGTGACCCTATGTATCAGTGTCTCAACGTCCTATGTCTCCCTGTGTCCCCCAGTATTCCCATGTGTATGTCCCCATGTCTCCCAGGGTCCCCCTAGGGGACACTTAGACATGGGGACACAGACACCAGGGCCATAGACACTTGGGACACATGGGACATTGAGACACTTGGGGCACTAGGAGACATGGGGAGACAGACACCAGGGACACTGGCTGGGAGACATGAGGACACAGGGAGACATAGGGATACTGGGTCCCCAAGTGTCTGTGTCATAATGTCTACCAATGTCCCTTAGTGTCTCAGTGCCCCCATGTCTCCTTGCAGCCTTTCCCCCCCATCCCTCTCCATACACAGCGACCCCTACTGGCCAGTGCTGATATTGCATCGTAATCTCTGTTTATACTGAGAAAAATACCAGCATTTGAATCGCCAGTATAACTGCAATATTGGCACCGATATTGCAGCCTCAAATACTGGCTGTGCCAATAAAATAAAATCCAGGTGGAAACCCGAAGAGTGTGTGTGTTTTTTTTTTTTTAATCAATGGGCCTATTCCATGGGCCTGGAGCTGCAGCTCCATCAGCCCCTATGTTAATCCGGCCCTGCCTCCGCCAAATCAGTGACTCCACATTCATAAAACTGGCTTGAAAAGAAACGTATCTTTTTTTAAGCCAGTTTCATGAACAAACAGTCACTGATTGGCTGAAAGCATCAGCTGACTGCTCTCAACCAATCAGTGACACTCCTGCCTGGTAGAACTCCACACTTCCTAAAACAAAACATATAGAAATATAGAATGTGACAGCAGATAAGAACCAGTCGGCCCATTTAGTCTGAACAATTTTCTAAATACTTTCATTAGTCCCTGGCCTTATCTTATAGTTAGGATAGCCTTATGCCTATCCCACACATGCTTAAACTCCCTCACTTTGTTAACCTCTACCACTTCAGCTGCAGGCTATTCCATGCGTCCACTACCCTCTCAGTAAAGTAATACTTCCTGATATTATTTTTAAACCTTTGCCCCTCTAATTTTAGACTATGTCCTCTTTTAAATAAAGTCTCCTCCTTTACTGTGTTGTTTCCCTTTATGTATTTAAATACATAGAGAAACTGCTATGTTTATGAATGGGTTAAGCCTTCCCCCTAATCCTCTAGTGGCTGTCTCATTGACAGCCACTAGAGGCGCTTGCGTGCTTCTCACTGTGATTTTCACAGTGAGAGCACGCCAGCGTCCATAGGAAAGCATTGTAAATGCTTTCTATATGCTGAATGCGCGCGCAGCTCTTGCCGCGCGCGCATTCAGCCCAGGAGGAGGATCGGAGGAGGAGAGGAGGCAGAGAGCTCCCCACCCAGCGCTGGAAAAAGGTAAGTTTTTAACCCTTTCCTCTCCCCAGAGCCGGGGGAGGGGATCCCTGAGGGTGGGGGCACCCTCAGGGCACTATAGTGCCAGGAAAACGAGTATGTTTTCCTGGCACTATAGTGGTCCTTTAAGTCATCAGAAATAATCACTCCTAAATCCCTTTCCTCAGATGTTGAGGTTAGGACTCTATCAAATATTCTGTACTCTGCCCTTGGGTTTTTACGTCCAAGATGCATTATCTTGCACTTATCCACATTAAATGTCAGTTGCCACAAGTGACCGTTTTTCTAATTTACCTAAATCATTTGCATAAATTAGAGCAAAGACTTCAAAATCCTCCCAAGTGGTTATAATCCAAAAGGGTAAGCTGTACCTACGTTCATTTTCAGATAAGGATTTTATCTTACAGATGCAGTATACAGGTGGTCACCAAATCTGTCCACTGATGTAATTTCACAGCACAAATTGATGATTGTGCTATAACAAACGTGTTGCATTTTATCTGTAGACACCGTTACTGCTGGTGGAGTATCACTGCTGTAGGAGGTTATATTTACTGTAAGGGTATGTGTCCATAAGGTCTATTGTCCAATAATGAAATGTGTTGCCCTAACCTAAATACACTTTAGTTGCTGTGGAAAGAACACAAAATACTTACTCCCCCCCTCTTATTTCAACTTTGTAACAGTTACATAATATTAAATTTTTCTTCTTTTTCCCCCTATTAGAGTAAACCAAGAAACAAAAAATGCAAAACAAAGACAAAATACCAGACCTTGAGGTTTTGTCAAATCAAGGATAATTATGACATCTACTTTTAAAGAATGTTTGAAAGTCAGAACTTAAAAAATGTACTTTACAAATACCTTGCTCAGTTGAACAAAAACAAGTAAATACATTTTCTCTGAAAAGACAGTGATTACACGGAAAAGTCTGCAGGAACATACTATACACACCAGAACACCACCATTAAGCTGTAGTAGTTTTGGTGACTATAGAATCCCTTTAAATCAAACCTTTCTGTAACAGGTTAGGAGTGTCACAACAAGCATTTTGCCATACTCCCCGGGCTACTGGCCAGGTTGTATCCAGATGGCCATTTTTGTGCATCACATGTGCCATTTAATAAACATAGACTAAAACAAGTTATCTTTGTATACAGAATAGACAAAAATAAAATTAAACTGTAACATCAGTTGGCATGACAAATCAATTCTCTACCACTGACGTAAATAAGTGACCAATTATCAGAGTTTGTGAAATGGAGTAGCTGACAGAAAAAATAAATAATTAAAACAAACAAACAAAAAAAACAAAAAAACTTCTGTTCAAAGTCACAAAAGTGCAGCTACATCATCTCTTATTGCAATTAAAATGATGAATATTAAATTAAATGATGAATATTGTTGCCTTTGCAACCATTCATCAAATAAACCATAGCAAGAGGAAACACTCATAGTAATATACTCCCTAGTTGAGTTTTCCCATGAGTGCATAGGTTAAACAAGCAGATTTGCACTGCCACAACAGCAGGTGCAAAGAGATCTTGAGACATAATACAACACTAGCGTGGCATCGAGGAACACTGCACATTTTTTAAAGGGAATAAACCGGGTTAAACCAAAAGCCTACACGGCTCATCAGTAAACTGTGTATGCTGGGATACATGGTGGGAAGTTTGTAGGTATGAGAATTACTGGTGATGAGAACCACTGGGTCACCATATATAACACTTAAAACTATCTGACCAAGTTCTGGCTAAATGCTGCTAGAAAGGGAGACTGACAATTGCAATATTAAGATTTTAACAGCTATGCCATGAGGATTTTGTGGGTCTCCGTCGGGCAAGTGAAAGTCACAGATTTTGAGCTGGACTGCTGCCTTACGTGGGGAATTCCACTCAGCCTATGCCCTTATTTGAAGGACTGTGAGTAGTTAACCCGGGATGCTGCAGAAGCTTGATGGAAGGAGTGTGTGGGTGGTGGGGGGATCCCTCCTGCCCCAGGCAAGTAAGAAGGTCTGCATCGGTAGTCCACTGACTCCTTCTCCGCTTGGGAGGAACAGAAGGCCCAGGTGTTGTGCTGCTGCTGGAAGCGGATGGGGGAAGTTATCATCATGGGTGACTTTAATCTTCCTGATGTAAATTGGAAAACAAAATTAGCTACTTGTGCCAGGAGCACACATTCTGAACTCCCTACTGGGATTGCCTCTAAAACAAGTTGTTTAGGAGCCAACTCGTAAGAGACCATACTAGATTTAGTGTTAACAAATGGAGATTTGGTATCAGATATTACTGTAGGTGAAAGTTTAGGATCCAGTGATCATCAGTCAGTGTGGTTTAATATAAGAACAGTGACGGAGTCACACCACACAAAAACAAAAGTTTTAGACTTTAGAAAAACAGACTTTTCTAAAATTAGAATATGGGTAGAGGAGTCATTAAAAGACTGGAGCAATTTAAATGGAGTCCTAGAGAAATGGGATTATTTAAAAGTTGCACTATTGAAGGCAACAGAAAATTGCATTAGGCTGTCAGTAAAAGCAAAAAATTCAAGAAACCACTGTGGTACTCCGCAGATGTGGCCAAAATAGTTAAAAACAAAAAGTTCGCATTTAGGAATTATAAAAAAAAACAAAAAACAGAGTGAGGAAGACAAAATGATCTATAAGATTAGGCAGAAAGAGGCTAAGCAAGTTATAAGAGCTTCCAAATCACACACAGAAGAGAAAATAGCACAGTCAGTAAAAAAGGGGGATAAAACATTTTTTAGATACATAAATGAGAAAAGAAAAGTAAAACAAGGATTAGTTAGATTAAAAACAAAAGAAGGAAGGTATGTAGAGGAGGATAAAGGTCTAGCTGACTGCCTCAATGAATATTTTTGTTCTGTATTTACAGATGAAAATGAAGGAAAGGGACCTCAGTTGAGAAAAAGGATAAATGAGTCATTTATTACACGTGAGTTTACAGAGGAAGAGGTTCTATTTCAACTGTCAAAAGTAAAGACAAATAAGTCAATGGGACCTGATGGAATACACCCAAAGCTATTAAAAGAGCTTAGTGGTGTACTAGCAAAACCATTAACAGATTTATTTAACCAATCATTGTTAACAGGAGTAGTTCCAGAAGATTGGAAGTTAGCAAATGTTGTGCCCATTTACAAGAAAGGTAATAGGGAGGAGTCGGGCAACTATAGGCCAGTAAGCCTTACTTCAGTAGTGGGGAAAGTGATGGAAACCATGTTAAAGGATAGGATTGATGAACATTTAAAAACACATGGATTTCAAGATCAGAGACAACATGGGTTTACTCCAGGGAGATCATGCCAAACTAATCTTATTGATTTTTTTGATTGGGTAACTAAAATTATAGATCAGGGTGGTGCAGTAGACATTGCTTACCTAGATTTCAGTAAGGCTTTTGACACTGTTGCACATAGAAGGCTTATCAATAAACTGCAATCTTTAAGTTTGGATTCCAATATTGTTGAATGGATAAGGCAGTGGCTGAGTGACAGGCAACAGAGGGTTGTAGTTAATGGAATATGTTCAAAGCTTGGACTTGTCACCAGTGGGGTACCTCAGGGATCTGTACTTGGACCCATTCTCTTTAATATTTTTATTAGTGATATTGCAGAAGGTCTTGATGGTAAGGTATGTCTTTTTGCTGATGATACTAAGATATGTAACAGGGTTGATGTTCCAGGAGGGATAAGCCAAATGACAAATGATTTAGGTAAGCTAGAAAAATGGTCAGAATTGTGGCAACTGACATTTAATGTGGATAAGTGCAAGATAATGCATCTTGGACGTAAAAACCCAAGGGCAGAGTACAGAATATTTGATAGAGTCCTAACCTCAACATCTGAGGAAAGGGATTTAGGAGTGATTATTTCTGATGACTTAAAGGTAGGCAGACAATGTAATAGAGCAGCAGGAAATGCTAGCAGAATGCTTGGTTGTATAGGGAGAGGTATTAGCAGTAGAAAGAGGGAAGTGCTCATGCCATTGTACAGAACACTGGTGAGACCTCACTTGGAGTATTGTACACAGTACTGGAGATCGTATCTTCAGAAGGATATTGATACCTTAGAGAGGGTTCAGAGAAGGGCTACTAAACTGGTGCATGGATTGCGGGATAAAACTTACCAGGAAAGGTTAAAGGATCTTAACATGTATAGCTTGGAGGAAAGACGAGACAGGGGGGATATGATAGAAACATTTAAATATATAAAGGGAATCATCACAGTAAAGGAGGAGACTATATTTAAAAGAAGGAAAACCACCACAACAAGAGGACATAGTCTTAAATTAGAGGGACAAAGATTTAAAAATATCAGGAAGTATTACTTTACTGAGAGGGTAGTGGATGCATGGAATAGCCTTCCAGCTGAAGTGGTAGAGGTTAACACAGTAAAGGAGTTTAAGCATGCGTGGGATAGGCATAAGGCTATCCTAACTATAAGATAAGACTAGGGACTAATGAAAGTATTTAGAAAATTGGGCAGACTAGATGGGCCGAATGGTTCTTATCTGCCGTCACATTCTATGTTTCTATGTCTCCTGTCCACGTGGATGATGCAGAGGGATCTTACCCTTGTTGGCCCTCAGCCCAGGCAGGCTTGTAGTAGGGGATTTTGATGTTGGTGGTTCTGGATTGCCAGAAGGAGTGCTCCTTTCCGCAATTCTCCTCTCCCTGCACCTTGTTGAGGTTGGTTCCCTGGGGTAGCCAGCTGTGCCTCTAAAGTTGCCCAGAAGCGGTGGAATGTGACATCCAGTCGGAGGAGGAACCGGTCAACCAGGTCAGAGGTTTGTTTCCCGGTCTTTATACGCTATGGAATTTGCTAGCGCTACATAAATAAAATAAGTGCCTTGAGATGGAAGCAGTCACCATCTGGAGAAGGGTAGATGCTGTCCAAAAGTGATCAGTGGGTGCAACGAGGGGGCCAGTGAGCAGGTAGAGTGCACCAGTGGAGACCGAAGGAACAGGGCTGCTCAGTATCCTGCAGAGATTCAGCGCTACGCAGTACCAGCATTCGGCTGCCTCGCCAGGATGACAAGAACATCGGGCCTCACCCTAAGCCTCCGGGGATTACCGGTGACTCCAGCCACAGATTTGCACCGAAGAGCCTCAGTCAGTCTCAGGGTCAGATAATATCACAATTAGAGAGCGGTTCAGCGTGTTAATGGTTGATTTAAGCTGTTCTTTTCAGAGCACAGACTTGGAGCTCAAATGAAACGCGTCTAGCCGCCATACTGCTCAGGCCCCGCCCCCGGACTGTCAAATTTTTAATAGCTTTATGTTAAATATGCAGTGGGCTGGAAAGAAATAAAAAGTAATTGTTTAAAAAGATATGTTCATTTTGCATTTTAATCCCTAGGAGTGCATTTATCCATTACAGCAGTTTCCACAACTGGGTAATCCCTAAATCCTGGACTGGTAGGCGTGACTTGAGGGCCTGGTTTGGAAGCCACTGCATTATAGTATAAATATACACAGGCATAACTTATGGATAAATTAAGGTTTAGGATGGTTCAGAAACATACCATCCGGGCATCATGCCACCTATTCCTTTCCCTACCCCACTTTTTACTTCTACTATTATTTCAACATTTGACCTCTTTGCAATGACACCAAAGGACATTTTCCAAAGAAAAACAGCGATAAGTCACAAACTATTGTCAGATTTGTTCCAATTTACGAGTCTCCTTATGATATTTCATGCAAGTTATGCGTACTTTATAAACGTGTTGTAATGTGTTGATTGGCTTGTCATAAATAAAACAATAACTGTGATATTTTGGTTTACATTATTTAACTGTTTTCAACTCCCCACAATTCACTCTGTTATAAATAGGCCAGAAAGGCTTTTTAATGTACAGGATCTATAGCAGGGCTATTCAACACTGGCCCTCGGGTTATTATTTGTCTTTAAACAAAATAAAGGGTGAGGCACTCACGTCACTTATCCTGTAGGGAACACTACTACTGGAAAAATAACAGAGTAACATTTAAAGGAAAACAATCATTTTTATTATTTAAAAGAAAAGGTTACATGTAATATAGCCTCTGTATTCTTTTGCAAATGATTACATAAGAGTAAACACCTTTCAAGCGCTTTTCCTGGCTTGCCAATCCCTAAAATGGACGGGGGGGAGACAACCATATTTAAATCGGAAGCACTGGTAACATGTCCAAAGAGTAAGCAGTTAATGGAGAGTGCATGTTCATGAATAGTGATTATGTACAAGAATCAGGCAACTCAAAAACATGCTCTGGGTCGGTTCTATACTTTCAAATGGTGCATAGTCTTGGAATAATCAATGTTGCGTCTAGGAAAATACAGAGACCAAAAGCAGCATTGGCATAATTTTCACCATCATGGTCTTAATCCAGTTCTGGAAACTCTGTTCCGCTACCTTTCACTGGTGATCTAGTGGGGCTACCATGTCCATTCCCTCAACATGGACATCATATGTAGGAGTCAGAGACTGAGGTTATTCTGTATGGCTTCCAATGTACAGTATAAAGCCTTGAGATACAGCACAAATGCACTCCCATGGCATCACACTTAGCAAGGCATTCTGAAAGTGAATTAACAGAGGCTAAAACAAGATTCACCAGCCTCTAACTCTCACATATTACAGCCATCAAGTGAAAACACTGGAAAATGCAGGCAACCTGCAGGGTGATATACATTAAGATTTCCCTGGGCTGGTTGGGACATTTCAAGTAGAAATGGCGTGTTTTTTTTTGGGGGGGAGGGGAGGGGGTTTGTGTGACTATATTGCCTACAACAATAGCGGTAAGTTTGTTTTGGACAAAGGCACACTTCAATGAAAGAAAAAAGTTCACATCTACTTTATGCTTTTCGCCTTCGTCCACAGCTTATAAATGTCGCATTTGCTTGAAGTCTTCTAGCTGAATTGACCAATTAGTTCTTGTTACCTGTTTGAGACCCATTTAAAAAAAAAAATAATATTTAGGGCTAGTTTCAACCTATTCCAGCCCTGATGTCAATGTGATGTAAACAGGGGCTTTTCCTTGCGTTTAGGAACCACCCCCTCATAGGCAAATTGATCATGTGGGAAAAAAACAGAAGATAAGAGAAAACTGAAAACAGATTTACCCTGCTCAGGTCTCAATTTAGGATTAGATCACTTGCGCCATTTCTTCTAAATCCCATAATATCATGATTACCCAACACACTGGATATTAATTTCGCTGATACTGCTGATGGATAAATGTCCTGTGTGGATTAGAACATGCAACCATCAGGTTACAGACAGACTTCTAGACAATCACATGAACACAATGACATAAATTTAAAAAAACAAAACAAAAAAAACCCCACTGGATTCATGTTAGTTTTTCCTTGTATATACCCGTTTCAAAGTTAGTGTTTTCTGTTTGAACAATAAAGAGAGTAAAACAAATGTTTTCCTCAAGTGTACAGAACCCACCAGCATGGTTTACTGAATACGCACAGCTGAAACTGGACTGGGGGGCACTTTAAGTTAAAATGGCCGGTATTGTGGGGTGGGAGTCTCCAACTCTGCCACTTTTACCTTGGTGATTGTCACTGAACACTAATTGACAGTTAGGGAAACAACCATAACTATATTAAGAACAATACACCAGAATAACCCTTTTGAAAGTAAGCTCCACAGATTCATTTGGACTGGATTGTTCAAACTATAGCCATGAGGAAGGAGCCAAACATGGCACTTCAGAACTAGGAAGGGGACTCTTGGTTTTGACTCCTGTCTCCATGACAGAAGTGTTGACGAGCAGATCAGAACAAATAGAAATTGCAGATCCAATGACTAATGTAGAGGCTACAGTCAGAGATTAATCTCAGCCTAGGTCTAACAAGCCTACCATGGCAAATTGGGGGTGGTACATTTTTATTGCACACACCCCTCCAGCCTCATTTGCCATTCTACTCTCAGCTGCATTTAACATTTTCCCCATTATGTCTGCCTTTCTGCAAGAACTTGCATCCTTCTGCTAGGCAGAAAAGACTGCCTGAGATAAGGAAGGAAGCCCTGCTACTACCTTTCCTTTGCAGATTTGATGTCATCGCAGAGAGACGTCACACCAGCTGTACTGTGGAGTCAGGGCAGCGAACCACAGGTGAACAAAAGAAAAATTATGAGGAGAAAGGTGATTCATTAATTTTACAGTTAAAAACAGTAATTATTGTAAGACAGTTAATCCTGTTACCCCACACGTGTGGAAACTCCTGTTCCACGATCTGAACTGGCAAGTTTAGCCATTGCTACAATACAAGGTAATAACAGTTAATGTATGGCTAACCACAAAATGCAGGGGTTTGTAACCTGCAGTTCCTATTTTGCACCATGGCAACAAAATGATTAACCAGTTACTGGTGAGGGGAATGACCAGGGAAGGAAGGGATGTGGTCTTGTTACAGTGGGTGACAAAACAAGAGGGCAGGGCAGGTTGCATAGGAAGGGAAGGTACATAAGAATGTGGCAAATGGGGGAAGAGGCACATGGAGTCAACCAAGCATAGGGCAGTACAAAATCTAAATAGATATCTAGATACAGTTATAGTCAATTTTCATTTAAAATGAAAAAAATAATAAAATAAAAATCTCCTAGGTAAAGGATACAGTTGATGACACTAATGCAAGAAATATGTGACCCAAAACTGACCAACCCACTGTGACAGTAGTCACCATCACTGGGAACAGAATAACACTTTACAAAGGTTCCTAAATGGCTCCACCTACCATATAAAAACTGGTCAAATACCATGCAGTGAATGTTATTTTAAAGGGTTAAGGGAAGTCGTAGACAATGAGAATTACCTACAAGGTTATTTACTATAGTGAGAATTCAAAGTGAATTTCAAATTTAATGCCAGAATAGGTGAACTGGAAGCATAGCTGACTTACTGAATTTTTTCAATTTGGCTACTTTGACCTTAAAGGGACACTCCAGGAATTGGAGTGGTCTGGGTGCCAACTCCCACTACCGTTAACCCTGCAAGTGTAATTATTGCAATTTTTTTTATAAACTGCAATAATTACCTTACAGGGTTAACTCCACCTCTAGTGGCTGTCTACTAGACAGACACTAGAGGGCACTTTCTGGTCCATAGCACAGAAAACCTGGGCTAGAGCGTCGCTGATGTCCTCACGCTGTGTGAGGACCTCCCGCATTGCTCAATTCCCCATAGGAAAGCATTGAAAATCATTTTTAATGCTTTCCTATGGAGAGCTCTAATGCGCATGCGCGGCATTGCCGCTCATATGCATTAGGTCTCCACGGCCGGATCAGTCTCGCCCACCGGCCGACATAATGTAGAGGAGGAGCGGCTAGCAGAAACCACCGCCGAGTGACATCGGCGGGGGTCTCGGGTAAGTGACTGAAGGGGTTTTCACCCCTTCAGCAACCGGGGATTGGGAGGGAAAGGGGACCTGTAGTGACAGGAAAACGGATGGTTTTCCTGGCACTGGAGAGTCCCTTTAAATTTGAGATTCACCTTGAATTCACCTTAAATTCTCACTTTAGTGAATAACTGAATTCTAAACTATGTGATTGCCATCCAGTTTGATATTACCAAGAATAGTTTGTTTAGCTTGTGTATACAAAAATGTTCCAGGGAGCAGCCACTTTCGCTCTCCATGCAAGTCGATGGTACCCACATCAGCTGATCCATGTAAGCTCACCATTGATTCTAGTCACATGTCCAGTCTGTTGCCACATCCTGCGGATTCCATCTTGAAAACATTGCTCACGTCTGCCCCTTTCTTACACAAGATGCTGCTGCGGAGCTTGTTCATGCTCTAGTAGTTTCTCGCATTGATTACTATAATTCTCTCCTAACTGGACTCTCCAGATGCCATATTGCCACCCCCCATATAATCTGTAATAAATGCTGCCATCATGTTGCTTTCTGGCTCCGGTCATACCTTGGCCCCTTGTCGATCCTTATATTGGCTTCCTGTGTCCTATAAGAAAGTAAATTCAAAATACTAACCCTTACCTATAAAGCTCTCAACAATCGTAAACTCCCCTGTTATATTGCTTCACAAATTTGAATGTACCCCTACTCTGTCTTCTTGCTCTGCCGGTGACCTCCTGTCCGCTACTCACACCTTACTCGCACTTGCAGGACTACTTGTGGGAGGCTCCTTTCCTTTGGAACAGCCTGTCTAACCCCCCAGCAGACACTCCCATGGTCTTCAGTCAGTTAAGAAGTCCCTTCAGAAAAGCATATGGCCTCCAACATTAACGTCTATTTCACAAACCTTTTTCTTGCTCTCACCTTACAGCTCTGCTACTTTCTCACATTGTCTTTGGTTGCTACACCCCACCTCTGACTTTCCTTTTGTGTTTTTATAGCCCACCACCTCTAGACTGTATGTTTGTTTGAGCAGGGTCCTCATCAACCTATTGTTCCTGTAACATTTTGTAATGGTCTCATTTATTGTTAAATTTCCAACTTTTATAATAGTGTAAAGTGCTGCAGACTAAGCTGGCAATATATAAATGCTAAAAGTGACAATTTAAAATAAAATAAATAAAAAATCTACTGTTCACAATGATCACTTTAAATTTAATTCTGTAATAAAGTTATTATAATCAGAAGACTATAATTGGGTGCATCAGCGACAATACTGTGAAACACAAAACTTTTTTTGGTAATGTACTAAAGTCCTATTTGTTTTCTGACAATTTTATAGACTAAAAGCCAATTCCAAGAAAGTTAAATATATCCAATTATTAGACCCAAAATTAAAGCAAAACAGTCTCGTAGTCAATGCCTGTCATAGGTCATAATTATTAGGTCAAGAAGTTTACATGTTCTGGTCATATTACCACGAATATTTATAGACTAACTATTTATAAAACCGTTCCAAAATTGTCCAGACCGAATGCTATGCTGTTCCATCTGCTCGCCACAAAAGGCCTGCAAACCAATGTGTACACAATAAAACAATGTATTTTTACAGTGGCACAATACAAGTACAAAATTATGACAATTACGTAAAAATAAAAAAGGATATTTTCACGGTTCTAGATTACCATTCTATCCAAATAATTTCTTCTAATATATATATATATATATATATATATATATATATATATATATATTTCTACATAAACTAAACCTCTAAATTAGCATTTATTTGTAATCCCAACTTCAATAGGTACATATCATAGAATTAGACATTTAATAAAACAATAAAATCAATCACACGGCAAAATATAATTCTGGAACATTTAGAGATTAGAGGCAGCAGAGAAATCAGATTACTGCTCAAGGGATCAGCAAAATAGATTTAATTTGCCAACATATAATGAATTAACCAAGTGATTACTGAGGTCATGTGGTTTCAGTGAGTTATAAAGTTCAATCATTCCTTTATTGCCATATAATGCTAATCAATGTAAACATAGGCAGCTGGGTTGCTTGGCTTATGAGGTATCTGTGTTGCTACACAACTTTTAACTCTAGTAATGTGATCCAGAGTCTGCATTGCCACTCAAGACAAGCTTGCTTTTGTACAGATCAGCTGCTCCTCAAAATACTATTAAACTTGCCAGCTCAGCTATTTGCAAGCTTTAACTCTTCACAAGCCCCACAGCTAATCTTAAATGACAGCATTCTAACGAAACCTGGAGCAACAACACTGTCAGACAGCTGTTATTGGGTGGAAGTGTACACAAAGCTAGTCATTTAATTGCCTAAAACATTGGTCACTAAAGCTAAGAAAGTTGGGGGTGTTTGTGTTGCTTTAAGATAAGCATACATACATATGCTTTTACATGAATAAAATAAAAAATGGAAACAAAACCAAACTTAGGTGATTAATAAGAATTTATAGGTCTTTTTCAACAACAAAATACAAAACACTTTAAAAAAAAAAAAAGATATTTCAGAGCTTTTTCATTTTAGTAATCCATTTTTAATAGACTACACTGTTTTGTAGGACATTAGGGTGTTTATCCTCTAAACAGTAACTTGAGGTCAATACAGAACCAACTTGCATAACTAAGGTCAAGACTGCAGGGGCACAAAAAAGTCTGAAAACAAGTATAACCCCCAAACCATGAATTGTCATGAATAATCCAGGAAATGTCTGATTTTATGCATTATTAAACTGTTCACCTGTTCCCAGCTGGGTTATTTAACCTTAATAATCCCTAATCAATTCCAGACTATTCCCAGTAAATCCCACTGTATGTTGGACTGAAACGTAGCAAATATAAAATGTGTCTGTGTCTGTATCTACCAAAGGCAAATACTTGGTTTGTCTCTTTAGTATTACTACAGACAGACATACCACAAAGATAAATCATCTGGTATTACTGACACATAACTTTATCATCGTGTGTGCTAGGAGTCTGATAAATATCAAGGTTCCTCTTTCTTAAATAAATTAGAACTTTAGACATATTCTGCTCAGGGTCGTCTGCCTAGAGCATTATCATCCATTTGATTCACCAAGCATTTCAGACAGAGGACAACTTGTGCCCTGCATATCCACACACTCAGTCTTTTTTAATATAATGTCGGCCCCAGCACAGGGGAATTTTGTAGTGTAGTTGAAGTGAACTGAGCCAATTTCAGATCATTCAAGTAAATAACATTTTTTTTCCCCCAATAGCTAGCTGAAACAGACGTAATGAGTGAGGACTAAAAGCTATGCATTTTAGGTGGAAATAAAGAGTAGCCAGACAAAAGCAAAATGGAGACTTCATCTTTATCAACACAGTGAAGAGGATAATGAGAGTCTCCCCCTCATGTTTCAGAATGGATACATTGTAGACATTTAAGAAGTGTATGATGCTTTTTGATCACTTACTCGATGATGAAATCTATCCTTCAATGTGGCTCTGACAGTTTGCAACTGCTCAAATCAAAATTAACTGAAAATATGTAACAAACACAGAACCTTAAACCTGTTTCTCGTGAACTGTTTGAATCCGAACTAAAAATCAGGAATCATTAGGTTGGGATTCGCTGCCAATTGATACAGCTGTAATGTGTGGATTGCAGATATGGTGAATAGGAGTTACAAAAAATAAAGAAAAATAAAGAGAGAGAGAAATGAGGAACACTTTGTTTACCTCTGTCTGGCTTCATCCTGCTGTCTGGTATACAGGAAGATCTCATGAGTTGATGTGGTGCCCGCAGGACCTCTCCTCACTGTTAAGGACTAAGTTAGTAATAAAAGCCCTTCCAAATGAAGAAAATGAAAAAAAAAAGGAAGAGGAAAACACACAAGTGGCCTGCTTGCACATAGGTGGTCAAAGGGCCGGCCTACTACTCCATCCAGACACCTGGCTGTTTTTGGGTAGAGGAACAATCCCCAGCTGAGTAGCCAACGTGTCCTCCCCTGACACAGTCTATTTATAAGCTGGCTGGGAGAGACAGCCCAGCTCTCACCATAATCACACACACAACACAGGGAGCCCTCAGGCTGAGACCAGAGGGTGAGTCACCCACCTACCTACCCACACACTCACTTACTGCTCCACAATAATAAGGTCACTAATGTCTACCAGGAGGATCCTGTCATGATCTCCCCAGCTGACTGCCAGCCCTCTCCTCCCCCTCTGTGAACAGGTCACAGCTGACACATTGTCACCTCCTGTTAATCAATAAGCGATCAGCAAGGTCACAGCAGCCAGGATCAATGAGAGCAGAGATAGAGGGTGCTGGGGGGTCCACTGGTCACCTCCAAACTCTGTCCCCCTAGAGACCCCTAAAGATAGTGTGCTCCCCAGCAGCCAGGATCAATGAGAGCAGAGATAGAGGGTGCTGGGGTGGGGGGTCACTGATCACCTTCAAACTCTGCCCCCCTAGAGACCCCTAAAGACACTGTTCTCCCCAGCAGCCAGGATCAATGAGAGCAGAGATGGAGGGTGCTGGGGTGGGGGGTCACTGGTCACCTCCAAACTCTGCCCCCCTAGAGACCCCTAAAGACAGTGTGCTCCCCAGCAGCCAGGATCAATGAGAGCAGAGATAGAGGGTGCTGGGGGGGGTCACTGGTCACCTCCAAACTCTGCCCCCCTAGAGACCCCTAAAGACACTGAGCTCCCCAGCAGCCAGGATCAATGAGAGCAGAGATAGAGGGTGCTGGGGGTCACTGGTCAACTCCAAACTCTGCCCCCTGGATATAAGAGACCCCTACCGACCGTGTGCTCCCCCAGCACTACCCCCCAGACTGCCTGAGCCCCCAGCTAATCCCACAGCCATCCTGAGCGCCCCCACACCGAGATCACAGCCCCCCAGCTCCTGCTAGACGTACCCCAGCTGCTGCCACACGCCTACCCCCAGCTCTGTCAGCTCCCAGCCGAGTCCAAGCACCATCTCCCCCCGGGATACAGTCATAGAGCTCCCAGGACTGCCCCCCGCACTGCTACACGGCCAGCCTCCCCGACCATGGGATCCCCCGCCCCTCCTGCCCGGGTATGAGAGCCTGTCAGCGGGGTAACACGGACACATTAACCCTTCTCCTCCCTCCGCCGCACCATCGAGCTGTCAGTCAGCCCCCCTGACCCCGCCGCACTGCCTCCCCGCTGTCAAAACAGTCTGTACTGCGGGCCGAGCGGTCACGTGTCCCAACAACAGCCAATCCCTGTCGTCACTTCCTCTGGCAGCCGAGACTCAGCCGAGATCCTCGTTACCCCGGCAACCAGACCGTGAGAACCCACAGGTGTCAGTCTACCCTGAGACATGGGTCACCTTACCTCTCATCATGGCCCAGGGCCAGACTGGGCTCATCAGATCCGGGCAAAGCCAGAACTATTAACCCCTTCCTTCACATGGCAAAGGGAACTCCCCACCTCTCAGCATTGTCTAAATAGAAACCTATTAACCCTTGCCTGTCAAAATAAAACAAAAAACAAGAAGGGATTTCTTTATATATACTTTATTCCAGTAATTCAATGCCAAAATAATTGTAGTTTTGGTGTATGCAGATATATATTTTTTAATTTTATTAGACAAATAATACATATTAAAATGCAAGCTTTAAGAGTTTCATCTCTACTTCCTGTTAGAATCCATACTGAATAATATAATGGAATAACGTGTGACTACAAAGGACACTCCACTGGCCAAATACAATAAAGTAAAAATTCACCGTTTAGGCAGATATACCAGCAATAAAAACACGCATCACATTTAATTATGTATTATTATTTTTTTTTTGTCAGCGGTGGTGAGGGATTTCTTGTCTGCAGCTTTTACCAGCCATCCCCTTCTCACCCCGCCCAGACTTTCTGTGGCTGTCCAATCACAGACTTCCCAATGTAGTTCAATGAGAAGTCTTTGCTAGACAGGTGCTCTGAGCAATTTCTGCCTCTTGAGTTCCACTGTGCTAAACTACCAGGAAGTAACAGGACCAGTTGTCCGATTGACAGCCAGGGGGTGTAACAAGGCTAATTTAAAAAAGTGCCAATTTGTATTAAAATTTGCACTTTTTGTGGTAAATTAAAAAAATAAAAACATAACACACATAAAGCCCTTCTGCAAGCTGAAATATTTTATAGGTCTGGAGTGTCTCTTTAAAGGGTTACTCTATGCAGTTTAGTATTTACTTTTATTAAAGTGGTTATGGTGTAAAGACCCTGCTCCAGCAGTCTTCATTTAAAAAATGTTTCATCCTCACATTGTTCTGTGCGCTATACTCTGCTTTGTTCATTTGGTGTAATAACGTGTTAATTTACTTTAATTTATTCTAGGGCAGGAACATTGTACACACTGTACTTGTAATATTGTACCCGTCATATATTTTGTTCTGGCTGCTGCTTACTGTGTTCTTGCCTTGCTTAATACTTTCTATAAACTCAAATAAAAAAAAGAAGGTTTTATTCTGGGAATAAAGACAATATTTTATTCTATAGAAATGAGAAAAAGGTCAGACCTGAGGCCCAGGCAAGCTGAAAGTGATAATGAATTTAAAGCGGCTCTGTCATGCCTTACTTACCTTCTCCTAGTTGCTTCCTCTTCTCTTCCTCTTTCCTACTCTGTCTTTCTTTTTTCATTTTAAATCTATTTCTATCTAAAAATATAAGACAAAGTAGGGCTTCTTTGTCTTGTGTATTTTTCTCCACCTGACTTTCTTAGACACTGGGCAGAGTTGAAATGTCAATCATGACAGCAGTCACAAGAACGTACTGTCTATGTAGGTTCCAGCGGTCTTGCGGGATCCTCCATAAACATCATTGCTGTACTCTTGCGTATACAACTTATGGTGCTCCAGCTTATCCTGAAGAGGACCTGCCGTAGGAAGATGGTGGCACCTTCCAGGGACAGGGTCAGGTAAGTAGAACTGACCTAAGGATGCTTGATAATGCAAAGTGTCCTAGGAAGGTTTGCTGTATAAAAGGATGTACGATAATAGAGAATTATTTGCAATTGGAAGCAAATTGGGATAAAGGCTATAATTAATGCTATGCTTATGTCAAGGAAACTGAACTGAAGTAGGGACCCTACTCTGGTCCAGAGCTCCGTAACATTTACTATCTCATGGACGCTCTCTATAAAACCTTAGAAACACTTTGTCAATAAGTAGATGCGTTCAGTATACATGGCATATTGAAACTGAAATAATGTTCGAAAATGTTTACTTCAAATGTATGGAGATATTTGCAGAGGAAGTGGTTAAAGTAGCTCAGCCAGTTGGTGGAAAGCTTTAGAAATGCTGAAAACCTATAAAAAGAATACACAGTAAATCCACAAGAGTGTTCATGTCAAAACAATGGGGTCTTCTAGTCTCCATCATTGCTTTCTCTGCTGCATTTACAGCCTGCTTTATGACATGACACAAAACTCAGATTTCACACAAAAATAGGTACTTAAAAGTGTTTGAACGATAAAGGGTGACCAAAGATTTAATCCATTAACACATGACATGGTATTTTTAAGAATGATCCACATGATGAAACAGGACATTGTATCTCAAATTGCACACAGGGGTTCTGTTGCATTTTGTTTTCTGTTATTACTTTGATGTTAATACAAGATCAGATATGAGAGTGAGATTAGAGATTGGCGCGGGTGCCGGTTAAAGTAAGTTTGTGACACTAACTACTCTTGCTCTTTTACCTAAGAAGGCCTGTTACCCCCCTAACTTTCCTTATACTAACTAACTTTCCCTTTTGACCAAACGTGAAAAACCTAAAACTCGAAAACTAAAGGAGGTAGGGAGGGACCAACTCTGCCTGGTAAGTAAATTAGTAATATAATTTCTAAAATGGCTGATGTTACGTATTTGACGGGAGGAGACCAGGAGGCAAGAATCAGCCAAGATGAAGTATCAAAGGGAAAACCAAATTCGTAGTCGAGGAAAGCCAGGGGTCAGGTCAGGCGGCACGAGTTCAGAGACGATAGAACAGGCGGAGGGTCAGATACCAGATAAACCAAACAAGCCAGGATAGGCACACTAAAGTTAGCACCACATTAAGCACAGTATAACTGAGCAAAGAGGTAAACTGAGATTATATAGGGGAGAGGTATCAACCTCTATATTCTAATGGTTAAAAAGTTATTAGTCCTTTAAACAACTTCAGGTGCACTGTCACATTAAGAGGCAGATGTTCAGGCATACACGCCTAGTGAAAGTGGAATTACATGTGGTTTTGGCTGGGGCTTCCCACGGGTCGCAGCATGGTGTGGAGAGCCGCAGTATCACATCTATGTGTTGCAGGGATGCCGGTTAACTGCACACGTCGCTGAGTACGCTGGAGTCCTCGGCTCATACCAAGAGGAGACTGCTGCAGCCGCGGGCGGAGACGCGGCGGAGGACCTACTGGTAAGTGCGGCCTTGACAGCTGACCTTTTATACCAGTCCAGTCCTCTAGCAATACTCACTGAATCACCATCCAGCTCCACCAAAGCCCACCTCCAAGCCCTGTCAGGGCTCCCTTCCACTAAGCTGTGCTTTCTTCATGGGGTTACAATTCTGAAACAGGGAAGAGTGTTTTGTAGAACTAGTATTCAAATATAAATATTATGTGAACCTTGAAGAAGGGGTCACTTTGGCAATTTTAAAATTGAATAATTGAATAAATTGGTGATGAGACTGCCATACTCAAGGAGGAAGTGATGTTCAGGCAATTATACTGTATATTTAAAGCTATAGATGTGCTGGCACTTCCAATAGAGGACTACATATACTAAATGTATACATAGCTAAAGATAACCTTCTCAACCATATATCTTATGTGTAACAGATTCACTTTCAGCAAAGTGTTTACCCACCTGCTCCTCTCCCAGAATTAGCAGCCAGCCACAAAGTCTAAAAGCCAAAGAAACGGATTCATTCTAATTGATTAATTACAGGAAGATGCAATAGTTATATATCATTTTATATATTCTAGCCTAACCTGTGGGTCACATAAGGTGACAGTGAAGTGGCTGCTTATTAGTCTGGATTTCCCTAGAATAGACAAAGGATTAAATGCAACTGGTCTGGTGCTAGCAGAACCCCATATAGATAGCAATGTTTAACTCCTGTCTGGAGGGGGGAGGGGTCTTCATTTGGGATGCTATTTTACATACATTTAACTAATTATATTATTCTACAAACTGACAATAAATGATATTAATAAACTGTTGTTTCTCACAGGAACAATAAATACATTTAATACTGTTTCAAAATAAATAGATAATGATGATAAGGATATTGTAAAAACTTTTCTACCTGATTTATCTTCTCTACAAAAATTACCATTCTTATCATTGTGCACATGTTTTAGTTTTTTTAGTTTTTTTTTTTGTTTTCTTGTTTCTATGTCTCTAGATAAACTACTGGGCTTTGTAATGTGCTTAAGTGAATCATTCAAGTTCTTGGAATATTAAAAGAAATATTAAAGAAACACTGTAGGGTTTAGGTACACAAACATGCATTCCAAACCCAATAGTGTTAAAACCACCATCTAGCCCCTCTAAATAAAGTGAAATTTTACTTTTGTTCGAGTCTGCAGCTGCTAGCTCAGCCCCTGATCTGCCTGCTTGGCTGACATAATCAGCAGTGATTCTCTGAGCCAATCACAATGCTTACCCATAGGAATGGCTGAGACTGTCACGGAGGCAGGTCAGGGGCAGAGCCAGCACAAACCAAACACAGCTCTTGCCAATCAGCATCTCCTCATATAGATGCATTAAATCAATGTATCTCTATGAGGAAATTTTAGTGCCTTTATGCAGAGGGTAGATACACTGAAGAGCAGTACTGCACACTGTGCAGCACTGCCCCAGGAAGCATCTCTATTAGCCGTCTAAGGGGTGGCCAGTGGAGGTATCCCTAGGCTGGAATGTAAACGCTGCATTTGCTCTGAAAAGACAATGTTTACTGCAAAAAGCCTGAAGGGAATGATCCTACTCACCCGAACAAATACAAAAAGCTGTAGTTGTTCTGGTGACTATAGTGGCTCTTTAACCTGAGCTTTTACTCTGCAACTTTTTGTTGCTTAATAAATCTCCCTCATAAATTCAGTTTATTAGTACAGTAAACATGTCGCCCTGTATTGTCTTACAAATACATGCAGTTATTTGGTGGCCCAGTGCCCTTATCTGCTGAGGGTGGCACTCTGATTGATAACTGCCCCTGCCTCATGATGTTCCAGAACACTTGTTTCAGATTAAAATAAAAAGTTCTGTGTTCCATGTTTGTCTGACAGATAACATACTTAGCACAATAGTTGCCCAGTAGTTT